TGCTTGAATAATTTTCATTAAAATGTAAATCTTAGGATTAGGGACATGTAGTTGTTCAATATTAAATGCTGATCAAATCCTATAATACATATCTTAATTTTTAAAAATGTAGTTTTATGATCACTTTAGATGATAACTGCACTTATGGTTTATATTTGTTTTAATACATCCCAAGTAATAAAAAACCAAATAAATTAAAACTTTACTATAATTTATTGTAACTATTTTTGCTGAAAACGGGTATTTTAGATGACTGGGTATGAAATCATATAATTTTTTTAACACAACTTCAGGTGAATCTCAACTTATTTTGAGATAAACTTAAACTTAATTCAATGTAGACTAAAGCTTACTAAACCAGGAAGTTTCTCTAAAAATGTGGTATATACAGTATAATTGGAGGTTGGTAAAACAAATCGGGAATAATTCATGATTTTTTAAAATCGGAACTTAGCTTAATATGGCCGCTCAATATTCATCATTAAATGGTCCCAACAATTACAAACTCCACTTCCACAGTTTCTCTAGTTTACTTTGAAGCAATTGTTAATAACCTGAACTACATAACCTTTTAGGAATGGCTTCCTATTGACAAGAAAAGATTTAAATTAAATTAAATATATATATATATATATATATATATATATATATATATATATATATATATATAGAGAGAGAGAGAGAGAGAGAGAAATAGAAACGAAATAGAAAATAACTTTATTCTGGGACAAAGTCCCTTTAGAATAACAAAGTGGAACATAATTAAAATACTACATCTGGCCAAAATAAAACAATAATAAAAAAGAGAAAGTAAAGAAAATATTAGTTAAACAAGCTATATACAAAAAAAAATCTATATACAAAATACTTAAAACTATGATAAAACACTTAAGACTATGTACAGTAGGAAAAATTATAATTATAGTCTTTTGAAAAATAAAATAATAAAAAATACATTGAGTTCTTCTTTAAAATGAGGTGTGTTTCTGCTAACAAAGAAAAGACAAAGCTGACAATATACTATATCAGTGTCTTTGAATAATGATTAATATGTAGACTCATCATTGTCAAATGCTAGAGGTACAGATTTATTTATATACCAATACAAAATAATAAAATAACAAAAATAAAAAAACAAACAATAGATGCGGTCAGTGGCATTAAGAGCCGGAAAATATTGTAATATCTCTAGTGAAGTTCTCAGTATAGAATAGCACTGTCGTTTGATGATGACTAGAAGTGTATAATATTGAAAGTTTAGCAAGTATCTGACTGTTTTTGGGATAGGAATTGGAATAGGAGGGATTTGAATGTGGATATGGAAGGGGAATGCCGAATTTTGTTAGGTAGAGAATTCCAGAAATTGACAGCGCGAGCTATAAAAAAGTTCTGAAATGAGGCAGATCTGTGCGAAGGGACGTAGAGGTCAGAAGGTCGAGATCTTGTTTAAAGGGAATGGACTGAGGACTTGAATTGGAGAAGATTGTAGGCGTAAGAAGGACGATGGTTGTTAATGATTTGATAGAGGAACGTACCCAGGAAATATTGTCTTCTAAAGGAGGGGAAGAGCCACCTTAACTCAGTGTAGTGGTGAGAGACATGGGAGTATCTCGGGGCACCGATAACAAATCTTACGCAGCTATTCATTAATCTTTTCAGTCTATCACGGAGCTCCACCGAGAGGCCATCATACACCACACAGCTGTAGTCAAAGTGAGGGAAAATGAGAGAGGAAATTAGGAGTCTACGGGTATGTTGAGGTAGGAGATGGCGGAAGCGATGAAATAGTTTAAGGGTAGAAATTGTCCTACGGGAAATGTGAGAAATATGGTAGTTCCAGGAGAAGGTTTGATCTATGAAAAATCCTAAATTTTTAACAGAGGAGTAGAAGGAAATTGGTTGGTCATTAACGTGTAATATGGGAAAGTCAGCATGGGATCTAATAAGGGGCTTGGTACCAATGACAATGGCCTGAGTTTTGGCAGCATTTAACTTTAATCCATTTACATTTGCCCAGGCACTGATTCGATCAAGGTCTTCTTGAATCTTGGCAAATGCTACCAATAACTCAGAGGGAGAAAAGGATAAGTAGATCTGGGAATCATCTGCATAAAGGTGGTGGGAACAATGGAGAATTGAATTATGAAGGTCGTTAATGTAGGAGTTGAAAAGGAGAAGAGATATGCTTGAACCCTGGTCAACTCCGGAGGATAAAGGAAGGTAGGCAGATAGTGGTTGATTGGGTATGGAGACTGCTTGGGTGCGTTGGGAGAGGAAAGATTGGAACCAAGAGATGGAACTATTGGAGAAAGATAATGACTTTAGTTTGTTGAAGAGGATGGAATGGTAGATAGAATCGAAGGCTTTGGAGAAGTCGAGGAGGATAAGGACAGTTAATTTTCTATCATCTATTGCAGATTGAATGTCGTTGGTAATTTTAATTAAGGCAGATTGTGTGGAATAGCCGGGACGGAAACCAGATTGGAAAGGATCAAATTGGTTGGACTTTTCGAGGAACTTGGAGACTTGGGATTGCACCAGTCTTTCAAGAGGCTTTGAGAGGTTAGAAACAATTGAAATTGGACGGAAGTCTTCGGGTGAGGATGGATTAGGCGTTTTATTTAAAGGAAGAACAATGGCCTTTTTCCAAGAGGTAGGGAATACTGAATTCTGAAGGGACAAATTATAGATAAAAAGGAGAGCTGGAAGGATTTCAGGGAGACATATGTTTATTAATTTGACAGGGATGCCGTCTGGCCCTATGGAATTGATGTGGGATTTCATTACCGCGGTTAACAGGTCTGTGGGAGAAATGTCGGAAAAATAAAAGTTATTTTCGTTGAAGGATATCTCTGGAGAAAAGCCGGAAGAGGAAGGTAGAGAAGAGGTATTAGCGACAGATATAAATTAAGAGTTTAAATCATCGGAGGATACAGGAAAGGCTGCGGTAGGGGATCTGGAAGGATTACAGATGGAAAGTTTACAAATGAGTAGCCATTTCGATTTGATATCAGGAGCTGAGGAAAGGGTTTCATGGAAGTAAGAAGCTTTCGCACGCCGGATCCTTGTCTGTGCCAAGATGCGAAGCACCCTGAACGCTAATTTATATATATATATATATATATATATATATATATATATATATATATATATATATATATATATATATATATATATATATATATATATCACGAACTGCAGCCTGGGATCTACCGACGATATTAAGATCGTCCGCATAACCAAGGATCTATACCATTCTATTAAAGACTATGCCTGTTATTTGGATCCGTGCATCTCGCACCGCTTTCTCTAATGCAATGTTGAAGAGCAGATACGCCAGCTCATCTCCCTGTCTCACGCCATTCGTTGCGAAGCTCATCTTCGACAATTCGCCCTGCACACGCACCACATACGTGGATTCTGTCATTTTAGTTAAACCAATCGAATCAGTTTCTCTGGGATGTTTAGTTCCCTCTTTGCTTGATAAAGAGGTTTGGGTAGTACACTATCATAAGCAACTTTGAAGTGCACAAACAGGTGATGCGTATGGATGCAATACTCTCTTCTTAGTTCCAGTATAATGCGGAGCGAGGAGATCTGAGCGACCATTGACCAACCTTTGCGGAATCCGTAGTAATATTTTCCTAGCAAGTCTTCCACATACGTCAGAAGTGGCGTATATAAAATGTTTGAGAATATCTTATAGAAGCAAGGCAACAGCAATACACCTCGATAATTTTTACACTCAAGTATATCCTCTTTCTTGTGGATTGGGGACTTTTTTCAAGAACTTGGCATTATTTCAGATGTCCACACGGATACAAATAGGCTTAGTGAGGCTTTAACCAGATTTCTGCCTCCTAATTAATTCTTCTGTAGAAATTCCGACAGTCGTTAGTATGCCTGAGCTGTTCAACCTCCTTAAGCTGCTTATTCTCCCAACCGAGTGTGTATCTTTGAAGCAACTCAGACTTATATGATTCTTGACATCAGTAACTCTTTTGCATTCCTCGACAAACCAGTTAGCCCTTCTCTGGCAACATTTCACTCCGATTGTTTCTTCGGCAGCTTTCCTACCACAGCTTTCTATACCACACCACATCCCTATGTCGTACGTATACATAGGGAGAAGATCAAGTTCTGATCTACCTTCAACGCATTCAAATTGAAATTCAACGCATATCGTTCCGATTCATCGGTGCCGTTAAGGATATTTTTGTGAGGGAAGAGGGTGCTACCAACAATAAGTTTTTGTGATTCACAGAAATTGATCAGCCGATGTCCATTATCACTGCTTATTTCATGTAGGCTGTGCTTCCAGATTGTTGAGGTGTAGCTTCTTTCTCTTCCGACTTTAGCATTTAAGTTAAAGCCTTTAGGCTAGAGCCTTAAAATTTTTTAACTATAGTCTTGAAGTTCAACTCATTTATCGTTGAACTCTTGAAGTTGAACTCACTATTAAAAATAACTCACTATCTGGGGTAAAAATTATAATAACCAAAAATATCTGGCAATCAAATTAATTCAAACTGGGTGATTTCAAAGGATTAGTTAGAGAGATAGATATATCAGAAGATTACAAGGTGTAAGAAATCAAAACGTTTGTATGTCTTAAAAAATTAGCTTTTTTAATGTTATGTTTTTAAAGTCACCTTGTCTGATTACATGATAATCCATAATCTTCTCACATATGTATTATGGAACTTCATAGGAAACAATATTTATATTTTATATTTCTATAAATCAAATTCCTAAAGACTAGGGACGAAAAATAGTAGAGATAATACATTAATAGTAGTTAAATACTCTTTAATGTTTTATGTTACCTAAATGTTTTTATGTAACCAGTATATTTTTTGAAAATAAATAGGCTAATTTAAATATTATAGTGACTTGAAGTACCTCATGTACTAAAAACGGTACCCAAATAGTTTTTGAACAACTAAATATCTGTTAAATTGATTGTTCACACAATGCATAACATTATAATAATAACTAACCCACTGCGATAGTCCAGACACTTTCCATACATCTGAAGATGTCATATTTACGATTTGAAGTATCTCCCAGCAAATTGATAACACATTTGTCACTGACTAGGCTGTGCTTCTTCATTGTATCCTGCCTTACAGTACTGCTTTCTATCTTAGCTCCTTCAACTTCCGGTATTTGAAGACGCAAGAATCTAAATTTTAAATATCTAATTAAAATTTGTTCGTTTTTAAATAAGTATATTTATCAACATCTGAAGCAGCAGACCAGGAAAAATACGTGGAATAATTTACTTATTTTCTTAATATTACTTATTCAACCGTTGTTAGTGGCATTAAAACTATTGGCAATCCTAAAACGATAAGATATTATTGATTAATTCAATCTGATTTTAAAATTCTTTGTTTGTTACTAAAGGAGATCGGTTTAACAGTGTTCTCGGCAAGCTAGAGATGCAAGATAATCCTCTAGAGAGCACTATTCCTAGAGAATATCTTTTTGTATCTACAAAAAAAAAATGGCTGAGTTGATTATCTTGATCCTCCAATAAGGGGAGTAGAAGAGAAGGAGGAACATCGACCAATCAGACCGCAAGTAAAATGCATCAATTAAAAATTACCAAAAATCTAACATTTTATGAATTGTATCCATCAGCTTGTAACACAAGTAATTCGATAAAAAATTAAATTAACTATTAAAGTAACCATATTGTATCAGATTTGGCATCACATGAACAATAATATGCATTATTCTTTAACATTAAATTATAGCAATCATTAATTTACAACCCCATACTTTTACTTTCGCTTACCTATATATTTAATATATAATAAGGATAAGTATTGCGATCGTGAAAATTTTTGAATCTGGGTTGTCAACGCAAGTACACATTTCGAGGTCTCCTGAGTCTAAATAACCAAGTCCCGCAAAATGGTCTGTGTGTTTGTGTTTGTGTTAACAGTCTAGCTCAAAAACGAAAAGTCGTACGGAAGTGAAATTGCATATTTAAGATAGGTACGTTGCTTAGATGTGACAGGAACTTTTTGTTAAAGTCGGCTAACCGGAAGTGCGACTTTATATCAACGCTGAAACACATTTTTTAATTTTCTCAAAATCGGCTCTAACGAGTTTAATTAAACTCGATGCATCATCGTGTAATTAAGTGGTCTTTAATATCAATTAGGTCTTATCCCCATTGATGTCACTTTACAAGGCTTAAATGCCCAATTTTCATATACGGCTTCCTCTTAAGTACCTTTAATATGGTTTATCTTAAATAATTAATCATCTCACATTAGAGTTTCGGATAAATGCTAAATCTAACTTTTGAAAGAATTCGATAATTGAATAAAGGAAAAAAAAATAAAAATGCTTATCCAGGTCGGAAATGAATCTTCGGAAATACTAGTCAGAGGGTATAGTTCAATATATCGTTGGAAAGCGGAGAATTAAAAAAACAAAACAATATCTAATATAAAAAACTGTAGAGAGAGACGAAAATAATATAAATAATAATTTCTAAAAACTAACAGTATTTAACGTAAATCACGGGTTTTCAAGGAAATCAAATGAAATTTTCTTACTAAATGTAAACTTTTTAACATTTTTTTTTAGTTTGAAAAAGTATTTAAAGTATACGGATGCAAGGCAATGACACTGTTTAAGATACTATTTCATTATAACTGTGTGAAAGAAGAAGTGAAATATAAAAATATTTCTTGTATATGTTTATAACCTCAAATATATTTACTGTATTTTGTTAGGGTTCTCGAATAACTCTAGATCTAATATTATATTTAAATAGTTAGGTATCTATCGTCCGTTTATTCCGAAAAATCATCATATAACCTTTTGAAATATTAAATTAGTGAATAATTTGATGAATTTTCGCTTTGTGATATTCGAACAGTAACCACTTTCAATTAGTGTGACAACTTTTGACCTATCTATGACAGACAATGTAAACCTCTTAATTTAATTTTAGCAAACTTTGCAATGGAAAATAACTAAATAACTAATAACTAATAGTCATACAATCCATAATCAACACATCATACAATCCATAATCAACAGATCGTACAACCCATAATCAACCGGTGATATAATAAATAAGACTTTTGTTATTTTAATGGTATTTATGATTTGTTAGCTGTAAGCTTTTAGCTTTAGCTCTGTTAAAAATGCAATTAAAAAATTTTATAATAGGCCAACATTGCCAGAAAATAATTTCTATTTATAGTTGAGCGGTAAGTGGAACTTGTGTGTTGTGCGCATAAGATTTTTATCAGTTATTACGAGGAAGGTTACGAACAAATTATGACAATTTTCACTTTTTTTTTTTATTATTCTTTTATTTTTGTATAACTAGGTATTTTCCAAGTTTTGCTGAGCTGTAAGGTGACAGATCAGAGCTTGGGAAATTTACTTTCAAGAACGACAGTTCGTCATTATAAAAGAAAGGGATAAGAGGCCTTATGACATTCGCAGCTTTATCGAAAGCATACCAAGGAGAGTTGAAGCAGTTATTCAGGCCAAAGGAAGTCCTACACGAAATTGATAAAATCATTTTTACACTCACTAACTGGTCAAGGGAAGGTCACAGCCAGTGGGTTTTCACTAATTTTTTGGCAATATTGGACAGAATATGTATAATTATAATAAGCTATAATATATTGGTCATATGAGAATAAATTCACATATATCCCGGCATTTGTTACAAAGAGCAGGAGCCCAGAAAAAAACATTCATGTGATTTCAACAATTGTATGCATTAATGTTTTTTTTCCTTTGGTCAACATAAATTTTAAGATTACTATAGACCAATCAATTCCTTTTTTCATGAAAAATAATACAAAAATATTTCCTTATATATATAGTTCAAATATATAAGAAATTACAAAAACCAAACAAGAAAGTAGGCGAAGTAAAATTATTGTTATGAAAATGGAGCTAGATTCGTTTAAATAATTTTTGAAACACTTCACTTCTCTTTACTTAATCGTTACCGTAAATTAAGCGAAGAAGCAGCTAAAAATGTATGCCTGAAGATTAATATTTCTAAAATCAAACATGACAACTTGGAAGTTTTGTTGGAAGAGACGGAAATAACTAGCTGCAGGGAATAAGGTACCGTTTTGACAGAGTAGCTAAGTTTGAATACCTGGGAACCACGATCTTATCAAATGAAATACAAGAGGGAATAAATGTGAGAAAAGTACGGGAGGGGTGGCCGAATGGGCTAACACGTGTGCGCAGTACCGCCGTTGCCCGGCAACGTGATATATGATACAAATAAAAACAAATTATCAGGAGTTCGCATCCCGGTGCCGGGGGAGTCTTTTAAATTCCCGTACACATCCCCTGGCCCGGGAAAACCCTGTATAGCCTTAATAGAAAACATGCGAGAAAAGTGACTTATTATTTGCTGTTGGCTAATGAAAAATATTTGTTACTAGTTCACATGAGTTCCTCACGGATTACGCGTGGTTCACAATCTATTCGGCCACACTTGTTCATGGAGTGGCGAATGCGTTCGGGTTTACCGGAAAGAGAACGAAGGCGACCGATCTCTTGAGTCTGTTATTTTTAATTTTCCCGCCATTTAGGTACTTCCATAACCTTAACCATGTTCAATTATACAGCAGGAGCCGACTTATATTCGAAATTCAGGCTACATCATCTTAATCGAACTTGTATATATATTATAAAGTTGTGGGAAAGAAATAGTAATAGATAAAAATCTTTAATTACTATTTCTCTGAATGCTATTTTACGATATTATTTTTCTTATTGATGATTTCCATCAGGGGTGTCCATCCCTCCCAAGGTCGATGGCGTAAGAACCTCTGCCCTCCCTCCTCCCAGGATAAGGCAGAATTAGAAAAATCGTAGATCATATACAATTACACTTGCTGTGGTCTGTTCCATGTTTTCCCCTTGTCCCGCTGTCCGAAAATTCATAATCCTGTCAAAATTTGTTTCCCACAAAAATGAAAATATATTTATGAAAATATATTTCCCGTCAAAATATACCCACCTCAAAAATTTTGATGGCGCAACTTGCGAGATGAAACCCCCTTCTGGACACCCCCAATTTCCATTATTCATTATCTAGGAATTATCAGATGTTCGTCGTCAGTTGTTTCCCCAACACGTTAAGTCCTTCCTCGACAATAAACATGATTTTTTTGTTTCTTTTTTTAAGAATGACTATAATGAATCCCAATTTTCGGATTACTAAGCAAAATAATTACGAATAATAATAATTACTTAGGTAATTTATTGAATAAAAATAATAGCGGCTTGCTAAAATAAATTATAAATTCAATTATTCCAACTTCTATTGAAAAACTCGAATAACAAATAATATAAGAGATAACTGCAGATTATTTATTATCCAAATGATAAAAAAAATATTTCTACAAGCATTTTGTTTTTAACGGGCCTTGAAGGACGACTCAAACATTATTTTATATTCTTTTTTCTTTAGAGTAATAACCGTTAAAAAAAAAGAATAATTAACAAATTAGTAAATACATAATTCGGTAATAAATTGTTAATAAGGATGGCATTTTTCAAAAATATCTGAAAAGGGATTCTCCGGTGGGGGCAATAGCTGACGTCATAAAATACTGCAACATTCGGCTGTTTTCGGAATTCCATGAATAAGTGTGATCGAAGTTAAACGAATCTAACAAGATGCTTGAAGGTAAAAAAGTACAATCCGCAGTTCTTAAAAAAATATCTTAGTAACCCAATGATCTAAATCCATAGAGGGTGAGTACAAGCAGTATTCCTTTTAAACTTCTTAGGTAAGCGTGGATAAATTAATTGCAGCTGTATTTTCACAACAGTCTCTTTGGGACTAACGAAATGATGAGCAATGGCCAGAATTTATTAAGCAGCGCTCGAATAGGAAATCTAATGTTCAATGAAAATACAACCTTCATCGAAGCAAAAGAATTGATCCTGAGAATTCTTTGAATCGGCTTTAAATAACAATACGCCTAATTTTAAAAATAATAATTCGTTTCCAGATTTAAAACAGGCAAAGTACCTTCTAAAAGGGCTAGGCTATCTTCGCCTATTAAATCACGAGTCAGTGAAGACAGTACATTAACAGAATATAAAAATATTACTTCTTACACTATGATCACAAGTAACCCAATAACAAACATCTTCATAAAACAGAAGATAAAATTTCGCTAAATGAGAGACTAAGCTTAAACGTTGATTCGATTTCAAATATTATATTTGTGATTTTTAAAAAATTAAAAGAAACATAAAATGTAAATATTAGCAGTACTGATCTTATGGCCAATGACTGAGTCCAATTCTTATCTGAAAGATCATATTTCTATGAATTATTTGTCGCAGGTGCATCGTACTTTTTATAATACATTATACATAAATTTTCTCTATTTACAAAACATTAACATTAATATCCATATATTATTTTTTTTAAATAAAACTCATGATAAAAATTATGCAATGGAACGCTAGGTTAGCCATATCAAACAAAGACAATCTAGAGATATTTTTATCAGAACATAACATAGATGTAGCTATATCAAGCGAAACCTAGTTTCGCCCAATTGGTTAGGTAAATTTTCCGGGATATAATAATATTCGATTTGATCGTGACGATGGAATTACAGGTGTTGCTATTTCAATTAAATCCAATTATATAAACCTAGCAATGACCTTCAGGTAATTGGAGTTAAAACCCATGATTAAGGTAAGCATCTATCTTTAGTGTCTACTTATAACCCGATTTCAAATAACACTTCTGTTGATGAATGGGGAAAATATTTTAATAGTATCTCCTGCCCATTCTTTATTGCTGAGGGTGTTAACTGTTACCACTCATCCTGGGGCAGCGTTAAATCAAATTATGGAGGTAAATAAATACATTATCTCAGGCAATTGATGATGTAGGTTTGATCTTGCTAAATGATGGGTCGCCTACTAGAGTTAAAGATATTTGTCAAATAAACGGAAGCTGTTAAGTTTTTTGGTCTCCCTTTCCTTTCTTTCTAGACTACAGAGGATATTTCCCGGGCCGGGGGAGAGGGCGGAGGAATGTTTTATATATATATATACGGTGGGCCAGATCCCTTACCGAGCACCCTCCCCCCCTCTACATCCATATAAATTGCATATCGTGTTCCTTGTAACTATTTATTTAAAAAAAGCCAATGTTCCCCAAAAAAAAAGCTGAATGCACTGCCCCGAAATGGCGTCATAGCATGGCTGACTGACGAAGTAGTTAGTTTTTTGGTCACTGAGAATCAGCATTTAGCTTAATTTCGTCATAGTTGGTCTTTTATTAAAGCTGGATAGGCAGAGAATAATAAAACATGAAAATATATTAACGAATAATTGGCTAAGGCAATAAAAAATACTAGTAAAGCCAATTGTTTTAACAAAAACATTTTTCAAGTTGAAAACCAAGCTTCGTTTGTAATTAAACGGCCAACAATAACGGAAAATAAAACATCTTTCTAAAACACTGATTACTTTTTAAAGTATTTGAAGCAGTTCCCTAAAATTCTCATAAGCAGCAGAAAAGCGGTACTGCCGAAACTGCCTACAGGTAAGGTTGCCCAAAATCGGTCTTGGTCTGGCACTTTGCAAGACCAAGACCAGGATTAGTAAAAAAAATCGAATTTTTGAATAAAAATTAAGACAAAATAGTTACTAATACTTGACAATTTTAGTTACTATATGTAAAGAATTGGTATAACCAATATACTTTTGCTATTAACTCCTCTAATTTTTCATTCGGGCTTAGTTAGGTTTCTCCTATCTAAAAAATCACAGTAACATCTCTATATCAACAAGTTAATAATTAACTGCAAAACTGTTGCTATAGAGGTGCAAATCGAGAGAGGGAAATACCTCTCCTTCTGTTTTGTGCATTTACAAAAGATTTTTAAAGGAATCTGAAAGGAAAACGAACTTTTCTGAAAGATAAGTAGATATTAGCACAATGAGAGTGGGGTGGTCGAATAGGCGAACGTGTGTGCACAGGACCGCGTATTGCCTGGCAACCGGATAACTAAATTTGAATACAATAAAATTACGAGTTCGCCTCCCGGTGTATAGGGATCTTTTAAATTCCCCGCCCTCATCCCCTGACCCGGGAAAGCTCCCATATGCCTAAAAAGGGGAGGTAGATGAGGGAAAAATATTAGATAAAAGGAAGATATTAGCACAAAGCTATTTTTGTTTCTTGATCGACTTTACCTGCCTTAAAGTGAAGACTGTCCCAATGTGCAACTTCTGTTCCAAAGTGCAACTTGAGTTTCTCAATCCAAATCGCTATGACAATCGACAGTATTTCTTATTGTAGCTTCTACGATTCTTGAGTACTGTTTCTTTGGCACATTAAACAGGAATGAATCTCGGGTATTACATTTCCTAGTATCTCCTTCCTTATAAAGAGACGAAACTACAGTCTTTTCATATCATTTTCTAATGGCATATTATTCAATATACATTGAAAAAGTAAAGAAATATATATTTACATTTGTGGCCTATGTAAGGGGGCGGGATGGCCGAATGAGCTAACGCGTGTGCACAGCACCGCGATTTGCTCTACAACCAGATAGTCGAAGTTATGAGATATTAAAAAGTACGAGTTCGCGGCACGTTACCGGAAGGGATTTTAATTTCCCAGCTCACCCTCTCCTTCTCCGCCCGGTAAAACCTTGTATAACCTAAAAGGCGAGAAGAACGGGAGGGAAAAAAATATATTTCCCATGTACGCACAGCAGTTCGGTTTACTTCGTCCAGACCTGCTGAATTGATGATTGCTTCGAATGAACAAATCTTTTTTTCAGACAAAATGGTCTTCACTATAACCCGGCATCTTCCCTTAACATCACCCAAACTGTTCTAACATTTGACCCCCTTTTAGCAGCTCCTTGAAACATTCTATTCATCTGTCTACTAGGGAAAAAGTTGCTGTCACATCTAAGTCATATATACCTAAACAGGGTTAAATACACAATACCAGTTTCGTACAACTTTTCGTTTTTGATCTAGACTGCTAACATACACACACACAGACCATTTTTCGGGACTTCATCATTTTGACTCAGGGTACCTCAAAACATGTTTATCCGTTGAAAACTCAGATTCAAAAATTTTTGGATCACAATATTCACCCTTACTATATATACGTAAGTGAAAATAAAAATAAGAATTTAATTTTTAAAAATTGAATAAGGAAAAGGAATTCCAGAAGTAAGTATTGGGTTATAACTTACTTATTGGCATGAAACATAACTCCTCCTGAACTAATTGTCTTCACACTTATGGCAGATTCATTAGATACGGGGAATGTTGGAGATACCTCAATATTATGGAATAAACGATCACCTTCCTGGTTTAAAAAAGAAAGGTTAACACTCATGGCATCTGCAATACCACAACCATTACATCTCAAGATATCTTCGACACTTTCTAAAGAAGAAGCAGTGAGCAAGGCACGGGCAACGAAAGCCCTCGCTAGGAAAATAAAAATTAATGAACACTAATTTTTGAAAGAAAAATATAAAAATCGATATGTTTGTGATTTCAATTACAACAGAAATTAATTGTTGAACATAAAAACAGTCTAATAACTCAATGGTATTTCTATTCTTTATATACAAATAAATTTTCCAACGTGAGCAAGAACACTTACGTAATTTTCCTTTCCCTAAATGCTTAGCACTTATAGGGTTGATTGCGTAAGTTAAACCATGATTATTAAATCCCATTGTAAAACCAGGAAGAAAGCCTGCATAGCAGAATGCAGTAAATATTTCTTCAGGATGTGATTCAGTTATATGAGCTTTTACAACATAAATATTGTTTAATACTTCTTTTAAAGAATCTACAGTATGACCAATAATTTCCTGAAATAATGTAATTTTTTTAGCCTAGAACAATGTGTGGTTTAATGGATAATGCTTACCAGTGCCGGCCTTAGACATTCGGCGCCCTCTGAGCAATGATTTCATCCTCTAAAAAAAACTAAATTTATTTCTATATTAATTAATATTTAAATTGTATTTCCCTAATACAGTTGCTTTATTTATACGCTAAAATAAATTATTTAAGCTTCTGATGATCGGCCTCGGAGGCATTTACGCGGATTGCCTGGCCCTAAGGCAGGCACCAGTTCATAAAAAAAAATGCAAATTTATTATGATGGCAACATCTCTAATGAGAGAGAATAAAGAATGAATGAATGAGATAAAACAAAGAAGAAACGTTGTGATAAAGAATAAAGTGAAAAATCTGGATAAGGGTTGATTAAAAGGTTAATCAAATCTCATTATTTAATTTCATCATGCATTGGTTAATACATACAGAATGTTGCTCATTCAGACATACAGTAGAACAACCTTGGCCTTCATTGCCTTCTTTCATTTCTCCTACACAAACTGGTAGGATATCGTCCAAATGAAGCAGAAAAAGCTGAAAGTAATATCAAAATTATCAATAGATCAAAAGTTAATCAATATATAAAATTCGTAAAGGAATTACTTTATAAAAGGGGACATCAGCTCCATCAGACATTCCTTCCATTTCTTTTATGTATTGAGGATAATATTTCATAACAGTTTGATACGCCTTGTCATATACCTCTTGGCCATCTTTGGTATTGTATAAAGGGATATATACTTTATTTAAACAGGGATGAATATCAAAAAGTGTATTTATCAGTCCACAAAAAGTACGCCCCTAAATAAATAAAATAAAAAAGTAAAATATAATAAGTAAAATTCATAAAATCTTAATATGCGTCATTTAAAAATTTTGGTCACATTTATGTCACTGCATAATAATAGCATCAAATCACAAAAGTAGTTAATTATTTTTTCAAATAAACTATCCTTTTGGAAGTGTGCATAAAATTCATTATATATATATATATATATATATATATATATATATATATATATATATATATATATATATATATATATTTATCTTATCTATATTTATCTATATACCTTTCGATAGAGTTTGATCTATAAATCCCGGTTCTGTAGTACAGAATCTGTAGAGATTGTTTTCTCTCCCTCCACTCAAGATCTCTCCCGTCGAAGGCCTTTTTCAACCCTTCATCCCATGACTTCCTGGGTCTTCATCGAGGTCTTTTCCCTTCTGAGGTAGCTTCGTTGGCAGTTATTACAATGCTACTTTCAGACATTCGAAACACTTGTCCGAACTACCTCAAGCGATGTTCTTCAAATATTTCCTCATATTGAGCCTCGCTCTACTCGTAGTTTTCCTCACGCAGTCCCTTCTTGTCTTCTCCTAAACTTTCTGAAGGTATCTCATTTCCATTGCTTCGATCTGAATCTTGTGTTTAGTCGTGAGGATCCAATATTTGCTTGTATTCGTCAGAATTGGAAGAAATGTATTTTTACGGACTACTTTATTTTTGTTGGTATGTTTTGAAATTGTTTTTTTTCTTCAGGAAGCCAGTTAACAGGGAATCGTCCATCTCCTTGATCTCACCATCAATCCATCCAAACTCATTTAGTCACTTATATCCAAGATGCTTATAGTCGCTCACCTGTTCTCTTCCAGCCTTTCGACAGTATTCAGTCCTTACGGTCGTTTTCTCTTCCTATTTTCATAAATATGATTTTCTCTGAATCGATTGTCATAAATATTTCTTCAGCTCTTCTTGGCGGATACGAAGGTCGAATTAGCGGTTTTTCCAGTTACTCCCAAATACAGCCAGGTCAGCAAATGCTAGTGTTGCGTATGTTTCTTTTTAGAGTCTCCTGAAGCCCAGTTGAAACGGTCTTATGTTTTGTATGTTTTTTTTAGTGCGATGTCGAAGGTAATTATGAAAAGGAGCGGACTTGAACCGCATTAAACTGCTAATGCCGGTAATAGTTACGAACTCTTTGGAAGTGGCAGGTTCTGACTACTTTTATCTGCTTAAGGTATACGCTTATAATAACTAGTCTTAGTCCCACTTCTTCTCCAAATTCCTGCAACGCCTGTTCTGTGTCTAATACTTAGACTCTGTCGAAGGCTTTGGGCAGGTCAATGTAACATACGCTTCCCTGTTATTTTCGATAACCTTCTCAGAGACATCGGCGCAGATATCAGGAGCGGAGGAGGCTAATATATATGAAAACAATAATCTTCGTGCTGAAGCCTTCACCTAAATCAAATCTTGAATCCTCTATTACATTATATTATAATTTTATTTATTTAACAGATGTTTGGCTGCCACGAACATGGAGACATAGCTGGACAATCTCGGAAAATCTCGGAGGTTACCCGCAAAAGTGTTCTGAAATTCATTGCTCTGGCAGACATTTCTTTTGTATGACTTTTTTCTAATAATATTTCATATTAATTAAGATTATTAAATTAATGTAATATTAATAATTATTCGTATTAATTAATGTTCATATTAATTGTATCAATATTTTTCATGCTAATTAATTAAGCAAGAGATTCAAAAATCCAAAGAAAATACAAATTAAGAGATAAATAACACTTACCACATTATATCCTACTTCATAATAAGTTCCTCTGACATGATGAATAGGAAGAGAGTTGTGTCGTTTTTCAGTGTATGTTTTAGAAAACATAAAACTCATTTTAGGTTTAATCCAATGATAGCTGACAATCTAAATAAATCAGCTTCTAAACCGTTAAAAACACAAAATATTTTATTTCATATTTTTGCAAGATTTAATATCTCCATACTCTTTGTTTAAATCTAAATTAATAACTATTTCTGGATACAAAATGTCCATAGATTGACAATATAATAAAAAGCTCTTAACATCTAATTATTATTTATATTGCTTGAACTCCACTTCATTATTGGAGCTTGTAGAACTTGAGTTTGAGGATGTGGTAGTATAGTCCGAGAGCCAGTACAAAAAAAAAAATTATCTGCTGAGAATTTTGAAAGCAGTTTTTTGTACGGGTTCTCGGACTAAATGGGAATTAGATACACTTGCCTATGCTACTATTCTTCTCAATCTAGATTTCAAAGTTACCCTATTTAACTGATTTATCAGTCTGTAACTCTCTATAAGAGATTCGAGCATTAGATAGCAGAGGGACTTGACAACTGCATTAGAAAATATTGCTATGTATCAAACGATAGAGAAATAGGTTTTAAATTCAATGTTATCAAGGTACGTTGTTAACGACGGGGTGGGTATAAAGAGGTAAACCACGTCAACCATTACTTCACAGTTCATACAAGTAAGGCAGAACATTGGACCAGCCTAATAAAGAGGAGATTTCGATGTCAGACCGCCATGCGATGAAGCTTTCAACTAAACTGAAGTAAATAAGTTAACTTTTCTGTAGAAAGAGTTTATTGTTAACATTCCCGAGAGGAACTGCATAATGAAATGCGTCAGTTGAAATAAAATTGCAATAATGGACGACTTGGGAGATTTATCAAAGGAGAACTAACTATTATTATAACCTACTCCTCGGCATTGATGGGTGTGGCCAATTTAAACAATTTTAAGAAATAACCGCTCATTGAAAGATGAGGGAGTCCAAAGATCCTCCTCCCGAAAGTTGAAGACGAATCAGAAACTATCTCTTCTCGCCCTCTTGAGAGGAAGAATAGAAATAAATTCTACTAGAGATGAAAAAATGGGGGCTTCCCTTATTTCTTTTTTTCATGACTAGAAGATTATAGAAGTAATTCTATTTTGCAAGCTTCCCTTAGGACTTAGGCGGCTGCAGCTCTATCTTCACGGAATTGGACCTTGGCACCTCTTTAGGCAAAGATGTCAGACCGGAACATGGAGTTTGATTGCGACAATCCGAAGAATGAAACGGACTCAGAATCAGAATCTAATCAACTTATAAGTTTGATCGTATGTAATGTTTATCCCAAACAATAATATATTAATTTTAAAATATTTTGTGGCAATATCTGAAATCAGTCATTGTTTTAGAGCATTTATCGAATTTATTGAATCATACATTTATTTAGAATCTTTATTAAATTATTTTATTCATACTTTTATCTTCATTCCCTTATTAAGTATATTTTAAATGAATAAATTAAGTTTTACAATAAGATCATCATTAATTTCATCCACCTATGCATACCATTATGATTAACACTAGGTAATGTCGGTAATTACAAAACTGATTGACACCAACAAATATTCTGAAAATGTAATCCAATAATTAAACGTGGACCAAGTTGATCTTCCCAATTTAATGAATTGAAATGTAATACCTCTGATATATTATATATTATCCTCAATAATTTTCCAGTGGTATCCCGAAAATAATGTTGTAAAACGATAGTAATATATTAGGAAAAATATACTCGAATCGTGGGCCTATACTCGAATGAGCTGGGAAAAGAGGAAAAAATTGTGTAAGATTAAAGATAGTCCTGAGACCTGAAGGTGACTGTATTTCTATCATGATACACACCTAAAAGCAAGACTTATAAGGTACTCCTGAACGTGGAAAACACTTAATTGCATTGCGGATGTCTTAACGACGCAAGACTACACTGCAATATTATCAAACAGCTGGATATACTGCACTACACGTCAGTGAAAGTAATGTTGAGAAAATATTAAAGATTTTAAAAATGTTGTATGCGTTATAGGCTTGGAGAAGTTTAATATCCTGAATTAAAAAATGTTTGTATTATCATTCATATACATCAAACGAATTTTTTTTTTAGTGGATATTTGGTCTAGTAGTAAAAATCAGCGTTGGTTGACCGTGGTTTTAAACCATACCGTGTTACCAAATTATAAAGTTTATGTACTTAGGTGAAAAAACAAAACAAAAATCTCACAAATCTGACTTTTTTGGCTGTAAAAAGTTTTTTCTAGGCCCGCGTTAGTAATTTTGTTTTTTACATGTCCATATATACAAGTTAAAAAAATTAAAACTTTTTTCAAATTTTTCGCAATGGATTTCCCGTTTTGATCCTCAAATTACTGGACTATTTTTTTCTAAATCAGCCGCCATTGCTTAAAGCAGCAACTATGGAACGACAGACAAGGTTCTTTTTACTCAGAATAACATAAAATTTCGTAATTTACAATCAAACTAGTGCTACTAGACGAGTAGACAGGGTGTCTGAATTACGTTGCCATACTTTTGCAACGTAGGGCTCTGCTCACTTGGCCACTCCACCTCCCTAAAATAACCAGTTGAGTCTCAGTGACAAAATTCTTTCCATACGTTCCTATCATAAATAGGTGTAAACAATATTAGTTTAGTCATAATTCTCTCAGTTCCTCTTGTGCTAATCGAATTTTAAAGTCGCCGTAAATGAATTTTAGCCGTTTTTAAAAATTCAAATAAAAACACAAGTTTTTTTAGAAGATAATTTCTCCAGCATATAATACGTGTAGCATGTAGTAGAGCTACACAATAAAAAAAATGTCGTCAAAGTAAGGTCAAAATAGCTTCTTCCCCATTTTCATTGATTTCAAAAGAAACCAACACAATCACAAATAAGCCGTTATTTTTTGCTCTCTGTATCATGTAAATATTTATGTGTATAAATATTAATAAATGAATATTAATAATAAATGAATATGTATATTTAATTCAAGGTAATGAAATGCAAACGTTTAAAAAAAAATACCTGCGTACGTCGTCTTTCTTAGCCTAAATAAAATATATTTACAAATAAACAAACACGGAATTCTTAAATTAAAGATAACTTGAGTTTTCTTTAATGCTGGCGAATTTTAAGGGAATGCCTTATATATTAAAAATATCATTAAGTAATATTTAATAATCCTGAACGACTAAGAACTTTGAAGAGTTTTCCCCTTGTGTTATCAGAAAATTTTGCCCTTGTAACTAACTATATTTCTTATATAAAAGGATTAGTGTCACTTTAGTGCACTTTATATGTTTTTTTTTCAATAAATAATGCCGAATTTAACAAAAATGTGGTTAATACAACAGCTCCATCAAAAATGTACTTGATGACTTTTTGCAATAAACCGATGATAACAAACCATCCATATACGCATCTGCGTATGTTTTAGTCCCTCCCCTCCCCAATCAGTAAAAATTAGATTAAATCAAAGTAACTCCAGTAGATATTACGCAAGTCACATCTAATCGTCACAAGACAGTTTAAAACCCTTTTTTTTTTAGACTAATAACTGTTTAAAATAAACAGTTTAAAAGCCATCTCAGTTATTTATATAGATTTTCATGGTTGAATGGAGTTCAATAAAATTGGTTATACGCAATTACGCACTATTCTCCACATTTCCTCTAAATTTGGGCAAATCAAATGCACTATTTTTGAACTATAGTCGCGTCAAATACACTTCGATTGTAGATTCCTGCATTCCTAAGTTCTATTATTTTTTTAAAGTATTAGATAGAACCTGATGAAATAGATACCTACTTGATCATTTAATTAATCAATCCCTAAATTTCCTCATATGTTGGGGCAAATCGAACATGCGATTTTTGGGATACAGGCGATAATAATAAAGGATAATAGGTTTGCGCATATTTAAGATAAAGTAGTCGACGGAATTCAATAAAATAGACACAGCATTTTTTTCCAACTTTGAGGCGAATCGTATGAGCTGTCTCAGAAATATTGGTGTATCTAAGATAATACATTTGCGTGTGTTTAAGAATTTGATGAAATTAATATGGGATCATTCAGACACCAATCCGCACAATTCTTCGAATATCATGAAAATTTGATATGCGGTAGTAGGTGATATGCCCGTTACATCTATTTGACTACAGACACCGAACCAACTTAATGTTTGGAATGTCAAACGCGAGTGCAAATTTTGGATTCTCAACACATATTTTTTTCAAACTCCCGCTCGAATACAAAGCTTCCCCACCTTCGGTAGTGAGGAAGCAAAAAGATCAAAGGTGAGTCTTTTTTCATTATTACACATGTAAAGCACTAAAAATCTCGTTTTTTGTTAACATCATGTTTTTGTCAAACTACTTTTCTTCCTCCTTAGGTGATGTATTGAAAGACAAAAAATAAGTATGATGATTCCCATTATTTATGGGAATATATGCAAAATTACCAGAGTTAGACATTTTTCCAAAAACATTTTCAGTCGAAAAGCAAATTTAAAATGGCCATATAGAAATATGTTTGAGGTTATATAATTTCTAACCATAGTTTTGAACACAGTTTATAAAAAATTATAAAAATCAAAAATGTCGCTCAACATGATCTAGATGATTTCAAATGGATTTTCTCTTAGTATCAATAAATATTTTCATAATATGTATTATCTGGTTTATCAGGATATCGGTCATTACCTTAAATGTGGAAGCCGGAAGGAGCTCTTGGTCTGTAATTACAACAAATTTACAGCCCTTCCGTAGGATAAAACAGATTGGCAATGCCTGAGGGTCACCAATATGACCCATAATCTAATTGCTCCACAAGAAATGACAAGAAAAATTTGATAGAATCGAAACTGCTGATCTTCCTTCAGCATTCAAAAAGGTTTGCCTTCAACATCTGAAGAGTAACCGGACTTTGACCCTCCATGAAGATTTCTGGTCAAAATGGGAGACCACAAAATAAAAAATCGTCTTCGAAATCTCGATGTTCAAAAAGAAACATCGCAGTACCTGAACGATACTGGAACTACATGTAACAAATAATATAAAACAGGATCAGGGTGGGGAAGAGAATTTTATGTGACATTCTAATACACTGCCTCCTTACATTAATTTATTACCACTCTCGTGATTTATAAATAACCGATTAAGCTACGTGTTGTTAGACAGCCTATTCAACAGGTCTGTAATTTTTTAACTTTCTACAAGAGCTGTTAGTAAATAAAATAATGCTATATTCTTAAATCAGTCAAAATGAAGCATTGAATTCGGAGTTTTCTCCGAAGTAATTTTATACTTGTGCTCTTAATTTTATGGAGTTAAAACAATAACAAAACCTATTTAAGAAATACTTCATAATTTATTAGATACCATTTACTTTATATAATTTAATCATTATTGATCAGTTATAAACATTTATACATATATTAATTTCAAGGAGCTGTGAGTGTGAATAATATGTTAATGAAAAGGTGAATTTTATTGAAAAGAAAGGATTCAGCAACGTAAATCGAAAGAGTCATTAATGGGAAAATTTCATATAGATATGGTACTTGAAATGGCAAAACACTATTATAAAAAACTACTCATCCTAACATTCATTAAATTTTAATATTGTCAGAAGCCTTTTAAATCATCTCGACTACATTCAAAATGAGAGATCTTAAAAAATACTAACCAACTATTCTTAAGTAGTCCAGGTAATAGGGCCGGTTTAAACAGTCTCTATTTCACATACAGGTTACTCCACATCTTTAAGAAAGGTCTTATTGTTTGTTTTTTTCTGTTCTTAAAAGGTAATGAATAATTAGTAAAAAGGGTACTAATCCTCAACTTCAACTTGAGTTATTATAACTGCATCATCAAATGGCATTATATCGTATGTAAAATATATGTTTCATGACAATTGTATACCACAACAATAAATAGTTTCTTTATAAACAGAATTAAAATTAAAAAAACACAGGACAACAATTAATTTCTTTAATATTTTAAAATATTAATTATATTAATAAGAAAATAAAATTCAATGAAAAATTGATTTGTTACAAACTTTGTTTACAAATTTACAAACAGCTGAAACAAATTCATGAATATTTTATAGCTATCGATTCTATTAAATAACAATCCTATATATTATTTCTAAAAGGTGTTTTTTTGTCGGTAAGTTATAACTTCGTCAATTCTTCATCAAATCCAATCATTTACCACTCATTTTAAAGATATTCTTCGCCTTCACATACAAAAATAGTCCTGCACCTCCTCCCCCTCCCGAAGTTTGTGGAAACAAAGTTATGAAGGAAAAGAAACTTTATTTGCGAATAACTCAAAGAGTACGCATTTTTTTTCTTGATTGTATCCATGATAATTAGAAAGATCACTAAATTACCTACAAAATAAAAAAAGTCGTAAAAATCTATTAGAAATATGTATAATTTAAGCAATTCGTATTGACGGAGTAAAGTGTGTTGAAATATTTTTTTAAGCTGAAACAGAGTTGAGATATGTATTTCGCACCTCGAAAGACCCTGGAATACGAATTTTCATTGTGATCAAAAACTAAACATTTTTTTCTACAAATTTGAACTAAGGCTCTTTTCTAACCGGATGCGATTAAATATATCCGGATGGCAAGACCAAGATGAACATGCCGTGATATTTGGATGGATGAGACCTAAACCACAAAAAGCTGCTCAGCACGGAACCAGATGGAAAAAGAAAAGTTTATTGTTGATGATTGAAAAATGTAAGTAAAATAATTTAATCTGAAAATGGCGTGTATAGTCATCAGAAGACCGAAACTGAGATGGATGGATGGAATAAGTGCCGAAGCCACAATACTTGAAATCAGAATCTGGTGGACGGCAGCTGGGGGCAGACAAAATTGGAAGATGACTTGAGGCAGCCAAGAATCAATAATGGATTGTAGATCTTGGGGTGATTATGACAGAAAAGTGAAAGCGACACAGATTTTTCAGACGCCATTTTGAAATGAGAGGGCGGATTTAATGACAAGTTGGGAGAAGATATACCGCAGTAATATCGGAGAAAAATCGCTGACGGTGAACAGAAAGCAAAAATTTAATGGATTTTCCGATTTTATGTATCGTGAAACGCAAAATCTCAAATTTTGAGGGGATTAACGTTTCGTTTTTCTTGATCAATTACAATGGTTCATTATTGGAATTAATAAACCAAAATTGCATACATGATTAAAAGAAAATAAACATTTTAAGTGCATTTTTTACTTTACTACCTATACTACTAGGTAAGGAAAGTATTGCGATCGGGTCAAATTTCCGATATGCGGTTTTCGACGGATTTATACGTTTCAGAGACCTCTGAGTCCGAAAAACACATTCTTGGCCATTGGTCTGTCTGTCTGTGCAAAGATTTTCTCGGGAACTACTGAACCGATTTTGTTTTTTATTTTGTAGCGCGTTAACCACTGATTCCTGAGAAAGAAATTGGGTGCTCCATGCGCAATAGCTGCTGCGCAATAAATTAAAAATATGCTTTTCTATAGACAGTAGCGCGAAAACGGCACTAACGATTTTGATGAAACTTTCCTATAATGTTCTAATAATTGTCCTTTCAATTTTCGTACATAGATTAAATTCCCGTAAAAATCAGGAAAAAAAGTTATAAAGAAAAGAAAAAGATTTCGGGGCCTAATTCGCTAAGTATATATTCTATGGTAAAATTTATAATGTAACTTTTGAAAGGTAATTAAATTACCAATAAAACAAAAAAAAATCATCGGAATCGAACCAGTATTAGCGATGATACAGCGTATTCTATTTTCTACACATGTTTTAATTTATTACTTTCCTACCTATACTAGGTAAGGAAAGCATTGCGATCGGCTCAAATTTCCGATATGCGGTTTTCGACAGATGTATACGTTTCAGAGCCCTCTGAGTCCGAAAAACACATTTTTAGCCATTGGTCTGTCTGTCTGTGCCTAGATTTTCTCGGGAACTACTGAACCGATTTTGTTGCTTCTTTTCGTTTCAGAGTCCCCTGATACCTAACTGCCTCCCCTCACCCAAGATTGCTCAATTTCAAGCAAGAATGCTCACTTTTCTTAAAAACAGAGGAAGCTAAGGTAGAATTTGAAAAATCATATACAATAACAATTGCTGCGGTCTATTTCCCCCTTGTTCCTTAATCCGAAAATTCATAACACCCTCGAAATTTCCCCTCCCTCAAACATTCAAAAACCCGTCAAAATATGACTCCACAAAAATTTTGATAGCACAACTTGATGGTGCCAGAAACCCCCTTCTGGGCACCCCTGCTCAGAGTAGCTTTGGCCATCACTGACTTAAACCATCCTTACACTCACTAAAACCTGTTAACTATATTTTTAAGATATTTGAAATTAATAAAATTTGTGAAATTTCTTGAAGAAATATCACACCCTTCGAACTTTATTGATTTTAATAGATGTTTTCGACACACTTTGTCCATTTAACGCAGCAGTTACATTTAATTTTTCTATATTATTTTAAACATTGAATTTTTGTAATTTTTTTTTAATAACTTTTATTCAATACACAGATTATTTTTCAAAACTATGAAATCATAGTAAAAAAAGTCAAGATTGAGATATTTCCAATGTACGGAAGTTCGTTTTGGGAAGACCCGACTATATTTATTTCTTTGGCATCTAACTTAATAAATTTAAAGTTTTCCTGAAACAAATCTTGCCTCAGATTCATCGATTGAAAAGGAACAAAATTATCCAAGTTATTGGAAATTTAGTTTTTTAAATTTTACATTGTCTCTATTTCTGATAACAATTAAAATATTTTGTGATCCTCAGGATTTACATTAAAATGAATCAATTTAAAAACGAAAAAATTTATGTCCCGATTTCTGGACGGCTTAATTGATTTTCTGTTTTGATGAACCAAATATTGGAAATCACATTGAACTACATTTTACATTCCATTTATATCTTCAATTAAACTAATTGCATATATTTCTGAGATAATTAAAAAAATATATGAAAATCCCCTATGTCTGGGTAAGATACCAGAACTGACCTACTCCCCACGTTTTAGCCTTTTCTTTAGACAACTTGGTTTTATAAAACACAAAATTCAATCCACTTGGGCGAGAAACAAAACTATTTGAATCTTTCTTAAGATAATTTAATTTAATAAAAGGATGACCAGTATATGAAGGTAATAAATACAAAGTACACTAGACAAAGAGGTGTAAGGTTTACAGTATAAGACTATTTTCATAAAAGGGTTATGGGATCAGTTTTTGAATCAAATAAAAAAACTAGTTAGAATAAATTATATTTTATTTGAGTTTCAAAAACTATATCTTTTTTTTTTTTTAATCTCTAATATGAAAGCATAACCATCTATAAATTAACAGGACAACATTAAAAATTTACATAAATTAACATTTAATTAAGTAAGGAACAAGGTCAAATAACAATAAAACAAAATTAAATTTTCAAATGTTTAGTCTAATTTAGTCTATTGTTAATAGTCCAATGGCAGTACAGCAATGGGGTCACTCAACTTGGGATTATCCAGATATATACTCCATGTCCGTGCCAGACAGTCAAATATACCTGTTAAATAAATAAAAAATTATAACACTAATAAAAAATGTTTTTGAAACATCTTGCTTACTTATTTTACAATTATACTATTTCTATTCTTTTTATATATACGGTCACCAAAAATAAAAATTGTTAGTCATAAACTGTAATTCACTCCAAAAGCTTACTAGATGTCACGCTTAAAGTCTGTGACAAACTAAAAATCTATTTAAAAAATGAACAACACAGAATAGTTCCTTATGACACTTTCTTTCCTTATATTATATTTACTTTTATATGTCAATAGATATAATTTAATGAAACTAATTTATAGGTAATAGATTCTGGCAATGTACATTAAATAGAAAGTCAACAGGAGATAATTTATAACAAAAGAAGAAATAAAAATATAAGCAAAACATTTTATCTTGATATGATAATAGTTCTGAAGATTGTTAACTTTACATATTGAAAATCGGTACTTCACTGTCAAATTAAATAAATGATAAATTAATAATGTCATGTATGACAGAGAAAAAGCTTTGATCTTCAGCTTTTGCAAAATACTCTTCAGGCTATATTAAAATTTCTTCAAACTAAAGTTTCTTCAAGACAAAACATTTACAGGTCTCAAAACCTTGTTTCCAACATAATAACTTAGTTATTTCCACAACCAAATGATTAATCTTGGTGATGGTATGATCGTATAGTAAAACAAAATTCATATTTTGTCACTAAGTTCCCTTCTCCAGAGTTGTCAGAAAAGGTATTATTGTATGGCAAAAGTTGCGTAAAATTTGTAAATTGTCAAGAAAATGTTTATATTTAATTTATATAAAATAAATTCAGTAATAAATTAGAGTGATAATAAATTTGAAGGTTTGCATTAAAAAATTAACTTTATATTTTGTTTTTTAAAGTCACTTTGTGTGATTGCCTGATCACCTCATATGTTAAATGTTTAATGATGATTCACAGGGACCAGCTGTTTTATGTTATATTTCTAAAAATAAAATTTCTTTAGACTAGATGAAAAAATAGGAACAATTAATGTTCCTATTTCTAATATATATTTATAGTATACATAAATATTTTTATGATCATTAATAATTATGTAATTAAGTGACCCCCACAGGACATTGAACTTTTAATAACTCACCTACTGCGACTGTCCAGACATTTTCCACAGATCTAAAGATGTCATATTTTTTATGTGTAGTATCTCCAAGTAAATTTAAAACACACTTATTATTAATTATGGTGTGTTTCTTCATTGTTTCATGCCTTGCTGTACTGCTGTCTTTCATATCCCCTTCAAGTTCTGGTATTTGAAGACGTAGGAATCTAAATTTTCAAATAACATTTTTGTTAATTACATCATAATTAAAAAAATATTTGTTTATTAATGTACTATTAACATGTAAATCTAGTATACTAAAGAGTATGAAACATGTGAATTGTTTGAATAAATATTTTTTTTATCAGTAATACACTGGAAAGAAAAATAACTTGATACCTGAAAAATATTTTTAAATTCATACTCCATATCATATAAAAGTTTATTCCTTAGTAGTCCGTAATACAGACTACTTTTTATCAAATTATTAAAATCCGCCTGAAACTTCGTAAATAGCTTCATTTCATCGTAAACTACAACTATTGTATTTACGAAAATTCTAGGAATTGGGTTTTTTTAGAGATCGGCAAATTTCGTCTATTTAATCAGTAGCCCAGTAAAAATAGGCATAAAAAAGGGAGGATATCAAGAAAGTTCATAATAGGCTGTAAATGTGGGAATTATTTTCTTATCGAATGTAGAACAAACATGAAAAGTCCCCTAAAATATCATGTCCGCTTCCATCCAAAATAGAGGGTCAAAGAAGGCCACCAAGCACTTCCTGTCTTATTTTGTTTTTCCTCACATATCCGTCAAAAACCATCGTTCTTGAATTCCAAAGGTACCAATATAATCGGCAAGGATGCTTGTTTTAGATTACATTGAAGTTCAACTGATAAAAAAATGATAAACGATCTGCAAATTGATCTATTTGGCGTCAATAAAGTGAAATTTTCTTGATTTTAGTTCTGGCACCCCTCATAGCTTTGTAACTACTGATAAAGGAGAAATAATGTTTCTCACATATTTTGTAGTCCATAGTAAGAGAAATTTTCGGAAATGAATTTTGAAGGCCACCTTTTTTTTCGATTTAGTGATCTAATTATCTTACAATCCAAGTGAAAATCAAATGGGTATTTACGAGTTTTTAGTATCTAATAGAATAGACAAAGTTTGCTGATCTCCAGATTGAAAACGTCCCACTCCTACGAGTTTTCGAAAATAAAATAGTTATAGGTTACGATGAGATGAAGCTATTCACGAAGTATCAGGCAGGTGTTAATAATTTGATATAAAGGAGTCTGTACCACGGACTGTAGAATTGGCTTTTGTAGTCCCTTCTTTAATTTATTTTGTTTAATAAATAAAATTTCAGTGTTTAGCGGCGGACTTGCATGAGAAAAAAATATAGTTATGATAAAAAAAAAGTTTTATGTTTTATGAGAAGGAATTAGTCGAGGGTGCGGTCAAAAATAAAAAAAAATTAAAATATATAAATAATTTTAATTTTTGCCGACGTTTCGACCCACTTTGCAGGTCGTCTTCAGGGCTACAAAACAGGGCTATGAAACAGGGTATGGTAGGCTGTATGAAGATAATAATAAGGTGTATAGTTGAAGGATAGGTGTGTTAAGAAAGGAATCTCAATAAAAGTCAAAACATACCGTTGGATGTGGCACTGCGGGAGGCGGTTGAAACACTGGCAGTGTCAAAAACTCTAGTTAGCAGTGTCAAAAAAAAGTTCTAGTAAAAATAAACGCATACATACATACACATATATACACATACAAACACACACACACACACACGCGCGCGCGTGCGTGTGTGTGTGTGTGTGTGTGTGTGTGTGTGTGTGTGTGTGTGTGTGTGTGTGTTTGTATGTGTATATATGTGTATGTATGTATGCGTTTATTTTTACTAGAACTTTTTTTTGACACTGCTAACTAGAGTTTTTGACACTGCCAGTGTTTCAACCGCCTCCCGCAGTGCCACATCCAACGGTATGTTTTGACTTTTAGTGAGATTCCTTTCTTAACACACCTATCCTTCAACTATACACCTTATTATTATCTTCATACAGCCTACCATTCCATTACCGCTTTCAAAAAACTAAATGTCAATTGTCATCTATATATAGTACAACCTGTTTTTTGTTTCTTTATCATCATAACCTTGTTTTTACATTTATTCTTACATTTTAAAGTATTCTTTTAAAATTATTGTTTTCTTATAGAGTTATTTATACTTAATAATCTATCCCAACAATATTACACTGATGTTACCCTATTAATCTTTCAATTTCTTCACTTCTTAACCTTTGGTCCCGTTATCTGTTTATTTACAATTAAAGGTAACCTCCACTTGCTTGTTTTCCACTGATATCTTATTATTATGTTATCTTATCCATATTTTAACTTTACTGTAACAATAGTTATTCAATTTTCAATCAATTTATTCGTTAACATTCATTTATTCGTTTAACATTCATGTATTTATTTTCTTTTATCTATTTTCTTATCATGTATTTATTTTCTTTATCTTTTATTTCTGTATCTGACAACTTCTTCGTAATTTATATATACTTATATTTATTTTTTATTTTATTTTTATATTTTCAACATGTTTGTATCTTTTGTAGCCCTGAAGACGACCTGCAAAGTGGGTCGAAACGTCGGCAAAAATTAAAATTATTTATATATTTTAATTTTTTTTTATTTTTGACCGCACCCTCGACTAATTCCTTCTCATATCATATCAACGGTCAACCAACTCTACATCGTTTTATGTTTTATATAAGAACTTCGAGCGAACGGACCATCGCTCAAGCTGCTTACTGGGATCATTAATAACAATATACAACAAAAACAAAATAGAGCTTAAATGACTTTTAGAGTATTTAAATTGTAATTTACATAGATAGCATAGATTGAGCGGATGACTGTATCTGGGAGAAAATAAAATCATCAATAGAAAAACTTTAATGAATCCTTAAGTGGTAGGTCTTTATCCAGAGCAAGATCAGTGGACTTTTACAACTTCTACTACAAATAGATAGTTTATTTTCTTGTTCACACACACTTATTAGCAACTACTTTCCTGAAATATTTCTTTTTTGTGAAATCTTGCCTTTAACCCACGTGAAAAACCTCTATTTAGAACATTTTTAATTAATTACCGCACATGTATCATCGTTTGTGACAAAGTATAGTGTGGTGGTAATGAGGCGGATCGATGAGCGGTAATGAAAATTTAAGGTTTGCGAGCATGCTCGTCCTGTATTGTTAGTCAGATATTCGAAAAACAAAGAACACTTTCCATGGCCTTCAATGGATGTACGACCTTAAAATTAAAATACAAAGAAAATTAATATTTCAAAAGAACGATTAATGAGCATCATAAACATAATCTCTTGAAAATTAATCTTTATCGTTGAAAGCTGACCAGAATTTATGGATAGGAGTCAGCGTTCCCACTCAAATTTTGTAGGTTCCCCCAGTCAAATTAGACATGTTACATTGCAGAAGATCGGGTAATTCAAATTTATTTTTTATATTGTTGGGTATGAATATAAATAAAAAATCCGGTGGGCGCAACACGCTTTTACTTACCGCTGTATTTTGAATAGATATTATTTTCTTGCAATGTAGGGCTATTATAATATAACATAATTATTTTTGAAGTTCATTTTTAACCGAGCTATGGCTAAAAGCTTACAGCTAACAAATCATTAATACCATTAAAATAACAAAAATCCTATTTATTATATCGACGGTTGATTATGGATTGTACGATCCGTTGATTATGGATTGTACGACAATTATTGCAATTAAACTATTATTTTCCATTGCAAAGTATAATAAAATGATTTGCATTGCCTGTCATGGATAGGCCAAAAGTTGTGACACTAATTGTAAGTGGATACTGTTGGGAAATCACAAAGGGAAAATTCATCAAATTATTTACTAATATAATTTTCTTAAAGTTTACATGATGATTTTTCAGAATAAACGGACGATCGATTCCTAATTATTTAAATATACTATCAGATCTAGAGTTATTAACCAACAGTAAATGTATTTATGGTTATAAACTTATCCATCAAATAATATTATATTTCACTTCTTCTTTAACACAAATACAATGTAAGTATTTTAAACAAGTATTATAAAAATTTCATATTGCCTAGATTCGGTGAATTTTACATATACTTTTTCAAACTTAAAAATAATTTTAAAAGTTTAACTAGTAATAATAATAAGTAAAATATCAGTACTAGTAATATTAATAACTAAAAATAATTTTACATTATGTAAGAAAATTACATTTAATTTCCTTGGAAACAGGCGGTTTACGTTAAATAATGTTAGTTTTCAGAAATTATTATTTATATTTTTTCGACACTCTCCGGTAAATTCTCTAATTTTATTTATTAGATATTTTTTTCTAAACTTCTGTGCTTTCCAATGATATATTATACATATACCTTCTGACTATTATTTCCGGAGATTTATTTTAGACCTGGATAAGCATAATAATTTTACTACCATACCATAATTGTTGAAATATCTTGAAGATACTTTTAAGTATTCTAGAAGAGTAGAACAATTAAAAGCAGAATTATTAAATACTAAACCACAGAATAAGGAAAATCCCGTAGATTTTGTTAACCGCATAGATTATAGATGCTATAAGATCTCTTATTTATTCAAGGTTAAAATTAGGCAATATAGACTCTTATTCCGATATAATAAAAAAATAAACTGAAGGAGAAATTATATATCATGTTCTTTCTCATTTGCGGCCGGAACTTAGTGACAACATTTGATGTTACTAGATTTAGACTCACTTAGAATAGCATTGCTTGACAGTTGTTCTTTAATAATACAAATATTATATGGTCAAACACATAACGAAAATTCTCGTAATAATAATAATAACAATAGATCGCGAAGTCAGAATTGGAATCAAAGACCTTTTAAAAGACATTACTCACATAACTCTTATCGTCGTCCCTATACAGCTTACAGGGCACCCTTACATAATAATTGTCAACAGCAACCTTTGCAAGGGACAAACAAATCAGACCATTGCACAGGCAGACCAGCATTTACTAAATTCAACTCCTCCCTTCTGTACCTTTTAAGATAAATTCCCAAAAAACAGTATCAATGAGAACCGTAAGATCTAACGACTCTTGAAATTCATAACGATCTAATAACTCGCGAAATTCATATACCTCAAAGGATTAAAGAAATTCTCAATTAAAAAACATTTCTTATCCCGTGCATCATACTGAAATTACACCAACAAATAACGAAGCAATTAATAATAACAATAATAATACAGAACAGAAAATTCATTTGGTATTAGAAAAACTAGATCATTTTTTAGGATCAAGCAATCAAAAACCTGTCGCGAATATATCATAAATCATATAGATGATAAAATACACGTTTTTATTGTAAGAAAAAATTATTATGGTTAGCAGATACCGGCACCGCTAAAAATTTCATACCTCCAAAAAATGGTCCAAAAGATGCGGAAATAATTAAAGAAAATTTTATAATTCGTACCTCGACAGGAAAAGAAAATGTATATTCTGCAATATATTTAGATTTAGAACCTTATTTAGGTTAGAAACATTATTAGTTAAATTTTTAGTGTGTGCTTTTAGTAAAAAGTATGATATGTTATTAGGATTTAGTACTATATGTAAGTTGCAATTTGATATTAATTACGCACAATGAAGGCATATTAAAATTAGAGCTTGAGATGAAAATGACGAAATTCATCAAAAGGAGGTAAAATCACTGCATAGGAAACCCATTGTACCTAGAGTCAATGGAAACGAAAAACACCTATCACATGATGAAATATCTCAGTTGATCAGAAACGATCACATGAAAAATTATGATAAAAAGTCATTAGTAAGTAAATACTCTCAAATCATTAAAAAAAATTATCGAACACTAATTTGTTAAAACATAAAATTAAATTAAAAGATGATAAGCCTATATATGTAAGGAATTATAGATATCCACATCATATCTTATACGATATAAATAATGAAGTAGATAAATTGTTAAAACAAAGTATTATTAGACCTAGTGATTCCCCATTCAACTCACCTAAATGGGTTGTCCCAAAAAAATTAGATGGTAGTGGTAAACGTGAGGTTAGATTAGTTATAGACTATAGAAAATTAAATCAACAAACTGTCCCAGATAGATTTCCCCTACCCAAGTACCATAGAGGATTTATTTGCAAAAATCGGAAAAGCAAAAATATTTTCATCAATTGGTTTGGCAAGTGGATTTCATCATATAGAAATGGACGAGGAATCAATTCCCAAGCATTCTTTTCGCACTGAAAATGGACACTTAGAATTTGTAAGAATACCCGTTGGCCTAACTAACGCTCCTCCAACTTTTCAGAGAGCTATGAATATTATATTTGCAACAGTCTCCAACGTCTTAGTTAATATGTATGACTTAATTTTTTATAATTTAGATTCTCACTTTAAACATTTGGAACAAGTTTTAAAAAAATTAAAGGAACATAATTTGAAAATACAACTAGATAAAAGAGAATTCCTTAAATACGACTATTTTTAGGTCATGTTATCTTATCTAATACTATAAGACCAGACCCGAAAAAATCAGAAGCAATATCACGATTTCCTTTGCCAAAAACTATTAAACAAATAATACAATCTTTAGGTATGACTGGCTATTACCTTAAATGATTAAAAATTACGACAAAATAACAAAACCACTAACGATAGCACTCCATAAAAATCAAACTATTAATCCCAAAGAATAAAAAAAAGCTTTTGAAGAGCTTCAACATTTATTACAATCCGTTCCTATTCTAAAACTTCCAAATATTGATAAACCATTCAATTTAACTACTGACGCAAATAATTTCGCAATATGCGTTGTCCTATCACAAGTATTAGACGAATCTGATCAATCCATAGCTTGTCACATTTATAAATTTATATTTGTAATTAAAAATTATGTAAACATCTTAAGAAAAAAGACCACACCCAAAAATGAAACTGAACTTCAAGAAGCACCATACAAAGACCCTTGGACTACACCAAATATTATTTGATCGATCTTGAGGAGGAAGGAGTTATTATAAATCAAGCCACCCAGACATCATCTCATTCTGGTTACTCCAGCTTCAGCATTTTATGAACAGTACATAAACCACGAAGATGAGCTGATCTCGCTCTCTCTCTGCACTCTCAACCGTTACCCACGTCATCCCCCTTACTATCATTTATAAGTATACAGTTTATAGTCAGTACAATTTAACTATTGTAATTTCTCAATAAACCTTTTTTAAAAAGACAAAAGTCCAGCCCGAATCTTTAACTCATATTATCCCCAAGCGTTAGTCTTCTGTGAGGCTCAGGCAATCAATGCAGTTATTAAACCAACCACTTTTAACTCAACATATTCTTATGTTAATTTCGTGAGTGGATTAATGATATATCGGCAAGATTGATATAATTAACTCAGAATGAATGAAAAAACTTATGTGAACCTATTATCACTCCAAGCACCCCTCACAAAAAATAACACCAGCATTATGATTTATCATCTGCCAGATCGGAACGGGCCATCCGAGAATCATTCCTAGCTCTGGAAAATGCTTCTATGTATCTTGTTCTAGTTGTTAATGAGGCCGAGACGAAATACACTAGGATTGGAGGAGCTGAACCAGTAGCTCGATATTTTGATGCAGGAGAGTAACGTTTTCAGAAGTTAAGCAGCTTCATCTATTTGGGTTTGAAAATCAACTACCAAAATGACACTACCCAGGAAGTCAATAGAAGGATTAGAAGCAGAATGCTCTCTAACCGGACCAAGATCAAACTCTAAGACCCTAGTCCAGCCAGTCGCTACGAATTGCTCAGAGGCTTGGACGTTCACGAAGGCGGATGATTCCAGGCTTCTTGTCTTCGAGAGGAGACTTCTTAGACGGATTTTCGATGCTGTTAACCAGGATGACGTATGGAGAAGAAGGCGGAATGCCGAACTAACAAGAATCTACAATGATGGTGACATAGTCAAGTTCGCAAATCTCGGACGACTTCGATAGGCTGGACATGGCTGCCAATGAGATTGCGAAAATGATCCTTACCGAATAACTCTACTGGAAGCAACGAGTTGGACAACCGAACGTGCGATGGATGGACTCGGTCTCTGCGGACGCGTGAGCCTTTGGAGTTCGAAACTGGAGAGCTGCAGCAAATGACCGAACAAACTGGCTGAGACTTTTGGAGGCCTGATCTCGTCGATAGGACGTCGCGCCACTTACATATGTATGTATGTTATGATTTCTCATGATAAGAAGGGGTTGAAGAATTTCAATATTTAACTATAAATTCACCACAGAAATTGAGTCAAATAATTCCTTAAATTAACCCGATAGACTGATGTTATGTTCCATCAAAGTTTCAATTTTGGACACAAATTTAGTATACACAAATTCTTGCACCGAAATTGACACTTGAAACTGACTGTTAAAAATATTTGTATGCATGCTTTCAAGCTGAACTGGTTACAGAAACTGATCGATAAATATCCCATGATGGCACGGAGGTTAAGATAGAAGGGGCATGTAGCTCGTAGCAATCCATCTGGAAGCCTCTACGTAACAATGAATGCCTCAATAGAAGGCAAAAGACCACTTGTAAGGTCAAAAAGCAGATAGATAGATAGAATTAACATAGATGTAATAGAAATGTGTGCATATAAATGGAAATAAATGGCCCAGGACAGGCAGAGATGGAACAGGCTTGTTAAGGCAGCAAACGATCTACGTGGTCGTAACGCCAACAGAAAAAAAAATGCTTTCAAGCTTTTAGTGATTATGTGTAACCATGTTTACACAAAATGTTTGTAACACCTTAACCTGTGCCTTGGAGCATTCTAAAAATCAAAAATTGATGAAAAAAATCTCTATTGATTTGCTTAGTAAATTAACTTTAGAAAATTTATTGAAATGATAATATTTACAGAGAAAATTTTCATAATGGATATATATTTGCGATTTATTTACCAATACCATGCTTTATCTTAGTACTTTTTGTGTAGTAATAATTAGCTTTCTAATTAACAGATAAGCAGTTTTTTTTATTTCAATTTTACTTGAGAATAGTTTGACTTATATGGTTTAGTTACTAATTAAAGTAAGTTGTTAAAAAATAAGTTATAAATACAATTAAGTGACATTCAAAATTATATAAATAATTACTGGTTTTAAGGAAATAAATAAAAAATAGAATTAAATTTTATAAAGTTAATAAATAAAGGAAACATTGGCAGAAGAAAGTATTATATGAGGCTTACTTATTGGCATGGAACATAACTTCTCCTGGACTAATCGTCATCACACTTAAAGCTGATTCATCAGATATGGGAAATGTGGGAGATACCTCAATATTGTGAAATAAACGATCTCCTTGCTGGTTTAAAAAAGTAAGGTTAACACTCATAGCATCACCAATCCCACAACCTTTACATCTCAAGATATCTTCGACAGTTTCTAAAGAAGAAGCAGTGAGCAAGGCACGAGCAACAAAAGCTCTCGCTAATAAAAGAAGAATAAATTAATGTTAATTTTCTAAAGCAAAATATAAAAAATGGTACAGTTATAATTTTTAATAACAACCGAAATTAATTGTTGCAATTAAATAATCTAATAAACTATTGACATTTCATTGTGTTATCTTTAAATTCATCAAAGTGAGGAGGAACACTTACGTAGTTTGCCTTTACCCAAATGCTTAGCACCTATGATATTGATCGAGTAAATCAAACCATGATTATTAAACCCCATTGCATAACCAGGAAGAAGACCAGCATAGCAAAATGCAGTAAATATTTCTTCAGGCTGTGATTCAGTTATATGAGCTTTTACAATATAAATATTGTTTAGTACTTCTTTCAAAGCATCTTCGGTATGGCCTATCATTTCCTGGCAAAATGGAATTTCATTACTTTAAAAATTAAAATTTCAGTAATAACAATATTTCATTTTATCAATTATGCTAAAGAAAAAAAAAATCAAAATCAAATGCATTCTGTTGATGGCATCTCTAATGATGGAAATACCAAAAGGAAGACGTATCAACTTACATAATGATGTAAGTGAATTAAATCAATGAAAGCAGTTTTTCTTATTGTTTTTTCTTTTTCCAAGCTTAATGTTTACATCAGCCTATGTTAGAAAGAAGAAATAAAGAAAGAAAAAAAATTAAATTTTATCTAGCGACATTCAGTTCCCTGAGAATAATTACAATGAACAATTTAGTGACATTAGTCTAACATAAGAAGATGATGAAGAATTAATAAAATTACATGATTATCGAGCCTTGAAATTAAAATGATAGAAAGACAGAAGTTTTTTTTTTATTTATTCAGAAATATTACAATCTGAATGACTTTGAAGCGCATTTAAGTCCTTCATTTTTTTTACAACTGTAATGGATGCTGAACTCTCCCAAGCCTACGGAAAAGATAAAAGCACTTGCAGTGGGCGGGGTGGCCGAATGGGCTAACGCGTGTGCACTGCACCGCCGTTGTCCGGCAACCTGATAATTGAATCAAAGATATAATAATTGACACGAGTTCGCGTCCCGGTGCCGGGGGAGCCTTTTAAATCCCCGCTCACATCCCCTGGCCAGGGAAAATCCCGTATAGCCTTAACGGCGAGGAAGGGAAGGACAAAAAAAAATAAAATAAAAGCACTTGCAGATCCAAGATTTTGGGATAAGATTTAATTTTGGGAAGGGGTTCAGCCCGGAAGCTTTTTTCCTTCTGATATATATATATATATATATGGATAATTACTTAGGAAAAAAAGAAAGAGACTAACTATCTATATGAAATGTGATTCTTGAAGTTCTGTTAAATGTAATTACACGAACATAATATTTTGAGAGATAATTTTGCAATATTTATTTGCATGAAACATGGTTATATTTTACCATTTTGGGGGGAGGCTTCAGCCCGAAAGCCCCCTCCGTAGATCCACCAGTGCATAAAAGCTATGTAATTTGTTTATACATTCTAGATCTCTTAATATACTTAAATTACCCAAATCAAAAACATTGAAAAGATAAGAAGTACTTAAGTTGAGTTCGACAGATTCACGAGTGAAATACGCCTTTGATTCCATGGGCTTTAACAGCCGCTTTACCCTCACATATTAAGGTGTCTACATCAGGTACATAGGAAATTGAATGCTCTTTCAAATTTACTACAATAAATTTCTTCGCGAGATGTATTGAGTATGAGTTTTGGTGGAAAAAAACGAAAACAGATATTTCTTGTAAAATAAGCAATCAGCCAATATTCTTTAACTTCGCACCCGCTGGACCGATATCAAAAAGCTATGCATAAAATTGCCTCGCGCGGGCTCATTACCGCGTATGGGGAGCGTCCCACGGGTGGCGGATGTGGGGATGGTCGGTGGAAATTCCTTGGAAGTTCCTCCCGGCTAAGTCCGATGGACTCGCTGACCAACAATGAGAGGGGCCCTCCAGACTTGCTGGAGGGAGGGGACCTCCAGACTTGCTGGAGGTAGGGGCCCACCAGACTTGCTGGAGGGTGTGACGTAGGATTGAACGCCCTACTCACATATCTTTAGTTCACCAAACACCACAAAAAGTCATGGATCTCCCTAAAGTAAAACGCTCATTATCCGGAAGTAAACTAGTCCCCCGTTCGGGTCTCCGGGTGGGGACTGCTTTAGGGGATTCATGGCGCAAGTTGAAATATAGGGATTTAAATATTGGTACGTGGAACGTCAGGAGTTTAAACACAGCAGGGGGGCTAAAATCGGTCGCGAATGAGGTAAATGGGTACAATTTGGATGTCGTGGCTCTGCAAGAGGTTCGCTGGCCAGGGGAGGGCTCGATGAGGGAAGGGAAGTACACCATTTGGTACGGAGGAAGCGGGAATCATTGTTTAGGTACCGGGTTTCTAATTAGGCGTAGATTACTATCCGCTTTGAGGGACGTACAATTCTTTAGTGATAGAATTTCGGTAGCTACATTTCAGGGACGTTGGTTTAAAATCGCATTAATAAACATACATTGTCCGACCGAAGACAGTGACGATGAAGTCAAAAGTGAATTTTACGATAAACTCGAATGGGTTTATGATAAACTACCACGAAACTACATGAAAATAATTGTAGGTGACGCGAACGCAAAGGTAGGAAGGGAAGAAGTTTATATTCCGACGATTGGTAAAGAAAGTTTGCACGAATATAGTAATGATAATGGGATCCGTCTGATAAACTTTGCCATCTCGAAAAACCTGATAATTAAAAGTACGACGTTTAAACATAAGGATATTCATAAATATACTTGGACATCACCGGATTCGCAAACACGAAATCAAATCGATCATGTCTTGATACAACACAGCTGGCAAAGCAGTATAATTAATGTACGGTCTTATCGCGGAGCAGAATGTGGGTCGGATCATGAATTAGTAATCGCGAAACTTCGACAAAAACTTAATATAAAAAAGAGAAAAGAAAACCGTTTCGATTTTGAGAATTTTAATTTGGAAAAATTAAAAAGTCCATCAATTAGAAACCAATTCGAGCTAGATGTTAAGAATAGGTTTGAAGCTTTAGAGCTTCCTGACGAGGACCACGAGGATATTGACAAGTTATGGATAGAGATCAGAGATAATATTAAAGCGGTCGGTAACTCGTGTCTAGGAAAAAAGGAAAATAAGAATAACAAACCGTGGTTTGATGAAGATTGCTTAAACATGTGTGAAAAAAGAAAAGCCGCTAAATTAAAAGCTCTAAATAATCCTAGCGAAGACAATCTGGAATACTTTCGAATCTCAAAGAACGAAACGACAAAATTGCTCAAAAATAAAAAAAGGGAGTATCTTAAAAATAAAATAATTGAAATAGAAACTAATAGAATTGAAAATAACGTAAGAGAAATGTACAAAGGTATAAACAGATCACGTAAATATGTAGGGCCCATAACGTCTGGAATTAGGGATGATAATAACAATATTCTGACCGATCCGGTGGACATATTGAATAAGTTTAAGGACCACTTTGACAATATTTTAAATACGGGAAATTATGATCTGTGTCCTCCTTCTGAGTACCAGAGTGCTGAACCGTTAATAGAAGGACCAAGTAAAGAGGAAGTTGAAGTAGCTATCGGAAAATTAAAATCATATAAAGCAGCGGGAATCGATAATATTCCTACTGAACTAATTAAGGCATGCGGAGAAGCTGGAGTTTCTAAAATACATCGGTTGGTTAAAAAGATCTGGGTGAACGAAAAGTTACCTGAAGAATGGAAAGAATCTATTCTTATTCCGATTCACAAAAAGGGTCCGAGGACGGATTGTAATAACTATCGAGGAATTTCACTGCTTCCGGTATGTTATAAAATATTCACTTTAATCTTAACCAGTCGAATCACGGAATACGCCGAGGAAATTATCGGAGACTACCAATGCGGATTTAGACGGAATCGTTCGACTATTGATCAAATATTTTCTTTACGGCAAATATTAGAGAAAAAATTGGAGTATAACGGTATTGTTCACCAGCTGTATATAGATTTTAAAAAGGCTTACGATTCTATTGACCGCCAGAAACTGTATAATATTCTTATCGAGCAGGGGATTCCAAAAAAACTAGTAAATCTAGTCAGGATGTGCTTGACGGAGACACTCAATAAAGTTAGAATCGGTAATTTTTTGTCCGAAAAATTTGAGGTTCGTTCGGGCTTAAAACAGGGGGATTCTCTTTCGCCTGTCCTGTTCAATTTGGCATTAGAACATGCCATTAGGGAAGTAATGCGAACCGAGAAAGGGTTGGATCTGGGCGGGACAACATCCGTGCTGGGCTATGCTGATGATCTGGTACTCTTAAGCGAAGACGTTGAAACTATAAAACTAAATACGACAACGTTAATGAAAGCCGGTAAAGAACTAGGACTCGAAATAAACGTGGATAAAACAAAATATATGGTTAGCTGTAAAAATGGCGATACTACTGGTGATATGGATATAGATGGTAATATGTTTGAACAGGTAGATAAATTTAGGTATCTAGGTTCTACGATAACTAGAAAAAACGAAATTGAAGAAGAGATTAAGGTTAGACTGAAGGCGGGGAATGCTTGTTATTTTTCTGTGACAAAACTACTTAGTTCGCGCCTCTTGTCCCGAAACTTAAAAATTAGAATCTATAAAACAATTATCTTGCCTACAGTTCTTTATGGATGCGAAACTTGGCCGCTTACATTAAGGGATGAGCAGCGTCTTAAGGTTTTTGAAAATAAAGTATTGCGTAGAATATTCGGACCGAAGAAGGATGAGTTAACCGGAGAGTTCAGACGGTTACACAACGCCGAATTGCGTGAGATGTATCCGGGTAGTATAATTGAGGTAATTTCATCGCGGCGAATCAAATGGGCTTGTAAAGTTGTTGGGCTTAGTAACGAGAGAATTCCTAAAAGGTTAATATTTGCTGTGCCGAATGGTAAGCGTCCGAGGGGTAGACCGAAGCGAAGGTGGGAAGATTGCATTAAAGCCGATCTGAAGGGACTGGGTTTGGACGGCGAACGGTGGAGGGAGGTGTGTAACAAGCGATTGGTGGTGTCGGCATCGAACCTTCGGGTTCGCTAAGCCTTATTATTATTATTATTATGCATAAAATTGATGGTAAATTTTCTTCAAGGTATTTGTCTTTTTATATAATAATAATTTCGATAAAATACATCGTTTCGGAGTCATGTCCAAAAAACTAAATAAAGTTCGGAAATTTCGCTGCTGTTTGCTTATATCTCGGAACGCAATGGCAAATTTCGTTCGGGGACATTAAATTCTGATTCATTATCCCAAAAAACGTAAAAAACCAAAGAAAAACCGACGCATAAAAATCGCATAGAAAGCAACGGCTAACTGACCGAAGTTGAGCGTTCAGATGTGGTTTATTTAGAATTTCAAATGATTACTAGCTTTAAATCCTTCCCTTAAATAAAACGATCAGTAGCTCCTAGTCTATTTGTTGATTATTAATTTCATAATCGGTAAATGCAGATATAAAAAAGAATAGAGCAGATAAACAAAAAAAGTAAGAAAAAAGTGTCTCAGTAATTAGATAGTTTGAAAACTAAAAGCAAGGTATGATATAAATATCGTGTTGTAAAAACAATTCTCGAGCTCTAGAGCTTTTGGACCTCAAACCTTAAAGGCTCCAGCTGAAGGCTCATAAGGTTCCAGCGTTGATGAATTTATCTTTAGAAAAAGAACTTAAATTATTGTAGCTTTGTACATTTTAATAAAAAATATATATATTTTTTCTGTTGGTAGTAACAATAACAATATATTTCTGAAATAAAGTTAAAGAGTTTGTGTTATTTTACTGTGTTTTTTTATCAATAAATAAGATTGAAATTCACAAAAACGTTCTTAAAAGTTCAGCATCATTAAAAAAGTAATTAGTGTATTTTTACAAGAAACCGATGTTTATACAATTATATAACTGAAAAGAACGATCAACCTGAACAATAGACTTTATTTCAGTTAAAACTATAATTGAAATAACCGCCAAAGATGTTCCTGCCCGGAAATAATGCAGGATTTGGAATTTTCTTTAAAATACTACTCAATATAACAAACTGTTTACGTTTACTGGATTATTCGTCTGTATGAATGTGAACACTTATTAATCCACTTCCAAACGATAATGTTTGTTTACCTCTTTAGCATTTCACTGCTAGAAATAAATCAGTCTTTACTAAGATGTCAACGTCTAATTTTCGTCTAATTTTGTTTTACGAGTTTTAACTTGAACGGAATGGAGCCCAGACGGTCAGAAACATCAATCAATCTGAGGCTAGGGCAGCATTAATGAGTGCACTGTTCAATGGTGGTTCAAAAAATTTCGGGAGAGAGACTTCAGCCTTGAAGACAAAGAAGGTCCTGGAAGGACTCACTCTCTTGATGACGATCTTCTGTGGGTTTTGGTGGAAGAAAACTCCAGAACAACTGTTTGATAACTTGCAGGGAAACTTAACCTTAGCAGATCGGCCGTCGATGACCACCTCAAGGCGATTGGTAAGGTAAAAAAGCTTGAAAGTTGGGTTAAACACACATTAAACGACCGTAAAAAAAAAAAAAAAAAAAAAAAAACGGCGATATGACATTTGTGCTACACTTCTTTGCCGAAAACCAAAGACTCTTTTTTGTCCAGAATTGTTACTTGTGATGAAAAGTGGATACTTTACGATAACAGTAGACGTTCTGGACAGTGACTCGACAAACAAAAAGCAGTAGAACGTTTTCGAAAGCCCTCAACTCATAAAAAAAAAACGTGATGGTTAATGTTTGGTGGGCTTCATTTGATTTAATACACTACAGCTTCTTAAATCCTGGAGAAACCATCGATGCCGAATCGTATTTTAACCAAATCAGTGCTTTGGTCTATCGGAAGGGGCCAATTTTGTTGCACGATACGCCCGGCCACATGTCTCACATGTGGCCTCACAAAAACTGTTGGAGCTTGGGTATGAAACTCTGTCACATTCGTCCAACTCTCGGGGCCTCTCGCCTACGGATTATCGTTTTTTTTAGACACCTGAACCACTACCTACCTGACAAAAAATATAATGGACAAAGGGAATTATAAAATGCGTTTTTGTAGTTTTATCAATTCTAAAGATAGGAAATTCTATTCGGAGGGAATGGAAAAATTGCTAACGTGTTGGCTGAAATGTATTCATAGCAGTGGGAATATGTTGATTAAATAAAACAGTTGTAAACCTTTCTTTTTAAACCAAAACCCTGCATTATTTTCCGGGCAATCCAATACTACTAACAAACATCATGTAGAACAGTTTACTATATTATAAAAATTGTTAAACAATTTAAAAAGTTCATTTATCAACATATGGTAAAAAATAAGATCGAACCGCGTCACCACCTCTTACCCGACGCTTAGCTGATCGTGCCATCAGGAAAGTTCGAGCATTTTCTGCTCAAGCCTAATAGCCTTTTGACTGAGCTCTTTTACAACATTTTGTAAATAATGTCTGAAACTTAAGGAATTCAGAGCAAACCTCAAATGCAAGATACAATTTTATTTGGTCTATAGTCCAATTCCAAGGTGTAAATAGTCACTTCCGATTTAAGAGAATAATGACACATAAAAACACAAAATTTTAATTTCACCGTTTTCCTGTATTAGACAGCATTTTGAATTATTAATATAAAACAAATTATGTAAAAAAAAATTCAGTACCTATTCATATCTATAAACTCATCAAAACACTCAAGCCTTGTAGATAAAAAATATTTTGGTATATAAACAAATAAAACATTATATTATTTTTCACATTAAAGAAATATAATAAAATAACACCAAAAACTGTACCTTGTATCAACAAAATATTACAACAGGATAACCTGATTTAAATAACCGTGGTTACTACACCAGAGCTGGCAACATTACTGATCAACAACTATGGATTGTAACTTTATCTTTAACAATTCTGTCTAGTCTTACTCATTGTTGATTTAATATTAAAATGATATTCGATAGTTAATAATATATTCAGTTACATAAGTATGTATATTTATATGGCATTCACTATAATTAATGAAAATTATGAATTGCACTTCTGAAATTAATTTTTTAAATATTAACTAGGTACAATCATTAAGTAATTATATATTTTGAAGTATATTACAAGCTATCAATTAATACATACAGCGTGTTCCTCATTCAGACAAACAGTAGAACAACCATGGCAACCATTTGTTTGGTTCATTTTTCCTACACAAACTGGTAAAATATCATCCAAATGAAGCAGAAAAAGCTGAAAGTAGTTACAAAATTACTGTAATGCCAAGAAATAGTTCAATAATTAATAACTAACTAAAAATCATAAATAATTACCTTGTAAAAGGGGACACCAGCTCCATCAGACATACCTTCCATTTCTCTTATGTATTGAGGATAATATTTCATAACAGTTTGATACGTCTTGTCATATATCTCTCGGCCATTATTTGTATTGTATAAAGGGATATATACTTTATTTAAAGAGGGATGAGTATCCAAAAGAGTTTTTATCAGTCCACAAAAAGTACGCCCCTAGACAACAAATAGTTTATAAAATATAAAATACAAATTCTAACTGTTTTGTTATCTTATTTTTTTTTTTTCTAGAAGATGGTATTATAGATTTTTTTTTATAAGATGATTAGAATTTTTAATGACACACATTCATACTTCTAGCCAATTTTATAAACCAAACATCTTTATTTAGTTATATTGGATCAGTCTGAATCAGGATAGTACAGGTACAATCTTTAAATTGATTTTTATAAAATATAAAAATATTAAAAAGTGACAATCCAATTACAAAATTTTATGCACATCAAATTATGAAAAGTATATTACTTAGAAATGTTTGGGCAAGATATAATAACCCATAATTATATAAAAAGACGATGTTGGAAAATAAAAAAAAATAGAACTAAATATTACAATAATAAATAAAAAGATTGTTTGAAATATGTAGGTGTATAATTAAGAATCAAAATTGTTATATAAAAATTAAATAAATTATAGTTTAAAGAGAAACTAGCTAAATTAGAACTAGTGTCAATCATTTCCAAAACATCATGAAACAAATTCTAATGTTATTAATTATATTGTTCTAAAATTATAACTATAAATATAACTTATTGTCCAAATATATTAACAATCTATGAAATCTAAAGCAATCTTGCTTTTTATAATTTTGATTCAATATATTGTTGAAAAAGATAACTTTCCATGACAATACTAATCAATTGTTTGTCTATGTTTTACACATACAGATTATCCCAGAGTAAAATTAAAATATATATATATATTAAATTTAATTTTAAAATTGTGCATTACAGGAATCAACTAAATTATTTTCTTCAAATTCTCTTATTCAACAATATGAATGAAGTTAGAATTAAATACTAAAAATTCTCCTAAAATATAGTTATATATATTCATAATCAAGTTAAAATTCACAAAATCTTATTATAAGTATTTTTTGGAAAATTGGAAGTATTTAACCATCTACACCTAATTCCGACATTTTCTGAGACAAGGCATAAAAATCAATTATTGATTATAGTAAATGTCCAAATGTGAATGTTGATCAGCCATAAGCAATGGCCGACCAACATATAGTTTCAATTTCCTAAACTAGATCAAGAATAATTGCAAAAATAAAAAAAATGCAATATGCTATATTGATAATTACAAGAAGATGAATGTTATTATTTTTATATTTAATATGAAAAACACAAGTTTTATTTGTAATGTTAAATGATTACTGGCTGAACAATTAAACGTACTATATACATTTAAATTTTTTAAAGAGAATACCAGTCTCAAAATAATTACATTTCTTTTAATTTTATTTTAGTTATATAAAAAGATTAATTTTTAGTGCCTGATATTTTTAAGACAAATTTTAAAAAATCATCAAAGAATTAAATATCCTAATAAATTAATTAGTTAAATTTATAGTCAATAAAATTTCTTAAATAATGATGTCAACAAAACTCCGGATTATTCACAATCATTTTGTAATAAATTTTTGAAGAATGGGTTTTAAAATAAAATTGTTTGGATTTAGTAGTTTAAATTGATCAAATTTTGAAGAAAGATTCTCTATATTATTTAAATAAATTATAACTAATAATGTTGATGATATATTTGTTCACAACCAAAATAAATAAACCTTTAAATAATGAATAATTTAAATGCAATTATTATGAAAAAAGATAAGAAAGTGTATTTTCTTTTAATCTAATGATTTTATTAATAATCATTCATAGATTTGAAAATGTTAAGAAAGAAAAACATATTAATAAAAAATAAATAACACTTACCACATTATACCCAACTTCATAGTATGATCCTCTGACATGGAGAACAGGAAGAGAGTTGTGTCTTACTTCAGTGCTGTTCATGTTGTGAGGTGGCACTATTGTGTTATTCAAAGAAAACATAACATTCATTCTTGCTTTAATCCAATGACAGTTGGTAGTCTTCTCAAGGAATCAGCTTCTAAACCGTTATGTAATATGAAAATAATTTATTTTATAGTTTCCCAAGTTTGACACCTCTAAATATACTGGTTAAAACTAAATCAAAAACTAATTCCGAATACAAAATGTGGTTAGACTGACAGGATGATAAAAAGTAAAGCTTTTGACATTTAACAATAACTCATATTGATTAAACTCTGCTTCATTGTTACCTTGGCCCAAGCAACCATTTATCATAGCCACAACCCTGAATGAAATATTGACTTATTTTAAAATGAATTTTAATGATTCCATCTATTAAAAAAAAAAAAAATTAAATAGACCAGTTTATTTTTGAAACAGCGAGATAAAATTTAAACTGATAAGCTGAATAAACAAAGAGGCTGATGTCTGATAAAAATATGGTCAGTAAATAAAGCAATAATTGCTTGAGTTGTGTCAACTGATCTCAACCAAGTGTTACCTTAGGATTAAATTCCCACTATATGTATCCGGAAGTGATGGGGGTATCCCTTGAAATTTGTAACTTTACCACTCAATCAAGGCTAGCAATGTACCATGGTCAAGGACTGACCTCACCACACCCAGGGCAATGATATGTCATGATATAAAATTATAAAAAAAGAAAGAAAGATTAATTTAGACATTTTTCAAAAATTGTATACTCAACTGAACTATCATCAGAATAAAAAAATGGCATTAATAGAGATATTTCACTGTAAATGAAAAATACAACTATAAATAAAAACTATATACTTAAATTAGTCTAAATAGAAATTTACTACAATCAATTCTTATTATACATCTAAATCAGAGACAAAAATATATCTTCACATTCATTTGGAAATTAAAAAGAAAAATCTTAACCCCTTAAAAAAAAACTTTATAATTTATTAGATAACATATAATTATGTATTTAATCATTATTAATAATGAATGGAATAGATTTTAAGTTTAAATGAACATGTTTGTATGTATACATTATTAAATAGGTCACTTTTAAAGAATTATTAATTCCACGAGGTATATTTCATTAAAAAGAAAGTTAAAGCAATGATAATTGAATGAATGACTAATAAAAATATTTCAAATTGACATGACTCCCCCAAACTGGAAAAAAATTATTGTAAACAACTACTCACCCTAACAACAATTAAATTTAAATAATGACATAATACTTTCAAAACATCTTGACCATTTCAAAATATCTGATCTTAAAAAATATAAGGCAACAATTCCTAAGCAATAGTCCAGACAACTGGGCAGGTTTAAGTAGTAACTAACTTACATACATGTTACTCCACATATTTAAGCAAGGTGACTTGCTTTGAAGGTCGTATTATCTTTGTCTGCTGTAATAGAAAGGGTAATAAATAATTAAAAGAAGGGGTATTAGTTCTTAATTAAATTCAACTTCAGTTAAGATAACTGCATCAACAAATGGCATTACATTTTATGTAAAATATATTTTCATAAAATTATTAAGTCACATATACAAAAGGTTTCATTCTGTACACAATAAAAACAAAAAAATCAAATAATACCAGGAAAATAGTTCATTTCTTAAATACTACAAAATACTCAAAGTCGATTACAAGTTAGTTGGTTACAAACTGAAAAAATATATATTTTTTTTAAACAAAAACAGCTGGAATAAATTTATATAAGTTAAGTATTGTTTATTTATAAATTAATTATTACAATTAATTCTATTAAATAAAAATAAACACTAAAATTCCATTTTTTTTTTTAGGTTATCAAATAAGATAAAAGGCAGTGGGTAGCTCAGTAGTATGGCACCGATCTTCCAATGCTCAAGGTCCAAGGTTCGAATCCTGGCTCATGGCATAAAAATTATTTATTCTATTTCATCCACTGTGGAGCAACCCTGGGGTCAGGAGAACCTCCTGGGGGCACACTCAGCCTCTATAAAGTGGGGAGAAAACCTGGTGGTTGAGCGTAATCTCAGTCAAATCACCTTGCACAATTGACCAAGAAACAGTTCTTTCCCTAAACAGTACTAAACCCAATCCCCTTCATGGATTGTAGTGGTAGTTTTTTTTTTTTTTTTTTTTTTTAATAAGATAAAAATAAAATGAATTATGTTACCAGAATTTATAATAAATTTAAAATAATGTGCTCCATAATTTAATTACCAATAAGCCTTGTGGGTTCGTTGGAGTACTCTAAAAACCATTGAAATTTCGAACTTTTTTTGGTTTACACTAAATACCTTCTTTTTAAAGTGACATAGGTAAAAAATGGTTACTTTTTTACATACATTTTTTTTTTTCTAAACCCAACAGAAAGTAAACTATCTAGCATTCAAAATAATAGGTAAAATTTTGAAAATTCGCAAAAAAACAAGCATAATTTTTTCTTTTTAATTAATTATCTGTTTTTATAGGTGACTTATCTCAAATTTTTAAATTAAATATTAAAACATACAATTTACTATTGACTTTATAGGAAACATATTTGTCTAAACACAAAAACTTAAATACAAATCACAAAAATAAATTAAAATTTTGAAATTCGAAAAATTCTTATAATTTTATTTTTACTGTTTTCCATTTATTTTAAGGAAATCACAAATCAACAATTACTGTTTTTCTTGTTACTTTTAAATGAACTTTATTCTAACACATGTTTTAATAATTAATATTGACCAAATTACATATCTTTGTGTTCTTACGAATTGTTACCATCTCAAGACTGTTTCATTTCTTCACAAAAAATTGGTTTGGACAGTTAAATTATTATATTAATATGTGTTCGTTAATAAAATCAAAATAATTTACTAAAAACGTTATTATATAACACTATAACTATGCCGTTTATGAGCACTGAATAATGTGGCAGAGGACTGTCGGCGCCTATGCCAATGCTGCTTTTCCACCAATTCAGTGTATTTTCTATGAAACTCCTTCAAATATTTTAAAAACTAATCAGTGTTTTAGAAAGAGAAATTTATTCTCCAATTTTTTTATTTCATAGCGTTTTTCATTATTGTTGGTAATTTATTTACAAACGACACTTGATTTTCAACTTTAGTTTAAACAGCTTGATAAAATTAACTTTACTGACGTTGTTTATTGCCAAGACCAAATATTTGTTGATATTTTTTCATGTTTTATTATTCTCTAACTATCCAGCTTAAATAAAAGGCTAATTATGTCCAAATTAAGCCAAATGCTGAATCTCAGTAACCGAAAAGCTAACTCAATCTCCCAAGTTGAACGCCATTTTGGGACAGTTAGGCCACTTTCTTTTGTGGGAACATTGCCTTTTTTTAAATGAATAGTTACAAGAAACACAACTGTATGCAATTTATTGGGATATGCGGGAAGGGTACACGGTAGGGGGATCTGGTTCACTGAGTAACATACTTTTCAAAATACCAAATTCCAGTCAATGGTTCATTATCTTCAAGGAAAATCTCCAAATTCTCTTAACAAGGTTCAAAATGTGGTTACAGAATTCTTCTGTTAAAACCTGAAAGAACACTATTGTGAAGAAATCGAAATGAGTAAATTTTGAAAGCTCGATAGTTCGCTTCCGGTTGGGTTTAGAAAAAAATTATATTTACAAAAATGTTAGATAATTTTAAGCTGTATAAGATTCCATATAACCAATTTTTATCTATGCCACTCTAAAAAGGAAATATTTAGCCTAAACAAAAAAAAGTTCATAATTTCAGTCATTTTTCGAGCACTGCAGTGAACCCACAAGGCTTTCAAGGACGGAAACTTTGATTTTTTATATTCACTCAATATATTCACCCCATACCTAACTACTATAAAAAAGAAGAGAGAGAGAAGAGAGAGAGTGTGTGTATGGGTAGTAACAAATAAAGTCAAAAGTTAAAAACATATTAATTTAATTTTTTTAAATGAAGCTATCAAACAAAGAATAACATTTCTTTAAATATAATTCAATATTTATACAAAATTAATGATAAAGTTAAATATACATTACACATATACATATATAAAGGGGGTAAATAAAAAAAGAAAGATAAATACTGCAGCATCAATTTAATCTTGGTTTCTTTTCTGGTGGAGGTTTCATCCTAGGTGAATCCACCTTTTCTGTTTTTATTTCCCTTGGTTCAGTCTTTATTTCTACTGGAAAATAAAACAGAAAACAAAATAATTTACATTACCATAAAAATTAGAATTTTGTTACCAGCATAATAAATAATAATATAGATATTTCTAAAACATTTTAAAAGGTTGGATTTAAAAATATATATTTCTTAGTATATGAATATAGTTGAATGAGCCATAGGCACTGGAACACTGGGGGGAAATAAGGCAATTTTTGCCCTCCTTCCTCCCAATATTTTAAGAAAAGGGAGACAAACTAATATTTCAGTCATCTCCTTACAAATAAATAACAAGAAAGTCCAATAAACTGAACAGGTAATGATTATTTAATATAACAGATAATAAACTAATGACTAGGTTTCTCCTTTGTGTATGATCTTCGCCTTCCCCAACCCTAAGTTCCAATGCCTATGCGAGCAGCACTTCAGCCCTCATATTCATGATAAAAAGTGATTTATGTAAATGTAAACAAAAAGAAATAAGTTATACTAGATAAATTTTTGTTAAAACATAGATAATAATAAAAAAGTAACAGCACATATAATTTACAATAAACAGTTACTTTAATCTCTTGAAAAGACCTGGCTAAGAGAAGAAAGATAAAGGTAGTAATTTAACAACGGATAAGATTGTAACTACTAATTAATATAAATTATTTGTTAATTTATGGAAATGATTCCTTTTTTTTTGTTTTCAAGTTTTGACTCTTATAGGAGATATCCATCATAGTATTAGTTTATAATTATAGCCTATACATATTCCACATCTCAAATGGGACACAGCTCAAAAAGAGCTGTTTTTATTTTAGGAAAAATTAAAAAAAAAAAAACACCAGTGTTTGTTAATAAGTTCATATTCTTGACCTTTCTTCATTATTATTTTATTTCTCCACCACAACTTTTAAATTTTGACTTGTAGATAAAGTTGCTCATGAGAAATAAAAAATAAAGAAAAGGGTCAAGAATATGAACTGAATAAAAATAATTCCAAGATATAAGTAAAAAAAAATTACAACACAAAACTTGGTCATATTTAAAAAATAACGATGTAAATTTTGAATAAGACTTCTTCCAAAACGTTTTAAGAAATCTCGCTTTCTGCTATGTAAAATTTTGTAAAGTTATTGGGAAGCTTGTTTCAGAATGTAGAATTTATTATGTGAAAACTAAATTAACAATTTTAAAGTTTTCAGAGAACAAATTCTGATCTGCATATCAGCAAAGTCATCTTTAAGACCACTAGTATCCATGAAACATTTTTTCCCCTCTGAGAAGTATAATCCTTGAAATATTCCTCGGGCAATCACTAATATCGCATTAATAAAACTATTAGAAAAACTACCTGACACTTCAGTAAGTACCAGAACGAATAAAGAAACATAATAGATAAGTAACAAATACCTTCAGTCTTAATAGGAGCGGGTGGAGGCACAGGAGGTAAAGGAAATTTCTTTGTGAGCTCTAACAATAACATATCCACCCTTTGCCTCTGGAAAAGTGAGCTTGGTTCTTCCTTGACATTTTCTTTTTTTGTAGGCTTGTCAGAAACTTTCAATTCCCAGAAATAACCTTTAGATGGATGGTATCTTGAATAAGAACTAGCTTCTTCAAAGGCCGATTGTAAATGATGGACAGATGATAACTGTAAAAGAACAAAACAACATTATTACAGAAAACAGTGATTATAAATAACTAAGTTGAAATTATTATAAGTTCTTTAAGTTGAAATGAAATAAAAAAAATAAGATATAGCATTGCCACGTCAATTTCAACTTTTCCAAACCAAATTCAACCTTTTCTATTTTAAATTAAACTTTCAATTTTTTACTTTCACTTACCTATAAATGAAATACATAGTAAAGGAAAGTATTGCGATCGTGAAAATTTTTGAATCTCAGAACGGAAATACATGTTTTGAGATCCCCTGAGTCCAAATAACCAAGTCCCGCAAAATGGTCTGAGTGTGTGTTAACAGACTAGCTCAAAAATGAAAAGTCGTACGAAATGAAATTGCATATTTAAGGTTTTTATATGCTAAGGATATTACTGCAACTTTTTCATCAAAATCGGCTACCCGGAAGTGGCACTTTATATAATGGGCTAAACACATTTGTACGATTTTCTCGATAACGGCTCTAAAGATTTTGATTAATTTCATCATATCAGTTTTAAATAAAAAGTATTTTTTATTCTGATTGATGTTCTCTTACAGGAATTAAATGGCTAATTTTCAATATTAGCTCCCCTAAAGTACCTTTAATTTGTTTTATTTGAAAAAATTGACCATTTCACATTCATCTCTAACATAAAAGATAGTTAAATATAAAATATGAAAAAATTTGATAATTAACTAAAGGAGAAATAAGAAGTCGTAACGGAGAATAGTTGTAATTGAGGAACCAAAACAATACGAGCTCACCCGAAAGATTAGAATACGCTTCCATACATAATATGAGCTAGCTGTAGAAGTAGACTGGCAGAATAATAAATACTACAATAAAATAAATTCCAGAAAGTTTTATTATTAGCAATATTTTTTCTTATTTTCAAATTAATTTCAAATATTTGTTCACAAAAATATAAATTGATTGGTATATAAAAACCTACATGACCCTGCTGAGTAAAGGGTGTATTTGGTAAGAATCCTTGAACTTTTGACCAATATTTTTCGACCTAGTATTACCAAAAAGTATTTCACTGAAATCAGTGATCCAATCTGAAGTTCATAACCTTCCCTTGTTAGTAGAAAATAAAGTCCATAAGGTTCCCTTGTTAGTAGAAAATAAACTTACAATTCTTGAGTTCAAAACCGATCCTAAATCTGGTGCTTGGTAGACTTTTCCAGCAATAATATAGTAATCAGCAAGAGGTGTGGTTTGCTGTGGACTATATCGTTGCTGTTTTCTGATGACATATAGAATAGGCTCTTGCACATGAAGAAGAGCATATTCCACTCCAGTCATATTCCTGAAAATGTAATACAACAATAACCAACTTACTTAAATAAAAAATAACTGAATAGATAATATTAATTGACAAAAAATCAGCGCATTACATTTTAATTATTTCTCCCTAAGAATATGAGAAGAGAGGCAGAGCAAATTGGCCTACAAGTAAAAGAAGACAAAAAAAAATACATGGTAATAAGCCGAAAATTCCAAATACTTCAGCTCCATAATAACCTCAGTGAATGACCAAAAGTCAGAAATAGACCAGCGTATAACTAGCGCAAACAGAAATTTCTTCTCCCTTTCAAATGTATTAAAATTCCGAAAAATCTCAAATTAAGGGAGTACAATGCCATGATAAAACCAGTTCTAATATATAGCTGTGAGACCTGGACACTAACCGGCACCCTAGAAAAAAGTATTGAAAGATTTGAGAGAACTGCTTACAGAAACTGTTCAATCAATATGAATGCATGTAGTTCATAGCAATCCATCTGGAAGCCTTTATGTAACAATGAATGCCTCAATAGAAGGCAAAAGACCATGTGGAAGACCAAAAAGTAGGTGGATAGTAGAATCAACAAAGATGCAATTGAGCTGCATGCAGATAACTAGAAAGAAACAGCCTAAGATAGGGAGAGATGGAGCAGGCTTGTTAAGGTGGCAAAAGAGTTACAATGTCTGTAATGCCAAGGAAAGAAAAAATACAATAAAAAATTCCGGTTAGCAATATGGGCATAAAAATAGCTCAAATCGATACCATCACCACTTTCTTATTCTAACCAAACCGCCTCACCATCTTCAAACATTATTTCATCGATTTCCTCTTAACTGTCTCCTAGAGTAATAGTGAATATATATTGAGAAAACAAAGATGAATTAATATAATGCATCAACAAAAATTAATAAATAAAATTATTAGGACTACAGAAAAATAATAAATTTCAAGACTTTTTATTGATTTGTTAGAAATAGAAAATTTAATATATCGGGTTGAGGAAAAAGTTTTTAATTTCTCAAACCTAGTTTTTTAATTTTTTATTTGCAAGATTTCAAACACTAAACAATCACATATGTGCTATTTTGATCGATGACCTTATGCCAGTTTTCTAATAAAACCATAAGTCCATCACTGTGGAAGTTCTGAGATTTCTGGGCAAAAAACTGAACCAAGTGATTTTCACATTCCTCTTTTGATGGCAAATTTAAACCATTAAGAGAGTTCTGCAGAGATCAAAAAATGGTAGTCAGATGGGGCAAGGTCCGGGTTATACGGTGGATGCACCAAAACTACCCAGTCAAGCTCTCTTAATCTTTGCTGGGTCATTAAACATGTGTATGGTCGAGCCTTTAACGCCTATATTTTTTTTTATCAATTCTGACAGTTTTTTTTTAACCACCTGCTTCAATCGGGATATTTGTCCACAGTAGTGATTTGAATTAATGGTTTGCTAGGTTCGAGCAACTCATGATGAATAATTCATTTCCAATCACACCAGATACTCATCATCGCCTTCCTTGGCGTCAATCATGGCTTTTCCCACTGTTTGTAAAGCTTCTCTGGGCTTTGACCATGATCTTTTTTGCATATTATTGTCGTACATAATCCACTTTTCATCATCCTTAATCATTTGTTTCAAAAATGGATTCGATTTCATTGTGTATCAGCAGCGATTTACAAATTAAAACTCGGTCCACTAAATTTTTCACTGTTAATTCATGTGGATCCCAAGTATAAAGCTTTTTTTGGTACCTAGCCTTATGTAAATCTATCAAAACTGTTTTCTGATCGATGCTTAGTTCCAAAGCGAATGAAATATTTTGGTCTATGTCAATTTTTTTTTAAATTTCATCGAATTTTTCAAAAATTTGTTGGCCTGAGCGAGGTTCAACTTGAACATTCACATATATATATACAATTTTCGAAACAAAAATGGGCATACCAATTCTGACACTGGCGTTCTCTTAAGTACTCATCATAAACATCATACAATTTTCGATGAACCATGAAGCATTTTTCCTTTTTCGGAAGTAAAACAAGAAAATCTGATGAAAACGACCTTCTGTAACCTCCATTTTTAAAGCAAAATAACTGTTGAGTGAGTAAATGAATGACGCAATTTTTATAAACAGAATGTTCTAAGGACTGTGACCTTTCAAATGCACTATAAAACGGCTTCATTAAATAAGGATTACAAAAGATAGGAGACTTTAAAAGTCACCTGTTGGAATAAAACTAAATTACTTTTTCCACAACCCAATATGTGGTTAAGTTTTTCTAATAACTGCTATTGAAATCTTAAAATATTATCTGATCCCCGTCCAATAGTAAATTAATTAATATGATCCATTTTCATTTCACAATCTTTTATTAATAAAGAAAAAATAATCCAAATTATTAAGTAAGAAGATGGTCCAGGGTGGCAGTCATAAAAAGACTAAAATAGTAAAAAAAAAATGTTTTAGTCTTTCTATGACCACCACCCTGAACCACCTTCTTACTCAATAATATTCCACGGTCAACCAGCAATTATTCAAAATCCAAATTACATTTTACTACGAATGTCAGGCTGTACATTACAGGTAAGATTTACAACCGATACTTTAAATATATCTTTAATTTTTACTAATGTTTTAATATTTGATAATTGGAATAATTAAATTCTTGTATGTATACATCTAGGAAAATTTATAATCTAACTCTTTTGGGTTTTTGTATTATAAATGTAACCTAACCTGTCTAAATACAGACACACTTGGCTGGCTTAGGCATTCAAAAAAAAATGTGATCATGTGATAGTGGCACACCTGTCATCTAGATGTGACACCACTATGAAGTCAACAACATAAGATATAGAAAATTGAAGGTATTCTTGATAATTAAAACAAATAATTAAATATACCAGTAAATAAGTTAAAGATGAAGACATTTTATTCTGTAAAACTCTAAAAATAACATACGTTAACTGATCCAGGCTCAGACGTTGCATTTTGATCATTTCATTGTTACATGTCCTGTCATAAAATGGGTTGCTTCTTTCAGAAAAATAATCCATAATATTTGCAGGACTTAATATTGGTATCCAGGCACTGTCATGCCAAGACACCCCCAATGGATTTTCTGGAAAAATAAAATAATGAATTTCATAATGTACACTGTAAGGTGACAGAAATAAATGTACCCACAAAACATTTTTAACCGAGACCAGTCAAGAGATTTTTATTTTATTTATTGAGTTAAATTATATTCAGTCATAATTAAGGACATCAGTTAATAATGATAAAAAATTTCACTCACAACATATTTACAATAAATAAAAATATATTAAATGGAGTAACAACAAAAGAATAATATTAAACACACACACACACACACACACACACACATATATATATATATAGGATGTAAAATATTTAAAGGTGTGATAGTAGGCCTCAAGTACTACAAAAAATGATCCGATTTTCCACAGAAAATGGAAAATTTAATTTTTGTGTTTTTTTAAGCATCACATTTTTTATTCAATAGAAAGAAAGCAATAACTAAAAAATATCTAAGTTTTAACAATTATATCACAGTAAACTAGACAAAATTTACTTTAAATGAAAGTAGAGTTTGTCATTGTTAAAACCATTTATAGATAACTTTTGAGCAGATAAATTAGACTACATCCTGTTTTTAAAAAATCATATATCATTCATAATTTTTTTTATAGTAGATATCGCACTTTTAGAATTTTCTTGTGAACAAGAAATAAAATATTAAAATAAGCTCTCGTTCCAAAATAATTATGTTTATGTTTATTACGATATAAGTTGAGTAAAAAAAAATTAGGTGTTTTGATATCCTGTCACCTAAAGGTACCCGTGTCATCAGCAAAAATTACTACAATAAATTATTATAATAATAAATAATAAAAGGCTTAGTGAACCTGAAGGTTCAATGACGACACCACCAATCGCTTATTAGACACCTCCCTCCACTGTTCGCCGTCTAAACCCAGTCCCTTCAGAATGGCTTTAATGCAATCTTCTCACCTTCACTTTCGTCTACTCCTCTGACGTCACAGCAAATACCATTCGATACAGCAAATATTAATTATTCTTCTATGAAATATTCACAAATATTTTAGGAATTCTTTTATTACTAAGCCCAACAATTTTAAAAGCCCATTTGATTCACCGTGATGTAATCACCTCAATTATACTACCCGGATACTGTTCACGCAATTTTGCGTTGTGCAACCGTCTAAACTCTCTGGTTAACTCACCCTTCTTCAGTCCGAATACTCTACACATTACTTTATTTTCAAAAACCTATGGACGTTGCTCATCCCTTAATGTAAACAGCCACATTTCCCATACATAAGGAATTGTAGGTAAGATAATAGTTTTATAGATTCTAGTTTTGAAGTTCCAGGACTAAGTTAAGAGGCGCGAGCTAAATAGTTTTGTCACAAAAAAAGAACAAGCATTTCCTGCTTTCAGCCTAACCTTAATCTCCTCTTCAATATCATTTTTTCTAGTAGTCCTAGACCCTAGATACCTAAACTTCTCGACCAGTTCAAACATATTACCTTCTATATCGATATCACCAGCAATATCGCCATTTTAGTAGCTAACCATATATAACCATATATTTTGTCTTATCCGAGTTCATTTTGAACCCTAGTTCATTACCATCTTTCATTAACGTTATCATATTTTGTTTTACAGTTTCCATGTCTTCACTTAACAGGACCAGATCGATGCACGGGTGTTGTCTCACCCAGATCCAACCCTTTTTCAGTATGCATTACCTCCCTAATGGCATATTCTAATGCCAAATTGAACAGGACAGGCGAAAGGAAAAAATCACCCTGTTTTAAACCCAAACAAATCTCAAACTTTTCGAATAAATTATTACCGATTCTAACTTTATTGAGTGTTTCTGTCAAGGACATCCTGACTAGATTTATTCATTTTTTTTTAATCATCTGCTCGATCAGAATATTATACAGTTTCTGGCACTCAATGGTATCGTAAGGCTTTTTGAAATTGATATACAGCTGGTGAACAACACCATTGTACTCTAATTTTTTCTCCAATAGTTGCCATAAAGAAAATAGTCGAACAATTCCGTCCAAATCCGCATTAGTCTCAGATTATTTCCTGGGCGTAATCCGTGATTCGACTAGTTTAGATTAAAGTGAATATTTTATAACATACTGGAAGGAGTGAAATTCCTCAATAGTTATTACAATCCGTCCTCGGACCCTTTTTGTGAATCTGAATAAGAATAGATTCTTTCCATTCTTCAGGCAATTTCTCTTTCTACCGTATTTATTTTACCAACAAATGTATTTTAGAACTCCAGCTTCCCTGTATGCCATAATTAGTTCACTAGAAATATTATCAGTCCCCGCTGATTTAATAAGATTTTAATTTTCCGATAGCTACTTTAACTTCCTCTTTACTCGGTTCTATTAATGCTTTCTATACTTCTTCCTTCTATTAATGGTTCAGCACTCTAGTACTCAGAAGGACACTGATCATAATTTCACATATTTACTGTCAAAGTGGTTCTTAAACTTATTTAATATGTCTACCGGATTGGTCAGAATATTGTTATTTTCATCCCTAATTCCAGACTTGATGGGCTCAAAACATTTACATGATCTGTTTATACCTTTGTACACATCTTTTATGTTATTTTTGATTCTATTAGCTTCTATTGCAATTATTTTATTTTTAAGATAATCCTTTTTTTTTATTCTTGAACAATTTTGCTGTTTCATTCATTGAAGTTCCATGTATTCCATCCAGAGAATGTTCAGGTATATCTATGAAGGTCCAAATGTTTAAACTTTTAATTATCAGGTTTTTTTAAGATGGCAAAGTTTATCAGACAGATCCCATTATAATTACTACATTTGTGCAAACTTTCTTTACCAATCGTCGGAACATAAATTTCTTCCTTTCCTACCTTTGCATTTGTGTCACCTACATTTATTTTCATGGAGTTTCGCAGTAGTTTAGTAGTTCGCATTTGACTTCATAGTCACTGTCTTTGGTAGGACAAGGTATGTTTATTAACGCAATTTTAAACCAATGTCCCTGAAATATAGCTACTGAAATTCTATCACTAAAGAATTGTACATCCCTCGAAGTGGATAGCAATTTATTCGTAATTAGAAGCCCGGGCCCATAACAATGATTCCTGCTTCCTCCGTATCAAATAGTGTACCTTCCTTCCCTTATCAAGCCCTCCCCTGGCCAGTGAACCTCTTGCAAAGCTATGATAACTAAAATCTACACATTAACTTCATTCGCGACCGATTTTAACCCACCTGCTGAATTCGAACTCCTTACATTCCATGTACTAATACTTGAATCCCTATTTTTCAACTTATGCCATGAATCTCCTAAAGTAGTCCCCACCCGGAGTCCTGAACAGGGGACTAGTTTACCTTCGGATAATGAGCGTTTTACCTTAGGGAGATCCATGTGGTATATGGTGAACTAAAGATATGTAAGTAAGGCGTTAAATCCTAAGTCACATCCTCCAGCTAGTCTGGAGGGCCCCTCTCATTGTTGGTCAGGGAGTACATCGAACTTAGCCGAGAAGAACTTCCACCAACCATCCACACATCCCCCATCTGTGGGACGCTCCCCAAACGCGGTAATGAACAATAAATTATTGTAAAGCTTTAATTTCTTCTTTTCTATTAACTGGGATGTATTATAATAAACACAAATTCATGGATACACTTTTATTAATAAAAAAACAGGTGAAATGATTTAACAAATATTTATCATCAATAAAGATGAAACCGTTTTTCTTGCCCAGATCTCTATTATAGGAATTAATACGTATTTATAAGTGGCCAACTAAAAGTTCCTAATCCTAATATATATATGTTTTCATAAAAATAATTCACGCTATCAGCTGGTAACATTAAGATTGGAAATATTTAATTGGTCACTTATAAATATGGATAAATTTCCATAACAGCAGGACTCTAGGAGATACCAGCTCTTCTCTCTCACTCAATCTTATCACTGGTATTGATAGCCCATGGAGGTTGAGCAAGGCAAATGGCTTGCATGGAAAATGTGTCCATTGCTGAAACTACTATATATACATATTTACAAAAGATCTCGGGACCACTGCCATTTCAACCTTTGAGGAGGATTTTATGGATGTGTGAAGCTGAAGAGAGATTACATTAGAAGATTTGGAAGATGAGTAACATTCTGGTGAAATTTAGGAAATTCGTACGGGATGATCTAAAACAAATGGAATATTAAGGTCATTAAGCGAATTTCGAAGATTACATAGAATTGAATATTCACTGTTGTTATGAGCTTAACTTAAGTCCAGAAAAGCACTCAAGCAGTATCATTTGTATTTTGCAGCTGAGGAACTATGATCAACAATTCAGAGTCCTTGTTAGACAGTACAACATTGGAAATGAAGTTCTAACAGGTGGTAAAATTTTGGGATTTTTTTATAGATAAAATTATTTTCAAAAGAATCTTTACATAATAGTAGGCTAATTGGTCGATAGGATGTCAAGCTGTTAGGAGGTTTGCCTATTTTAATGAACAAAGTAATTGTGGAATGCTTCCGCTAAAGAGGAACGTGGGTAGCACATAAGATGCATTTGTAGACATACGTGAGAGATATGACAGCTCTGGCTGGAAGTTATAGAATAATAGAGTAAGATTTATCCAGATTTTAAAGGACGATAGAATGGGGGAGGGTTAGTTTTAGGAAATGAAATTTGCCTTCATAAGGACAAACTGATGTAGGGGGCAAACAGATGAAATGGGTGATGCAGTGAATTCTTGAAGTCAAGATGATGATTAAGAAGATGAAAAGTAAACTTTATTCTGGGACATTTAATCTCCATGGAATAACCACAACGAACAACTAAGTGTCCATTGTCAGGAGACTAAAATTAAATATAAATTAATTTAAATAACGATTAAAATTACATATTAATGTAATGTTGCATTTACTCAATTTTCGGACTGATTAAGTAGATATTTTTCTTAACTACAGAGTGCAGAAATACTGGAGTATTGTTAATAATACTTTGACTGATCTCTGATTGAAATTTTTTTTAAATGACAAATACAAGCAATATATTAATAAAACAAGTACTAATCCGATTTAACAAACATACCTGATAAACAAGGCATTCTACCTGGCATCATATCTTCTGAGAAAATCAAAATTAAAACATCTCACTTTAACATCAACTTAATTCTTAATATAATGATACAAATAGGAGAAGATTGAGAATCAAATAATTAATATAAGAAGACCTCAAAATTGCGATCAAAACAATGAAAGAACAGCAAAACCTATGGGGTTATAAATAATAACTCCTACTTCGTTAATCATAGGTGAGAATGACAAAGAGCTATTCGTGATATTTATCCCTGTTAAACATCAACTTGAATTAAAGTTAATGGTTTTTAATAACTAGGATTTATAAAATTTTCATATTGGTGAACTTGAAAGTGAATAGTGAACTAGGTATTAGATTTTCCTCGTTTTACTTGTGTGTTAGGAAAGATTAGGAACCGACTTTACAGGAGTGGATGTTTCTGAGAATGGTATAAAAGAGTGAAAATAAATCAAAAATCTTCGTTCTCAGTAAAAAAATGTTCAGCAAACACTAACTTCTGAAATTCCTAATATTTGATTGTGTGCCGCTTGGATATTATATATCAATATCTAACACAATTCAAAGGTAAGATGGCATACAGGGGTGTATTAATTCCAATATATCCTTGAATAGGATTAAGTAGGTGAATAACTAAAATAAACAAAATACAGGAAGGGTATAATAAAATGTATTCATAGTAGTTACATTTCAACATTTTTAAAACATTTCAGTACAACATTTCATCCTCTCTGTAATGAACTATTATTCAAATTGTACCTTGAGCGACGCTGTGTTAGATAGGTGGAAAGGGAAAAAATAGTGTCGAAAACCAAATTAAAACCAATTTTCTTGAAGATATGGGTTAAAACATTCAAGAAACTAAATATCGGACCTAGATATAGTATCCAGGCAACAAGAAAAAAAGTTTTAAAAACCAAATTTTAACGAGTTTTTTGGAAGATATAGATTAAAATATCTCAGACTAAAATATCTCAGGCACTCTAGTCGCATAACGGCAGCAGAAATGAGGTTCCTTCGCAGATCTGTTGGCAGAACTAGAAGAGATCATTAGGAATGAAAGCATCAGAGAGCAGCTAGGAGTTGCCGAACTTAAAACCACTCTAGAAAGACGGCAACTCCAGTGGTTTGGACACGTCTGCCGCATGAATGAGAATTTGAATCCTATAAGGATATTAGAGGCTCGACCCACAGGAAGGAGACCACGCGGACGCCCCAGACTCACGTTCCAGGATTACATTCAAAGGATTGGATGTAAAAGAGGCAAAACCCTTAATGAGATGAAGCGACTAAGCAGGGACCGGGAAGAGTGGCTGCACTGGTTGAGGCTCCTCGACGCTAATTAATGGCATAAGAGGAAGACAAAGAAGAAGAAGAAGACTAAAATTAGGATCTGCATACTATACGCGAGGAGGAATGATCAACATTTCAGCCTCGTTATAATGAGTGATTATTTATAATCTATACTTCATATTATTAATCTCGTCTTGATGTTTTCACTTCTATCCTGTGGTCTGAAGCACACAACTTAGTTGTTTTTTGTTTTTTTGGGATAGGGTAGGAGATTCAGCCTAATAGTCTTCTCCCTACAAAATTATTTCTTCATTTTGGAGGGAGGCTTCATCAACAAACACATTATTTCATTTCTTGTAAGGCTTCAGATCAAAAGCTTCCTCACCCCCTCTCCCATAGATTCGCCAATTCCTCTCAATATTTGTTCCAAACATCCTCTAATAGAACTATTTCTCAACAGACAGCATCTAACTCAGCATCAAATCACCTTGTCTAAGAAAACAGCTTTTGTATTTAGAGTTTCTACATTATTAAACAATATATATATAAATATATGTATATACATAGATCTTTGACCGCGAGATATGGACGGGGGTAGGGTAATCAGTCCTACGCCCGGTCGTTGTGAGTTGCCTCCAGCCTGATGGGGCTCACAAACTCGGGGGGAGGTATAGAGCAGTGTGGCTTTGGGCCTGGTGGACGGTCACCCATCCTAATCAAAACCTAACCACGCTCGGCGTTGCTTAACTTGGTTTCCTATTGCAAGCGCCTTAGCCCGCACAGCCACCCCAGCCCCTTATATATATATATATATATATACATGAATTTTTCAAAATACAAGACGGACTAGGGAGCAGTTACGGAGGGAATTCCTTATAGGGGGAGTACCTGTCGAGCATTTTTTCCCATCCTTAATGATTTTAAAAATATATTAATGAATTTCATTTCCATCATTAGTGAAGTTCCACAAGTTTGATATATAGGAGAAGATTCGGAGTCCATTAGGTATTCATGGGTCAGGCGTGTGTGACTTATACGCAGGCGCGTACGGATCACCTCTTTTCACTTCTTGTAAGTATACCATTTAACTTAACTATCATTTTAAAATTAAAATTAAGTTGAAATAGGAACAAACGTGGTCAGGTGTTACTGAAAATAAATTAAGGGAAATTAAAAGTGACATTTCCTCTTGGTCAACGTCGAACAGAAATAAACTCAGAGAGGTGATGCATATGCGCCCGCGTATAGGTCACACATGCCTGACCCATGTATACCTGATGACCCTCAAATCTTCTCCTACATGTCAAACTTGTGGAACTTCACTAACTATAAAACATGTTTCGACAGAATGCCGAGCTTACGAATCAATTAGAATATCTTATGGCTTACCAAACGATACACAAACCATTTTACAAGACAATACGAATACTGTTGAAAAACTTTCATTTTCTGGAACGTGTGAAGTTGGGTAATGAAATCTAACGCGCCTTTTAGGCTATACAGGACTTCCCAAGCCGGGCGGCGAGGACGTGGAATTTAAAATCCCCTCCGGCACCGGGACGCGAACTCGTAGTTTTAATCTCTGAAATCTCTGTTATCAGGTTGCCAGTCAACTCGCGGTGCTATGCACACGTTTCAGCCCATTCGGCCACTCCGCCCCAATATTTGTAGACGATTATATGCCATTACTCATCCTGTGTTCTGTTTCATGATTCCACTTGTCTTTTGACTGGAAACTTTTCATTTTGAAAATTCACAATCCCGTCGAAATGTGCTTCCCTCAAAAATTAAAACCCCTCCAAAAAGCGCCATCTTCCTATTAGTTTTGATGGCACAACTTGCGCCATAAAACCCCCTTCTGGGCACCCCTGCGTTAGTTAGAGGCAGACCGGGACGTGTCACGCCTATAGACGCCACGCTGTCAAAATATTGCGTAATATGTCTATCGTGGCATAATGTCTCCCATTCTGTTCGAGAGACTTTAGACCTGCGATTTTCTTCTAGCAAGAGGCCTGTAGAAGGAAATTTATATAGATTTCAGCAGATATATATATTTATTTTAGCTCTTTATTAGAAAATAAAATTTATGTCTATAGAGAGTAAAACAAAACAGAAATTACTCAAAATATCTCCCATTTGCCTTGATACTGGCATTTAATCTCCGTGGCCAGTCATCAATAGCAGCACTCATCACTAGCGGATCCAGGATTTAATTTTGGGGGGGCTTGAGCCCGAAACCTTTTTTTTCATAAAAATAACGATAATTACTTTGGAAAAACAGAAAGAAACTAACTACCTATATGAAATGGTGTTTAAATTATTCCTTAAGTACTATTCAATGTAATTACCCTAAGAATAATACTTTAAGAGGTATTTTTAAAATTTTTTTCCCATATAACATGGTTATATTTTTTCATTTTGGGGGGGGCTTCAGCCCGAAAGCTCCCCCCCGTAGATCCGCCCGAGGCACTCATCACTTCTTGAGGAAAGCTCTCAACTGGTTGGACCAGAAATTGTTTGAGGCTTACCAAGTTAGGGTGTACTCTGTGGCATGCCATCCTCTTCAATTCGGACCAAAGCCGATAATCTAGTGGATTGAGATCAGCGCTTCCCGAGAACCAATCCGAGGCAGGGATGAACTCTGAAATGTTTTTTTGCAGCCACTGCTGAATTGACCTGGCCTTGTGAGCTGGAGTGGAATTCAACTGGAAAACCTAATGACTTCCAGCAATCAGAGTATCATTTTGAGGCTTGACAACAGGTTCCAAAATGTCGTCATGATAATTTTTAGCGGCTGTTTTAATTTTTAATTTTTTTTTTTCATAAAAATGGAGCTTGGTGATGCCATCCAAGAAAACTCCCCACCAAACCTTCCCTGTGGAAGGGTGATGACCTCTTTCCACTCTTCCACTCCAATGACTTCCTGAGCTTCTTTAGAGCTCTGTGCGTAGACACAATCATTTAGGATTATTATCCTGAGATGTAAAGAAAACAACCTGAAAGAGATAAGGATTATCTAAATAATATCCAAGGATGTAAACAAAGCTTAACTTTTGTAACTGTATTTATGGCAGAAATAGGTTCCGTAAATGTATTTAAAGTTATCAACATATGTTTTATACATCCATAAAATATTTTAACATTTCATATCATAACTGAACATGTTATAATACGAGGTTTTCTCTGACCGGGGAATATGGCGTTAATGCCGCCCGTCATTTTTATCTATCTTTTTGTTTAAAATTATTATTATTATTCGAAAAATGGTCTGTTTATGATAAATATTTATGTAGAGAATATTTCCAAAGGGTTACCTTGGATAGGCAATCTTGGTGATTTGTAGCTATTTAGAGTTAAATAATCTTATGAAACTAAAGTTTAATTAGAAATCCTTTCTCTATAATGAATAAAGCAATAATAGAGTGTCTGAAACTGATTTTATTCTTTAAAAATTGTGAACCAGAAACCATGAAAACAAGTTACAGTGATAAATATTTATTAACCTTTTTCCAAAATCCAAGAATAAATTCTTGAATTCTTCAATTCCATGAAGCGCATCAAAACAGTGACAAAAACTTACTCCACCTGAATTCTGTAAAAAAAAAAAAAAAAAAAAAAAATGAATGAATTAGTAAAAATATCTTATAATTGTATAATACACTAAAATACATAAGGCACAAAATTTTGTTTGTTTGAGTGTTCCTCCAACGTTAGAAATTAGTAGTCCATTTGAATAATTCTTAGTTCATTGATAGGCCATGTAAACATTATGTAACAATAGAAGTGTTCTTTCAACATAATTGCCCTTAAAGATAGTTTGTAGCTACAATAAACTTTTAAGGGCAATAAAGTAGACGTAAATTGCCCTATCTAGATCAGGGTGTACTGAAACCACAGATATAAACGCTTGAAAATATAGCTTACGTTGAATTGAAGTCTTTACTTTAAATATTTTAAAACATTTTGTAATCGTAAGCTACGTCAACAAAGAAGTTGGTCAATGGTGCGGGTGAAGTCATTAGTCAAAACCGTGGTGCATTCATAAACAATATGTTATAGTCCTGTTTAATTGCTTAGCTTACGTTTCGAACTACGTCGTGGGTCTTCAGAATCTTTTTTTTTTTCCGTTTTTCGTTAACAGTTGAAAAATCAAAACGCTCCTGATAGATCGTACCAGGATGTTTCAGGATTAAGTGGCCAAACTGCAAAAGTGAACTAAGGACCTCAAAACAAGAATAACATTTCCTCTGAAGGTATGTCGGCAAACGCTTTGTTTAGAAGATATTCACATCTAAAGATTTTCGTCGTTTCGAATTATTTACGTAATATGAAATAAATAAAACCTATTTATTTTTTTAAACTACTTTATTAATAAAATGCAAACATTAATATTCATATTAAATGTTGTTTTAATAGGTCCGCATTTCTTGCCGTCTCGACTCAATGCGGGCACATTTCTTAATAATGATTATTATGATTTAGTTGAACATATTCCACTGTAACTGAGAAGGGACATGTGGCATCAATTAGATGGTTGTCCTGCACATTACGGATAATCTAGTGGATTGAGATCAGCGCTTCCCGAGAGCCAATCCGAGGCAGGGATGAACTCTGGAATGTTTTTTTGCAGCCACTGCTGAATTGACCTGGCCTTGTGAGCTGGAGTGGAATTCAACTGGAAAACTTAATGACTTCCAGCAATCAGAGTATCATTTTGATGCTTGACAACAGGTTCCAAAATGTCGTCATGATAATTTTTAGCGGCTGTTTTTCTCAAAAATAGAGCTTTGTGATGCAATTTAAGCAAACTTCCCACCAAACCATCACAGAGGAAAGGTGATGATATCTTTCCACTCTTCTCTGATCGCTGGTGATGATCTCTTCTCTCACCACTGGGCTTCTTTAGAGCTGTATGCGTACATAGGATCATTTTGGCGATTAATTCTTTTTCAATTGTAAAAATTTTCTCATCGCGAAACAAAATCTTTCGATGAAAACCATTGGTGTAATGGCCAAGGAGCACTTTGCATCTATCCACTCTAATTTTTTTTTTTGGGAAGTGGTTAGCCTTTATCCTGTCATTCTTCGAAATGCACCCATCCTAACTCAGTTTTTATTATGCGATACATTGATCTAACAGAGATTCCCATTTCCCGAGACATGGTTTGTTGTTTTCGAATAGGATTTCTTCTGATCCGAGCAGCCACTGCTCTCACTGCATTTGCCGTTCTCACAGTTTCGGGATGGCCTGGTCGAGGTCTGTCACATACAGATAGGGTCTCTTTATATCTATTTATAGTGCGATACACGAACATACGGCTGATACCCAAAGGTTTCAAAGCGTTGAAAATCTCTGACTTACATTTTCCAACTTTGTGTAAGGCATTCTCTAGGCTATTCGGTTTTCTTTATCACCCCACTCCATGTTAATTGAGGGAAACAAAAATACAAACTAATTGGGATTATTATCCTGACATGTAAAGAAAATAACCTGATAGAGGTAAGGGTTATCTAAATAATACTCAAGAATATAAACAAAGTTCAACATTTATAACAGTATTTATGGCAGAACTAGGTAGACAAACTGAAACATGTCTCAGATATCAAAATCGCGCAAGATGTCTACTAGCGTTGATTATGCTTTAGGTTCAGTGCGGGCCTTAGACATTCGGTGTCCCTTTCCAATAACGTTATCTTCGTCATAAAATTTTTTATTTATTTCTTAAGCTGTTTCATATTATGTTATATTTAAATTTTATTGAATTCAACATTTCTATAATACATTTGCTTAATTGGTCAGCTAAAATTTTTAATTATAAAACTTTTACAATTTTTTTTTTTCTTAAAAATGATAAACGACCGGGCCTCTAACGGGCGCCCCTCCAGGTCGGCGCCCCGGGACAATTGCCCCCGTTGTCCCACCGTAAGGCCGGCACTGCTTTGGTTTTATATTTTTATACATACGTACACTAGCGGATCCAGGATTTAATTTTGGGGGGGGGCTTGAGCCCGAAACCTTTTTTTTCATAAAAATAACGATAATTACATTGGAAAAACAGAAAGAAACTAACTACCTATATGAAATGGTGTTTAAATTATTCCTTAAGTACTATTCAATGTAATTACCCGAAGAATAATACTTTAAGAGGTATTTTTTAAATTTTTTTTCCCATATAACATGGTTATATTTTTCCATTTTGGGGGGGGCTTCAGCCCGAAAGCGCCCCCCGTAGATCCGCCCGTGCATACGTACTTTATTTCCAGTTTCATTTTCATTTAACAGAGTGAAATTTTTATTTCCTTATGCTGACTAGCTTTAAAAACTTTGGCGTGCAAATATTTTTTGTTGCAACTGTATTTTATCTTTGTAAAAAAACAGATCCCCCCCTCTCTATGCTTATATTTTATACATTTTTCAACTTTTTAAAATAAATTTAACTAAAAAATATTATTTTAATATTTTAAATATTGTTAGTTGAAAATCAATTATAGGTAGAAATTTAGTTAACTATATATATTTTTTTTATTCGTTGATCAATGCTTTGGCGGAAGTGCACACGTGCTACACTTTTCTCAAACTAACCTTTTAGGTTGATCTCTGGGAGTAGGTTGTAGAGTCGGGCAAGTTAACTTAACCAACAATTTTCCAAAATGGTTAGTTTATTCTAATTTTATGTATTTTCAAGTTATCATATTAGAAACCTAGCCAAAATATTAATTTTTATACTTTCTATATTGTGATTAGTTCTTCTGAAGAGATTATGAATAGCATTAGGTTAGGTCACGTGTGTTGTAAACTAATTGTGATATGAAAATTATTTTATCCTTTTGTTTTAGCCTTTCCAGAGGTTTGTTGAAACTGGAAGAATCGCATACATTGCCGATGGACCTTACAAAGGCAAGTTGTGTGCTATTGTGGATGTCATTAACCAGACCAGGGTAAGCTTTGTTTCGTTTCCATTCATTAAAACTTTTGTTTAACTGTTGTTTCTTTAATAGTTATTAATGATACATTTGATATTTTTCTACTTGTTCATGTTGTTACGACAGTTATAATCATATACTGTGAGTTGATGTATTAAAATGAAAATTTTAAAGGGTAAAAAGTGTTTCCTTGTTTGTCTCTAGGTGTAAAAATATTTGAGTTTAACTGATTTCAGTATATATAAACATATCAAATAAGTTTACAGTCATGGCTACTAGTTCCTAATTGTTATTAAAAAATGGGGGCTAGTTTTAAGATTGCTAGGAGCACACCAAATGGAATCCTAAACAATGCCTATCATACTAATTTATTAATTTGAAAATGTGTTAAAGATACAATTTTTGTGCATCACTGGAAATAACAATTCTGTTTTATAAGTGTTGTTCCTCTTTGATGGGTAATCATAAGATCCCATGATCACATTACAGATAGAATTTCAAGAATGGCTGAATATGTTCTAAACAATACCAGATTTACTTGCATTTAATGTTAATTTAGTCTAGTTTACTATGAAGTAATTGGTCGTAACCTAAATTGATAGTTGTTTTTGGTTATTGCTTTTTATTCAACATAAAACATGATTGGCTTTAAAAATACTAAATTTAAGTTTTCTAGTTCATTGTAAGTAATGAACCTTGGTTTATGTTAACTTTATAAGTTTTTATTTCTTCTATCAAATCAATTAAATAAAATTAATGTCTATTTTAACTTCATATCATTATCATGAGAGTCCCCATTAATCACTAGCGGATCCAGGATTTATTTTTGGGTGGCTTCAGTCCGAAAGTTTTTTTTTCATAAAAATAACGATAATTATTTTGGAAAAAAAGAAAGAAACTAACTACCTGTATAAAATGGTATTTAATTGATTCCTAAAGACCTTCTAAATGTAATTACACGAACAATAATACTGTAAGAGATACTTTTTAAATATTTTTTTCGATAAAACATGGTTATATTTCACCATTTTGGGGGGGCTTCAGCCCGAAAGCTCCCCGTAGATCCGCCCGTGCCATTAATTGGTATCAAATATAAATCTGTTATCAATTACTTTTCAGAATCATTTAAGGAAAAAAAAAATTGATAATAGTTTGAACGATTGAAAATGTTAAATAACTAATTAAGCTCGAATGAAGTGTTTTCTACTATGAACAACATCAATTTTGTGGTTCGAAGTAATTTTTGCTTTAAGTGGAAATATAATGTAAAAAAATCTCCGTAATCCTTGATTTTATCCAAAAAATCTATTTGATCTTTTTTCTAGAGATTTTAAAGCACTTTAATATTGTACTGAACAATTTTTATTTTTTATATTTTGTTTAATCTGTGATGTTTTTTATTTTTTTGAGAATATGTCTAAAACTATTAGTTCTTTGTCCATCTCCTCCTTCCACCTATCAAAACCCGGCATGGGATTCTTTGGGACTTTTCACCAGTTATTATTGGTAGGGTAATGAACAATTTTTGACAAGTTTCATATTTATTTTTTGAATGTTGGGTTAAAGCTGTTTTTTTCCCTTACTTTACTTCCTAGATGCTGATCAGTTTCATTATAACTCAGGGCACATTATTCTACAGTAGAATTAAAGAGTTATTCTATAGCATATTATTTTGAAAGAATATCGAATGTAGTAGGGTATTGACAAGTCTGTTTATATCCAACGAATGAGCTTCCTTTCCTTACAAGTGTTGTTTAGGAGTTACACTAGTTCAATTTTGTTGTTGCAAGATGGCAATTGGTTTCAGTGTCAACCATAGAATGTCACTTCACGATTTCTGAGGAATGCAAAAGTAGCAGATTCTTGACAATTTATTTATCTATCTATTTATCTAATGGGTTGTATTGACTAGTGTTGTTCAGGGTAAGTTAGGTTCTATTTCTCCTTTTTTAACTTCGGAAAATGTTTTTCAGCTGTTAACTCTTGTTAAACTGTTATACTTTTTTCTTATCATACTGTGTTAGATTTCAAATTTATTTTCTATGAAGTACTAAAAGTTTCAACAAATTGATGACTCTCATTTTGATTGTTCAGCTCACTCTGTTATTTATTCTTAAGAAGGGAGGGAGATGGTAGTGTCCTCTGATGATCATAGAACCGACCTTCATCCTGGAATAGCAAAATCTCATTACTGACTTAGGATCATTCATAGGTTGAAGTGGTAGTAATCACAGTATCTAGCCTTTTACCTATGTTTTGGTCTATTTCTCAGATATTTTATCAGTTATTAATATTTCCGGGATTCATTGTTACTAAACCCAAAAATTTTAAATGACTGATGACTGTTAGTGGTGGTCTTGTTCCCTGATCGCTTGTCAATGTTACGATTTCTTGATGTAATATTGTATTAATGATATCAAGTTTTCTACCTCATGTTTAGTTAAGAGAGCTTTAGTGATTCCAGAAATGAGCATACACAATTTTTGTTTAAACATTTTTCCTTTTGCTTCATACTATTTAAATAGTTATTCAAATGCAATAAGTTTCACTGCGTACTTTTTAAATCTTCTGTCTCTCAAGTTTTTCCTTTTTCCTATCTAGAAAAAATAAATCTTTTTCATGGCTTGATTGCTGGTCTAAGACCAATTTACATGTGTTTAATTACATCACATATAAAATGAAAACCCTATCATATGAGCTCCTAATTTTATCTCTATTTGATGATGGTTCTAATAACAGCTTCATCAATAAGCATTATCCTCTGGTAGATATACTGTTTTATGAGGCTATACTGAAAGTTGTTAACTAGATTTTCTAGGTCCTACTTCATCTATATTAAGATCATATCATGTTAATACTCCTATAAACGTTTTGTTATCTCTTCTAAATAAAAAGTACAGTACAGTATTGACCATCTTTATTCTAGCTAACTCAAATTGGCTATCTGGAATATTGTTAGAATATATAACTCTTTTCTCATTAAATATTATTTTTGTTATTTTCAAATGTGTGAATTGATATGTAAATAAATATTAATTTTTCAATTTTATTTATTTACGTATTTTATACTATTGTTTATTTTTCTTAATGTTGTATTATGACCAAGCGATTACATACATATTAATCCATACGACTATTGACTACTTTGGTGACTCGTTATGTAACTCCGCTACACTTGGGGAAATCATAATTTAAAATATTAATACAAATTTAGAAGGGAATAAACTGTTATTGTTATACCATGAACCCTCTATTTGTAAATTATGAAAGTGTTATTCTGAGTAAAAAAAACCTTGTCTTCCGTTCCGGAGCCGCTGCTTTCAAAAATGGTGGCTGATTTAAAGAATATTAGGCCAATAATTTGAGGATCGAAACGAGAAATCCATTGCGAAAAATGTGAGAAAAGTTTCTATTTTTTAACTTGTATGTATGGGTTTGGACAGGTAAAAAACCAAATTCCTAACGCAGACCACCAAGGGAAAAATTTTTGAAGCCAAAAAAGTCAGATTTTTTCGATATTTTTTGGGTTTTTCATCTATAACTCCTAAACGATGCATCTTCCCTTGATGTATTTCTTAGGTTATGCAAGTGAAAGTAAAACTTGGAGTTTCTTAGTTGCACCTACCTATTATATCAATGGCACATGCTAATTTTCATTTATTTATTATTTTTTATATTCATAAATAGGATACAAAAGTTATGATGAAAATATAAAATTGTTAGGTGGGTCAAAATTAACTTTGTGTGTCATGGGCAAGGCATAATTGATCTAAATGTACATTGTTTTTATTGATATGAATATTTCTTTTGTTATAAAAAAAAATGTTTCTTTTTTTTAACTAATGCATCTATCCATGCATGTCATAAGCGTTTTTTAAAACTTTAATTATATCAGCTGAATTATGTTTTGTTTGCTCTTTATGTTATTTAATAATAATTTATCATGGAAATACATAATTCAAAATACTTTTTGTTTTATTGTAAATGTTTCAAGCCTATGCATGACAAAATATTAATGTTAATTTAATTTATGTTTTTAACATTATAGGCTTTAGTTGATGGTCCTGAAACTGGAGTACCAAGATGTGGTATAAGATTAAATCAATTACATCTTACAAAATTTAGAATTCGTTTCCCATATACTGGTTCAACACGTGTTGTACGAAAAGCTTGGAAAGATAGCAACTTAGATGCTAAGTGGAAGGAAAGTGTTTGGGCCAAAAAGTTAGAAGCAAAAAAAATAGTAAGCATACACTTCTATAAAATTGTTTTTTTTTTCTCTTATATTTCTTGTATAGTTGTTATCAATTTCAATTGTTTTTTCTAGAGAGCCAATATGAATGACTTTGACAGGTTTCGCCTTAATAATGCTAGGAGAACCAGGAGCAAAATCACCACCAATGCATTTTTGATTCTGAAGAAACAAGCTAAAAAGGCTAAAAAAACCGAAGTAAAATCTAAAGACAAGAAACCAGAAGCTAAAAAGGTTTCTGCTAAGAAAGCAGAAAAAAAGAAATAAACATGTATTTTTAATAAACGAACTTTTGTTTTAAAAAATTGCTGCATCCATTTGTTACTCTCCCAGAAATCGTAAATATGTCACTGATTAAAATATATTAATTTTTACTTTCCCTCCCCTATATATGTAATAAACAGTAAGGGTAAGTATTGCGATCATGAAAATTTTTGAGTCTGACTTTTCAATGGAAATACGCCCTGGGTCCAAATAACCAAGTCCCGAAAAATGGTCTGTGTGTATGTGAACACTAGCTCGAAAACAAAAAGTCATACGAAACTGATATTATGTATTTAAGATAGATATATGCCTTAAGATGTCCTAGCAACTTTTTCCTTAAAATCGGCTAACTGGAAGTGCCACTTTATATCAACGCTGAAACACATTTTTACAATTTTCTCTAAAATGGGTCTAATGATTTTGATTAAATTCAGTGTTTCATTGTATAATTAAGTGATCTTTAATATCATTTAGGTCTTATCCATTGCTGTCACTTTTCAGGACTTAAATGCCCATTGTTCATATACATCTTCCTCTAAAGTACCTTCAATATGGTTCATTTCAAATAATTTATTATTTCTCATTATTAAAAGTTATGAAAAAATGCTATATATAACTTTTGAAAGAATATGATAATTGAATAAAGGAGAAAAAAATAAAAATGGTTATCCAGGTCGGAAATGAATCTCAGGAAATAACAGTCAGAAGGTATGCGTATAATTTATCGTTGGAAAGCGGAGAATTAAAAAAAAAATTATATATTATAATATAGAAAGTTGTTTAAGGTAACTGAGTGACGAAAAAAATATTAATAATAACTTCTAATAATTAGTTAATAATAACTAACATTATTTAACGCAAATCAGGTGTTTTCAAGGAAATTTAGTGAATTTTTTTTTGAAGTTATGAAAAAGTATTTAATTTAAAACCCACGGATTTAAGGCAATGACCCTGTTTAAGATACTATTTCATTGTACTTATGTGAAAGAAGTGAAATATAAACATATTACATGGATACGTTTATTACCTTAAATATATTTACTGTAGTTGAATAACTAGATCTGATATTATATTTAAATAATTAGGTATCTATCTTCTGTTTATTCCAAAGAATCATTTAACCTTATAGAAAATCAAATTAATAAATTTTCCCATTGCGATATTCCAACGGAATTCACTTACAGTCAGTGTGACAACTTTTGACCTGTCCATGACAGACAATGCTAATCTCTTAATTCTTTTGGAAAGAATTTAATTCGATGTTCCATTTTTTAACAAGAAAAGGTTGATTGGAGTTCGTTTTGAAGAGAAAAGTTGGTGTATTATTCGGGAGAGGAGCTATAAAAATTTTAGTTCAAAAAATAATTTTTTTGTTTACAATAATGGTACAACAAAATAATTTTGCTTTTAATTTTCATTTGAATATAACTGTTAAAAAAAATTTTTTGATGATTTTTATTAAGAATGGTTAAGAAATTTAAGTTCCATTGCATTCTTTGATAAAAAAGCCGGTTTTGCAAATACTTATTTTTGCATCGCCTGTTTGGAAAAAAAATAATTCACCATTGGAACCAAAACTTACCTCAATTTCGATAAAAATACAAAGTGTTTACTTTAGAAATAAGCGACTTGGATAAAAAGTTGTTTCATTAGAAATGCGTGCTATGTTGATAGAAAATATCAATTTTTTCCTGCCTCACAACTCTTCTTTAATTCTGTGTAGCAAAACTATTTAGTTTGAAATAAATAAAAATATATACTTTTCTTAGATCAAGTTCAGTTCTTAAAATATTTTATGGAGTTTTCTGAAGAAAAGATTTTTCCTCTTTATTTGAGTTTTATCATGATTTTTATTTGAATTTATTATATAATTTAAAATTTAAGCATGCAATTGACATATGCTAATTAATTTTTTAGAATACAGTCAATGCCAAAATTGAAAATAACTCTACTTTATTAAGTAAAAGAAAACATTGATTTGTGAATAATATTCTATTGAGTGATAATTGAAGTACTGAGCTTCCAATGCTGAAGGTCCCAGCTTCGAATCCTGTTTCGAGGATTGTCCCAGAAAAGTTATTTATTCTGTTTCATTGGCCGTGGTGCGACCCTGGGTAGGTAGACTCTCCTTGGTGCTCATCCAGTCTCTGTAAAGTGGGTATAATTAATTAAGGAGAAAACCTGGCGGTTGAGTGTGACCTCAGTCAAATCACATCCTTGCACAACCATAGACCAAGAAACAGTGCTTTCCCTAAATAGTACTGAACCCGAGACCCTTCATGGGTAGTACTGGTGCAGGTGATAATTTAATGTTTTAAAAAATGATAACATACTTTTAACTTTGTAAGAAAAGAAATGAAAAATGTTCAGTTCATCCAAATAAAAATTTCTAAAGTATTGTTAACCATTTTTATATTGCAAATGTAAACTTTGTGTTGTTAAAAGTAGCAATCATTATTCCTGTTGTTGTTTCATTTTAAAATGTTATAATACCTTCGAAAACAAATTTTTTACTATGATTTGTAACAATGAATGTTACCTTTTTTCGTTATCAATGTTTTTACAAGATTTATTTTTGAAATAAAATCTTGGTTCTTAGCCTATCATTGGCCGCTAGATCAATCTTTGCATGGATGGTCATATCATTTATTTTATGGCCTTAAACATATATTTGTTTTTAAATAAAGGTTCATAATTTGTTTAATTGATAATTTTTTTGCATGTTTATTAACTAAAAAAAATTCAAGAAACAGGTCAAGAGAGTTATAACACAGTACAGGACAAATGAGTGTTCTATAAACAACAAGTTCGCCTGGTTATATAATTGCTCGAGAGATGTTTCTGGAGTCCAAATAGCAGCGATTGGCAGTCAATATTCTCCTTATCTCCACTTCAGCATCATTGTTGCTGGGATGATCCCAGGTAGATGAACTCTGAGATCTGCTCAAACTTGAACCTGTCAAAAGAAAAATAAGTATCTATTAATCTCAGAGCTTAGTCTGAAACCAAGTACTTGGTTTTGAGATCATTGATACCATCTGCCTCACAACAGCTTCCAGAGCAAGAAATGCCTCAACTAATATCAGCTTGCTTGGATCTCACAACAATATCTATATTATCAGCGTATGCTAATATCAGCACTGATATGTTCCACATCATACCTGATGTTTGAAGCTGAGTCCTTTATGGCTTTTTCTAGTGCCATATTAAAAAGTAGGCATGCCAGGGCATCCCCTTGCCTTACTCCTCTCCTGAATGGAAATTCTAATCTGGTTCCTGAACTACACATTTAACATTCTTCATTGTCACCCTTATCAGTCATTTAAGCTTTGGTGGAAAAGTCAGGCCTTATAATGTTTCATAAAGCTCTTTACGGTGTATGCTATCATATACCGACTTGAAGTCAATGAAGAAATAATATGTGGTCGCATTGTACTCACTTCCTCTCTAGTATAGTTCGGAGGCTAAAAATTTGGTCGGTAGTAGATCTGCCTTGCCGGATCCACACTGGTAATGACTAGCCTCCTGTCCCGTTTCACAATTGTGAGAAAGCACTAAAATAAAATGTTAAAAAGTATTTTAATTACACATGGAAGCAGACATATGTCTCTACAGTTTTTTCATCTAAATATATCTCAATTTTTGTAGATAGATCAGATCACCGTTTTTCTACAGTCACCTGGTAATATGCCAATGGTAGTATGCCATTGGTCCAGATGCTCATTAGTGTGTTGTGTAAGCGCTTCACTAGTTCCATTGATCCAAGCAGTTCTGCAGGGAATGAGTCAATGCCAGGAGTCATATGATTTTTCAGACAATAAATTGGCTCAATAACTTCCTCCTCATCAGGTGGTTCCAATTTGCTTCCATAAAGCTGATGTTCTGGAGGATACTCTTTTCTCTCGTCCCCTCCCTTCAACATTATCTCAAAATATTTCTTCTATGCAACACTTATCATCTGTCAACAAGGTTCCTTCCGCATTCATACACATAGTTGATGTATGCTTAAATGGTTTTCTAGTAGCGTCGACTTTCTGAAAGGATTTTATTACCTCATTTGTAGATCTAAACTCAAGTTCCTCTAAGCCAGCATTACATCATTGCCTCTTTTTTTCTTCGATGACCATGTTTCTTTTCCCGACGTTTTCTTTGATACTTCTCAACACTTCTACACATCCTTCTGTTGATTATGGATATATAGCCTTCATTCTTTGTGTCAGTGAGAATTCTACTAAGAAGACATCGATTCTTTATTGGCTAGACCTAAAACATATGCTATTTGTGCAATTGTTAAATAGCATTTTGCCCACTCTTCTCCGATATTTCCACTGGCAGACTGCTGAGAAAATCTTTGATTTCACATACTGATGCATGATTTCTTGGTCCTTAAACTTTTGGAGATTAAACCATCTACCAGATGGCACTGATACTTGCATCAACCAGTTTATACGCTCATTGATGAACGAAATGCTTTAGAAGTGGTCTGAATCCATGTTAGCGCTATCTAATGATCTTCACATCTTATATACTGCTCACGAATCTACCGCTGACTAGAAGATGATTGATTTAATTTACATCTCGGCCATCTGGAGTCCAGGCCATTCCTTATGGATACCCTTGGTGCTAGCCATGTCCAGATTCTTCGACACTGCAAAGTTGATCAACCTTTGACCAATATCATTAGACTTCCCCTGCAGGCTATGTCTACCAATTGTGAAGGGCCTCCTTTCCAACCTTGGCTTTGAAATAATCAGCTACTAGTTTTATATCATATTTTGGACAAGAATCAATTGCTCGTTCTAACATATAGAAAGCCTCCTTATCTTCCTCTACAGCGTCTTCGATGGGTGCATGAACACTGAATATACTTACTTAGTTTACGGAATTTTCCTTGGATTCTGATTATACATATTCTGGAACTGACGGCTTTAAATTAACTATTTATTATTTTTTCGTTGAGTTTCTTGATAAATGTTTCCAATAAAATTCAGATTTTCAGCAAAGGATCTATTGTTTGATATTACTATTGACAGTCGTAAAAGGAAATGGAAAGTGAAGCAAACGAATAAATTTAACAAATTCGATGGAAGAGAACATGGTAATTAATTGTTTTAAATGAAGTGATACTGTCATTTTTACTTTAACTTCTCTATATATGAAAATACCTATTTAATATAAGGCTGGTAAGTGAAAACTGTGTGTTACACACAATTCACTCAATTTTTTTTTGCTACCAACATCTAATGCACACGAATAATATAAATGTTCATATTTGATGAATTTATTTTAACAACAATTGTAGGAAACAATCTCCATTCTTGTAGATAGAAACCCACTATAATGATTTAAAAAAACTTTATATGTCCAAAGAATTATACTCAAGTGACCTGTGACTATTTTAAATATGACAAAATTGGCAAAGTTCTCTCTGAGAAAAGCCATATATATGAATCACCCACTATTTTGAAATATATATATATATTTTTTAAGAAACTAAAACAAAAAATGAAAATTCTTTGTTTTGATTGGTAACAGGCTTTTGAATAAAATGAAATCAATAATTAACATCAACATTTCTTTTATTTATTTCTTTATATTAACTAATACATATTGTACAACTGTGTAATTTACAATATTCATAAAATATAGACAAATAAAAGAAATGGTAATATTCACGAAACAGTTTTTAAAAAACATGAAATTTCATTAGAGCTATTGCTTACTAATTAATTAATTAACAAAGATAATAAAAAACTAAACATACATAAATATTTGTAATATAAATGGTGTATAAATAAACCACTAAATAAATGAATAAATGCATTAAATTATCAATGTTAGAAATAAAAATATATTGTTTATAAATACAGTGATTTAAAAAATAAATTATAATTAATGTACAAAATTAGGTATTGATCAATATGGGATGATTGTACATGACCAGTAAAGTAAAATATAATAAAACAATACTGAATAAAATTATGGTCTAAAATGAATTAACTTAAAGAGTGAATTGCACTGAATAAAAATTATTTGAACTGGTGTTACAGCTATGTCATAGCACCAAATACTGGATTGTGTCGACATATACTGGGCCCATATTCCTCATAAGCAGCTTTGGTATGGCAAACTGAGAAGAATTCAGACTGAAAACAAAAGAGATGATTACTATGTCTATAAAAACATAAATTAATTGATCATTATTTTTATACTATTATTGGAACAAGCTAGTTTAGTCAGTATGCCATTATCACATGCTCATCAGTAAATATAAACATTAATCAATTTGGAAAACTCCAGGAAATTAAGCTTTTCATTAATGTTTTTTGCATATACTATAAATAAAATGAACTTTTAAGAATATTAGAGTTAATTTAAGAGAAGACCTTTTCCGCCACGAACAATTAAATGCTGCTTTATCAATATCAGGTTGAGGAGAAAATATAATTTATGCAGAAGTTTGTAATTGTAAGTTTTCTTTACATTAGTTTAAAACATAAACTGTTTATTAAAAAACTTTTGTTAGTAAAAAACCATTAAACTTAAGACGATTTCTGTCAGTTTTTGGCACTAGTTCTGAACCTCTATTTAAAATTAAGGTGGTGTGAGAAAATTGTGAAAATGTGTTCAGCGTTGATATAAAGTGGCACTTCTTTGTAGGAATTTTCCTTTTTGAGCTAGACTGCTAACATACACACAGACAGACCATTCTATTTTAATTTTATTATTACTTCGGGCTCATTATTAAGATTATAAAGATAGGTTACAAATTATAAGTTTTTCTCTCTCTTATACCTTGAACTGGTCTGAGTTTCAAATAGATTAGATGATATATTTTTAAAAATATAATAAGGATATTTTTAAAAAATGTGAACATTTACATTTGTTGCCTTCTGTTTCGAAAATTCATAGCTCTCAAGTGAACCAACTCATCAAAATCTAATATGTTTGTTTCATCTTTAATGCCAGTTTTAAATAAGCATAACATGATGTAAAGTGTTTATTTATGCAGTCTATGTGTAAAAAAAAAAAAAAGACTAAATCTCATAAATATAAAAATAATTGATGAACTCAAATAAAATAAAATTAACACATACCGTTGAAGCTAACATACTTCCACCAAACCACACAGCATACCTCTGCATATGATGAGATACTACTTGAACATCAATAGGTTTTGGCTGTAAATAAATACTGAATGAAATATCTTTATATGCACAAAAATATTTTGGTGTGTAATGTTTTGGCATATTTGTCATTTACAAACATTTTGTTATGCTCTTCCATAATCAAACTATTCAAATTACTTTATTATATATTACTCTACACCAGAGGTCTCTAAACTTTTTGAACCGCAGGCCACATTGAGATCTCGACAAAGTTCTGCGAGCTGCAGGGCTTGAGACTTCCATCCAAGTCCCACAGGCCATGCTTTGGGATGAAAAAAAATCTTATTCTATAAATGACACTTCAGTTCTGAAATGAGGTTTCCAAGAGAAAAGAAACACAATAAATATTGTAGTAACTTCGTGTGTGAGTAATTAGCTAAATTTCATATTTTTGAATAGGCTTTAAAATATTACCAAGAAACATTCACGTTTAGAGACCTTAGCTCAATGAAATATATTTTTAAAGTAAAATATCAATTTTTTTCAAAATATAATTGTCTCAACTGTTTTCTATTTTTTTGTTGCATTCATAACAGTTAGTTATTCTAATAACAGCATTTTTGAACATAGATTATAAAAATACATTTATTTTTTTTGAAAATGCAATTTAATTTTATAATACATTTTAGACTAAATTTTCTAGATTAAAATTTAAAAAATATTTTTTAAACACTAGCTCATTTTCATTTTCTTTAATTCTCAGTTTTTTTAAACATTCATTTTCTTTATTAGAAAACTATAGGTCAAAATGGTATAATCTATAAAGTGTACTGTAATCCATATAAAACTTTAATTTAATTTGATAACTTAAAAAAAATTAAATGTCAGAGACTGAAAAATGTTGTTTTTGCAAAGCCTTTGGCACTTTTTTATTTGAGAACAACAAAATTAGCAAGAAATTCATTTGATTTAACCTGATCCTAATGGGTTATTATTAAAAATTGGTTAAAAAGACTATTCTGGATGGACATTTTGAAATAACTTTTCATATAATTAAGTATATAGATATTGCTATATAAATAAGCTATAAGTTATTGTTTTTCAAAGAATGTTAAAATTTCAATCCATTCATGAGGGAGAGTATTCTTGAAGGAAAAAAAAAAATGTAACAAATCATGTAACATTGGCGCTAAATAAAAATAACTTTTTGTTTTTAATGTTTCAATGATTAATCCTTAATCTGGATCAATATAACACCTTCAATATTAACATAGACAATATCCCACCACTTTTACAAAATATAAGCACATAAATTAATTTACCTTCAGATGGTTTCCAGATAATTTTTCAGACAGTTTTAAACGAGCATCAACTACCCTCTTAATGTCTCTCTGTAATCGACGACCAAAATCCTTAAACATTGTTGATCCTCCTGAGAGAACAATGTTATTGTACAATGGCCTTCTGACATCTATAGGGCAGTTTTGAATTACAGTGTCCACTATTTCTGATATAGGTGTGGTAAAATCTGGATTCGAAAACTAAACAAAACAAGTGTTACAACAATTCCAATAAAACTAAAATCAAATCTAAAGACAATAAATTTATATATATATATATATATATATATATATATATATATATATATATATATATATATATAGTATTTTTAGGCAATAGGAACATAAAAGTATATTAAAAAATTTGATGCATCATACAACTTCCGCTTATCACTCTACTTTGAATAGAAATCTAAACTTTTAAAAAAAATATTAATTTATGATAATTCTTTGCACTGTATATTTTTGGTTTACCAAGCTGAAAAAAATATTTAATTTTACACATTCTATGAAAATTCCAATAAGTTTCAATGGAAACATTTATTTCCCACTCAATAATATAAAAGTGAAATTATCAACTACAACAATTAAAAGTCTTTTAACTTTTTGTCACTCTCAATTTCCTTCTCTTAACTAATATGTTGGATATCCATTTTTCTAAATTCTTTAGCTTTCCAAAGAAATATCATAATTTATATGCTACTTTTATTTGGAGAAATTTGTTTTAGAATAATTTGTAAGAAAATATCTGTACCATCTTCTACTTTAGTTAACGATCAACTACTATCATAATTCATATCCCTTTATTACCACTAACAAGAATGATAGACCTTTCATTATTTATAATAAACAATATCAAAGGTACTTAAGGAAAAGAAATTTTGAAAATTCAGCATTTAAGCCGTGTCAGATTATTTCAATGAGATTAAAACTGGCATGGTATTAAATACCACTTAATTTTACAACAAGATTTTATGAATTTAATCAAAATAAACCATCGTTGAGAATATAATAAAAATATGTAAAATCGCTGATATTAAGTACCATTTCTGGTTGGTTTATTTTGATGAAAAAGATCTTGTAACATCCAGGGCATACCTTAAACACATAATTTCAGTTTAATACGATTTTTCGTTTTTGAGCTAGACTTCACATACATACAGACCTTTTTGCAATACTTTGTAAAATGAACACTATGGAGAGTTCAGATGGTTACACAATGCTGAATAGCGTGAACTGTATCCGGTTAATATAATTGAGATGTATAACGAAAGAATTCCTAAAAGGTTAATATTTGCTGTACCGAATGGTAAACCATAACAAAGGTGGTAAGATTGCGTTAAAGCTGATCTGAAGGGACTGGGTTTGGACAGCAAAAAGTGGAGGGAGGTATGTAATAAGCGATTGGTGATGTCAGCATCGAACCATCGGGTTCGCTAAGCCTTTTATTATTATATATATACATTTATTTTTTCTGTGCTGTAGTAACCCTACAGAAGAGGCTTATATTTCTTAGATTCTATGTATATATATATCGTAAGTAGAAATTAAGAATAAAATTATATATGGTGTCGGTAAAAATTACCTCAGGATGGAAAAATATTTCAGGACCCAAAAATCTTTCATATCCAACATCAACGCCAAAAATTTTTTTTGTTATCGCATTTATCCCTTCATATCTTTTCATCCATTTGGCCAAATCATTATCATATTTGGCAAATTCTTTAGCAATATCTGGACAGATATAACAATACTTCTCTTTTACAGCCTTAGCAGTTTCCATTGATTGTTCTGGTGGAATGCCAACTTCTCTTTCTCTTAATAGAGTTTGAATAAAGTAAGTGATATTTCTGCCAGCAATTGGTATATGTTTAATACAACTACCAATCACATATCCTTCAGCCTGATAAAATAAAATAAAAAAAATATAAAAAATAAAATTAACTAATTAAAAAATATTAATAGTATTTTTAATTTACTACTCACAACAGGAATAACGTGTGTAACACCATCACCACTGTCAACTACAGTGCCTGTAAAAGTTCTTTCTTCAACACTCCTTGATAGCCAAGATGCTGCTAAAGCTAAAACTGCCTGAACAGCTATGTAGAGACCAGGAGCATTAAACGATTCAAACATGATTTCTAAAACAATAAAAATAATGTACGTGAGTAATGCAACTTCTTATTTTTTTGCCCATCTTAGGATAATTAGCTTTCAATGTTTAAAATATATATTACTGTAAGTTAATAAAAGAAAAAAAGAAATTCCATTTAAAATATAGTCATAATCAAGTTACATGATATACAGCAATGATTCATTTATAGTCTAGCATTCAGTTATAAAGCTGCTGGTTGGAAAGTAACGAAGATGTAAAAGTTATACTTAATTTGCATATTTTGAGAATACATTTTAATTTAATTCTTTTAAGAACTATTATGAAACAAAAAAACAAGAAATGGACTATTTTCTACTTATTTCTAGTCTATTGGATAATCAGTAGAATAAAGGTACCTGCAGTGTATTCTCGGTTCTCTGGTGTATTAAGTGGAGGTTCTGTTAGAAGAAAATAATGATCTTCTGGTTCGGCCCTTAAATACTTGAAAATACATTGTTCGAAGAATCTTTCCATTAAGTCCCAATCCTCAACTAGTCCATGTCGCACTGGGTACTAAAACATTAGTATTTTAAGAGATTCTTGGACTAAAATAATTTTCATTTTGTACAGCCAAAAAATATAAACTTAAAAAATGGCTAGATTATAACATAATACTTCAACTTTAATATTATTCTAAGTAGTCAGCAACTAGTAGTTGATTTTGAATACAGATTATAATTAACATCTAAAAGATATGTTACCATATTTATATTAACCTTACCTAATTTTTAATGGGTAAACAAATTTAATGAAAAATCAATAGTTACTAAAATTATCATAAAAAATACACAAAAAAATTACTAACAAAAGGCTTTTTCTAAAAAGGATCTAAGTGATGAAAATTAAAAATTGATTTTCAGCATAAAAAGATTCTTTAAGACCTTATCTGATTGGTGCTGATTCTATAGATCGATTATAAACTGCTTATTGTCTAATAAAATGTAGGATATTAACGTTAATGAAAGTAATTTAATTTGGTAAAAGGTTGAGACTTTGATGAATTCTTTTGACTGAATTAGTGCTGAGTTTAGGAACTAGCTCTAAATCTGACTATTGACTATCATGAAATCTTATTATATTATTTCCTGTTGGTCCAATACAAAAATAAGTTTTAGAATTTAGAACATTAATTTCATTGTTCAATTGTAAATACAGAATAATATTTCACCAAAATCAATTATAGATGGTTCTACTTCATTTTTCCTTAACACAGGAAGTTTAAAAATGTGTAAGTTCATTTATACCTATCTTTCATAATATATAATATAAAAATATATCCTTCAATTCAAAAACTTAGTAAAATAAAGTAAAATATAGAAATATATAGGATATGACAATTTTCAGAAACAAATTTGTTTTTAATTTTTTGAGTGATAATACTAACACTTATATAAGATGAAATATAGAATAAAAAAGATAGTCCCAAATTACTAATCAATTGTGGAACTTTTGAATGACTGTTTAATAGATGTACATGTAATTTCAGATAATTTTACCTTCACAGCATAACCAGTTGCTTCAAAAGCTTCATCACCTATGTAGAAATCAAGGTCCTCTACACCTTTTGTAAGTCTTCGAATTGCTTGTTCTCCAACCTTAGCTGTTTCTTTAATACCAATAGCAGATGGTATGATGAACTGTGGCTCTTTGTTCCCAGCAAAACCCAATTTAGTATATCTACATTAATTGAATGAAAAACATTAGTGCACTTTGGATAGTACATAAAGTACTTAACAATTAAAACCTTAAGTACCTAATAATTAAAAATCTAATAATTATTTGAAATAACAATAAAATAAAACAATAATTAATAAACATCTTTGTGATAAAAACATCATTGTAAATAAATAACTTTATAATTTACCCTGTTCCCACATCTATGACACAAGCTGGTAAATTTCCAGCCATTTTCTTGGCACTTAGTGAACTTATGAATTAAAATACTAAAAGAAATATTTCTAATATTAATTTTTGGGTGATTCACTAACGTTAGTGCATGGTATTAGTCATTTCAAAACTCAACCTAGATAAACTGCATATCTTTACAAGTGGGGAAGGTAACTTTTTAAGAAGATAAAATGGGCGGTGCTATTTGGAACTTAGTTCTTTGGAATTCATGATAAGGTTTTGGTGTCAATATGAATTCAACTGTTAGGTTATTTTGTTCTATAGTAAAATTTCGTAATAATGTATTTACCAAGAAAATCCATAATATTTCTACATTTAAGGAAGAATTCATTTCTTCTCATATTGAAACTAATGCCTTACAAAAAACGGTCTTAACTATTGGATCTACTATTGTATCCTTATTAGATCCTTCCAGAGGAGGTATACTAAATAAGAATTGAGTAATTATAATTTAAAAAAACCAATGTTTATAGTTCAACTTTCTTATCAGATATGATCGCTACCCTGGGGGAAACTACTGGTTTGGGGGCTTTAAGGTATATGAAAAAGAAAATGGAAGAAAGCGAGGAAGGACAGACAATTTTGAAGTATGTAAATAATTTAGTAGAAAGAGTATTTAGATTAAAAGTCGATGGTTTGGGATAGTAATAAGTTTACATAAGAGTTAACTTATGTAAAAATTTTCTGCTTTTTCACTTTGTATAATTGAATTTGTTAAATTTTTCGCAACTAATTTTTATTGTATTGTTTAAGGGATTTACCTAGAATAAATTCTAGAACTGTTGATTTGGATTATTTACAGAAGTTACCTAATAATTCTGTTGGAAATACTTATTACAAATTTTTAGAGACAAATGTAGGTATAATTTACTTTGATCTAGCTATGTTTAAAATTCAGAGTACTAGATTACAAGTGTTTCGCCTGGATGACTTGTGGGCCAAGAACACATCGATCACACTGTACATGGACCACTGAAAATAGTGTGGTCTTTGCCTATGCATTATCATTCAAATTTCCTTCTTGGCTTTAAATAAAGTTCAATTAGAGTACTAAATTAGAAGTGTTGTTCCTCTTTAATGAGTGGCATAAGATCTTATTATAAATGGAAGTCTGAGAATGGCCGAGTGTGTCTGAAAGTAGACTAAGGTGACCGAACCATCTGGTAAGATCCCATTCTCAACTAAAAAGAACCAGTTAGGGGGTTTGTTTATCCCTTTGGGCGAATTTTAAAGCAATTAAGGTTCTGATTTTAACTGAAAAAGTCAAGTTGGTAGTTTGCAGATGTTTTTGTGTGTGATCTTATTCATGAGTTACATCCATTCTCAGAATTCCATTTATAGTGTGATCGTGAGATCTTGAGCCTTCCATCACAGTGTAGCAACACTTGATAAGCCAACTAAAAGTAGACTATGTACATATACCTGTAACACCTATAGTTAGTAAGGTAAATTCTTCATGTCTGGTCACCGATGTGTCTTGCTTTGAGCAGAAAAATTATGTTTTATTAAATGAACTATGAATTAATTTTGAAGTCAGTTGACACCCAGCCTTTTAAAAATGGGTACCTGACTCTTCATTAGGTGAGGGTTATAAAAAGCTGGCTGTTGAGTGTGGTTGTTTTGCATAATCATTGCTTGGGCAACAGTATATCATTACCAAGTACCATCCCCAGGACCTTATTTATGCCGGTTTTTCTATTTATTACCAATTATCAGTACATTGTAGTACTTCATTGTATCCGTACCTATTTTTTGATTAGGTAACTAAGTTTGAACCTCTAATTATAAGATAGCAATATTGAGCTTATGCCTTTAGCTGTAGTTAATATAATGTTTTAATGATTCAGATGTCCACTTATTTTAATGATTTTGTCCACATAATTATTTTTTTTTTGTCCTTTACTTACTCTTGGGTAATGGTTTTGTAGTAGTAGGATGAAATGCCTTTGTAACAACCCAGTGCTGCAGGTAAAACAATTTAAGCTTAAAATGTTAATTTAACTTATGCATACACTTATATTTTTAATCTTTAATTTGGCCACCATTATCTCCTTCTTCATGGAACGGTATTTTCTTTTATTTTTAAGTAAAATAAAGCATGTACAAATTGAGCCATAGCTATGGAACCTTTTGGTTCTTGGAGGTCGCATTTATATAAATAATAAAAAAGAGGTCACTATATTTTAATCATATATGTAAATGGAAATTTTAATTTTCATTTACATATATTACTTAATACTTAATCTTATAATTAAGTATTAATTAATTTACAATGAAAACCACCCAAATACTCATGGGAGCCACATATATACTATCAGAAGCACACATTTTCTGCCAATGATTTTTACCCATATACACTGCCTGAAAAAATTAAAGGGTCACCCGTAAATTTTGTTATAATGTTTTGATAATGAAAACAGTTAATATTTCTTTGGTACCAGAATGGAATTAGTTAACTCCTTTATCAATTACATCCTCAAATTATAAACATTAATCACTGATCCTAGAGCCACATAAGGCACATTTTGCCTGAAATATAGGAGGCAAATTCATTTTAATGCATGATAATGCCCGACCTCTCCTTGTTCAGCTAGTGCAAAATTACCTCCTAACAAAAAGAGATCGAGGTTACGGGGCTTAGCTACTCAGAAGTCCAGACTTGAACCCAATAGAGTAAATATGGAACATGCTTAGGAGACGTGTTTGCAATCGTGATGCTCAAAATTGGGCCTATTTAAGAAGAATTTTAGTGGAAGAATGAAACAACATCCCGGAAGAAGATGTAAGGGACTAGATTGATGGAACGAACAGGAGAATGCTGGCAGTGATTAGAACTAGAGGAGGAAGCATTTCCTACTGATTTTATTCAATAATTTATATTTTTTTAAGACCATAATTTCAAAAACATCCATTTTTTCTTTATTTATTGATATATTTGCTCTTTTTTTTTTTCCATCACCATTCTTGCTCTTTAACTATTCTTTCATACTCAAAAATAATCCTTTTAAAATTCAGTAAAATTAAAATATTGAAGCGATCCTTCAATTTTGTGTGGAAGTATATACCCATATATATTTTTACTCATATTCCTGCAAGTATGAGTAGTTTTCCTTTGTTGTTAACTAAAACAATTTGCTCAACATTAGAACATGGAATCCAGTTTTCCTCAGCACTTCAATGTTCTTTCTATATTCAACAAACTTTCCCAGATTACCAAAAGTAATTAGGAGACACATTGATCTTATAGCACCCAAGCTGGTCTTATAACCCCCCAAAAAACATTCTAATTTCTATACCCATTTTAACTAATTACCTTAAAAATTAATTTGATTAGTTGTAAAAATAAGGAATATTTTGTTTGTATTAAAATAATGATAATTATTCCTAATAAAATAATCACTTAGCATTGTTGGAGATGTGTATGTCATCCAAAAGGAGGTTAGCAATCAGTTATATAAGAATCTTAATGTTTGGCCGAGAGTTAAGAATAAACAGTGCATTTAGGATACACAACTAAATTGCAAGGAAGCTGACATTGTCAACACATTTATTTTCAATTAATAATAGAGTAATCATTTAACTTGATATATATATATATATATATATATATATATATATATATATATATATTTTAAATGGCTATTCTTCTTTAATTTAAAAACTATCTTTTATTTTTCTTCCAAGAAATTAATGGACTTAGATTTCTAAGAAATAAATGAAATTATTTAGAACCATAATTCGATTAGGTTCTAATTTTAATAACTTTTAAGAGTTAGTTTACTTTATTAATTTATTATTATATTTGTTCAAGAAAGTTACTCCTGATACACGCTTAAACGTTCAGTTCGTTGATGATGTTGAGTTAGCTTATGTTATGCAAAGGTATAGAGAGGTTCATGACCTTATACATGCTATTCTTGGAATGCCTACAAATATGCTTGGTAAGTTTCATGTAATTGCATCATTAGTGAAATTAATTAATTTTGTTTCAGTTGTGTATAGTTATTTGATCTATTTAACTTTTGTTTCAATAAGTTTAGGTGAAGTAACAGTGAAGTGGGTTGAAGGCATTCAGACCAGACTTCCAATGTGCATTGGTGGTGGGCTATTTGGAGCAATCCGTCTAGCTCCAAAGTAAATATCATTATTTAAGTTCATTACTCAAACAATTTACATTATAAGTGTCTCTATAACTTTTTATGATTAATCTTGTAATAAATCGGCCATTTCTAATTAATATTATATTTTGTTTTATATTATATTTCAATATTTTATTTTCTCATTACATATTATTAGATTTGTTAGGGCTGTTCATATAGGTATCTCATTAATTTAATCATAAGATTTAATACAGACCATAATACAAATCTTTTATAAATTCACCTTTTCATGGAAATTCAAATGCTTGCAAGAACAGCTTTTTAATAATTTCCTAATTATATAAAGTATTTTTAATTACTAAGATTTTACTTGCATTGTTTTAGGCAACGTCAAAGATATGTAACTGCATATTTGCCTTGGGCCATCAAAACTGGAATGAACAGTGAATTTTTAATGAACGTATACTTTGAAAAACGATGGGAGCAAAATTTAAGTGACTTACATAAAGAACTTAAGATTACTCTTCTACAGGAGAATAAGACTAAAAGCAAGAAATAGCGAAAAAAAATTTATTTGCATTATGATTAAATATCTTGTTATTGTTATAATTATAATATAAATAAATAAGCTGTGTGTCATATTGCTATTATAATATATTTACATACAGTTTTATTGAGAACATCAGCAATAATCAATCAACTTCAAATATCTTTTGATTTAAATACTATAATATAAACACATAAATCAATCACTTTCAATGATGAATGCTTATTAGAAAAAGTTGAATTGATGTTCACTTCTATCAGGTGCTAAAACATAAATAATATAAAGGAGATAAAATGTTATTTACTTATAAATAAAAAGGAATGAACTTTACTAGGGTGGTCAGAAAAGTTTGCGACCACAACATGAAGATGGCAGCACTCGTAAATAAAAGCAAGTGGATTTGGTTGTTCATCTGTTGGCAGTTACCCACCAAAGTTACATCCATTTTGGATGTAACAGTTGTTTGAGTAAGTTGATGTGAGTATTTCTGTGAAAATGGACAAAATCTAGTATCGAGCTGTCATTAAATATTTGTTTTTGAAAGGCAATACGCCTAAGTTGATATGAGTATTTTTGTGAAAATGGACAAAATCTAGAATCAAGCTGTCATTAAATATTTGTTTTTGAAAGGCAATACACCTACGTAAATCAAAGATGAGTTGAATTCTGTGTATGGGGACTCTGCACTATCATTTACCACAGTGAAATTTTGGGCAGCTGAATTTAAACGTGGCCTTAACAGCTAGAGAGACGATGAACGTTCGGGACATCCGACGAAAACATCCTCAAAGAAAGCAGAGATTATGGACATGTCAAAAGAACGTATCCGTTACATATTAAATCAACATTTAGGTATGAGAAAATTGTCCGCACGTTGAGTGCCACGTTTGATGACGTAAGACCAAAAATGTGTTTGAATCAACATTTCTAACGCTCTGTTGGCGCAATAAATCCGTGTTTTGGCGCTGATTAATTACTGTATGTGAAACTTGGATACAGCATTATACGCCTGAGACAAAAATACAGTCCTTACAGTGGACTGCAAAGGGGGAACCAGCTCCAAAAATACCACAACTGTTTTCTCGGCTGGGAAAGTGATAGCGACTGTTTTTTGGTATAGTCATGGAGGTATTTTAATCGACTATCTTCAATAAGGAAAAAGTATTACAGAAGCATATTATGCCTCATTAATTGAGAAGCTGAAGGCAGAACTTGCGGAGAGCCAGTCACTTTCGTGAACAATTATTTTGCAGAGTACTTTTTGGACTGGTTACAGAGATGGGAGCATTGCTGGGAGAAGTGTGTAGAGTTACAAGAAGACTGTTTAAAATAAAAAAAAAAAACTCAAAAAAATGTCTTGTATTTTTGTTAGGTCGGAAACTTTTCAAACCACCCTCGTGGACGCATAATTGAAATAATTTAATATTATTCCTAAAATATGGAGTGATGGTTATTATAAACATTGCTTTTTTTTTGTACACGCATGTACACTAATATAATGTGTATGGTTTATAGAGGATAAGACAGTATAACTAGTGGATTTAGTGTGGACCAAACTCCTGCTGTGCACTTCCCCCTTCCATATACTTATAAATTGCATATCCTTGTTCTTCCAACTACTACTGCTACAAAAAAATAATAATGTTCCCACACTGTCTCAAACATGGCAGACTGATGAATTTGACTAGAATTAATCTTTTGGTCGCTGAGAATCAGGATTTGGCTTAAATTTGTCATAATTGTCCATTTATTAAACCTGGATAGTCAGATAATAATAAAACAAAAATAAACATTAAAAAATAATTGGCTTTATAAATAATTCAAAATTTAATAATAATTTAAAAATAATTCAGAGCCAGTCTCAGGATGGGGCAACTGGGGCACCCACCACTTGTTAAAAATTAAAAAAAAATACAATACCTATTAAAATAATTAATTTTAGCCTATCAATAAAGCAACTGTATAACAGAAAATATTAAATGAAATAAAATTCAAATATTACATGTAAAACAGCTTCAGAAATATAGATAGATAAAAAATAAACTTTATTCTGGGATGAGGTCCCTTATGAATAACAGAATATATACAGTACCTTCAGTAAAAGTATATTAAAACAAATAAAAAATAACACCATTTTGAAAAAAACAAACATTTAAATGAAAAAAAAAAAAAAAGAGAAATTAGGTAAAAAATAAATAACAATATGATATGAACATGGGTTGATTTTAAAAATAAATATCAAACAATTTCAACAACCATTCACCTCAGTCAAAATCTGTTTCACGATATTTATTTCATTGTACAACCTCATTTTGGGATGTGAGAAGGAATTAATAGAGATGATATTTAAATGAGGACGAGGAAGAGGCATGGCGGATATCAGATGGCCAGAAATTCCAGAAGGCAGTGGATCTGACAATAAAGGAATACTCAAATGTCTTAGTTCAATGGGAAGGGATACAAAGGTCGGAAACACGGATCTTGTTTTCAGGGAATGGACCATGGGTTTGAACTGTAGGAGACTGTAGATGTAGGAAGGGTATCGGGTGTTGATCGTTTGGAATAGGAAAGATCCAAGGAAATATTGTCTGCGTAAAAAAGGGAAGAGCCACTTTAACTCGTCGTAAAGGTGGGACACATGCGACCGTCTCAAAGTACCGAAGACAAATCTTAAGCAGGAATTCATGAGTCGCTTCAATCTATCCTTGAGTACCATGGGGATGCCTCCCTACACCACACAACCGTAGTGTTGAGTGGTGTAGGGAGAAAATAAGAGTGGATACAAGGAGCTTGCGGATGGGTTGTGGGAATAGGTGGCGAGAGCGATGAAATAGCTTAAGGGTATCTATTGAATTACGGGAGATGAGGGCAAAATGGGGTTTCCAGGAAAGGTTTTCGTCTATGGCGATTCCTAGGTTATTAACGAAGGAACTGAATGTGATAAGATGATCGTTAATGAATAAAGGAGGGAGGAAGGAGATGGATTTAAGAATAGAACTGGAGCCTATAATAATGGCGTGAGTTTTCATCGCGTCTAGCTTTAAAGTATTCAGTATTTTTAGGAGGGGGGGATGATGTCATTACCCGGGGTAGTTGTAAATACTGGGCGTATTTACAAGCCCTATACTGATTCAGGCACCCTGTCTGTACTTGTCTAGAGATTGTAGTGACCCTGGGAGCTGGCTCATTACATACCCTTTACCAATTGAGACTTCTCCGCTCTGCCCGCTGGGAAACTATAAACGTTTAAAATTAATAATATATATGTAATAATAATACTTTATTTATTCTGAGATGAGTTCCTTTAGAATAATAGAGAAAGACAGAAATGTGGGCTAAGGAGCCTCAGAGATACATAAACAAAAATACAAAGTAATTAAATAGTCATAATAAAAAAAATATTATAAGTTACTTTCTAATTTTAATCAGTTAATATTAAAAATTGAAAAAAAAAACATAAAGTAAAAATAATTAAGGACGATATAATAATTTATAGCAATATCTATTTACAATTTTAGAAGAACTGGATGGATAAGAAATGATTAAACAGGCGGGATTTAAAGGTAGAGAGGGTATTGGATTGACGAATGTAGAAACGGATGGAGGATCGAATAATGAACCATCTGTCGGAAGAAGCGGTTCGGTGGGCTCTTATGTATAAATCTGAAGTATAAGCGGAAACGAACAGAGGATTTGAATTGAAGGAGCTCGGAGATGTATGAAAACGGTGGTATTGGATGACTCGAAAGAGGAAGGATACCAGAAAATATTTACGACGGTAGAAAGGACATAGCCACTTCAACTCTGCATAAAAACGTGAAGTAGAGGCGTCCCTTGGGATTCCGAAGATGGATCGTATAATTTAAAACGTTTTAGTTTCGCCTCGAGATCCCCAGAGAAATACCATACAGCAATAGTCAAAGTGGGGCAATATTAAGAAATTCTATATTAACTAGGAAGCATACGGGATTTAAGGGGAAGTACGTGACAGAAGTAATTTAGACGTTTTAAGGTGGAAAAGGTATGGCGGGAGATGTTGGATACATGTTTTTTCCAGGAAAGCGTTTGATCAAAGTTTTTGATGGAAGAGTAAATTTTGATGGGATTATCATGTAGGAACAGAGTTGGAGTATTAGGAACATTTTTAAGGAGGTGATTAGAGCCTATTAAGATTACCTTCTTAGTAGTAATACGAATAGTAAAGTCGAGGTAGGAGGATTATTCTCGGTTACCTCAGACTTTGATTCCAGATTTGAAAAAAAAATCGGTCCAGTAGTCTCGGGGAAAAGCCGCGGACGGCGGACGGACAAAAATATTTTTATTCGATTTTCGAATTCTAGGTATCGTGAAATGTAAACACTCAAATTATGAGGGGTGTTAATTTTTTTAATTTTTCGGACGATTACAATGGTTCATTATTGAAAATAATAATAAACCAAAATGAAATGAATTTTTTGATTATTGATATATGATTTTTACTAACCAATCCGGTAACTATTCATTATATGAAATTCATATTAGTGTAGATTTTAAAAAATACAATAATGATAAAAAGATAATAAATTGATTCAGTTCTAGAAAGTACATAAAATTTAACTGATCTCTAAGAATCAATACATATACAAAAAAAATGTTACTACTACTGCTAAGTATTACGGAATCAAGTTGTATTATTGTTTTGGACAATAAATTATTATATTAATATTTATTCGTTAATACAATCAAAATAATGTACTAAAAACGTTACGCCATATATGAGTATTGAATGATGTGGCAGAGGCAGTGGTGGATCTAGGAATTTTCTCAGAGGGGTGCGCACCTCTATACAACGTGTGCTTCTCATACACCACTACCAGTCTCCTCCACTCCTTAGCCGAGTTTAGCCACTCAAAAGTCCTCTTTAAATGGTTTTAACAAAAGCTAACTCTATTTTGATTTAAAGTAAATTTTGTCTAGTTTACATTGAAGCTATCTCATTAATTACTTAAATTATATTGTTTTTTTGTTATGACTTCCAATTCAACAAAAAAACGTGACTCACATAAAAAATAACAAAACATTAATTCGCTACTTTACTGCTAAATATCGAACCATTGTTTATATAAACTATTTTGTATTTATTGAGTTTTGCTACCACTCCTTAAAATATTTCCCTCTATTTATGAGACACCCTGTATATAGGTTTAGACATACTAACAACTAAATTGCCAACACAGGTCACCAAGAGAAAACTTACACACCCAAAAATTCCAGATTTATCTTATTTTGTTTTCATGTATTACTACTAAACAGTACATCAAAGAACGTATTCTTTAATTAAAAAGCGTCAAATTGTGCGTTGAACGAGTACCTAAACTTAATAATTTGATTAAGCGATATGGTCGATAACCACGGTCAATGAACATTAATTTTTACCGATATTGCCAATTGATATTATAGATTACTACTATAAATGTTCCTGCAGCATAGAAATTAGTTCTTTAAGAAAACAAAAAAAACTCAGAATAATTTCCGATTCCGATCAAATCGGAGGCCAAATAATTAGTTCATTCCTTCATGAAAAAAATCCCAAGAACACATATTTTAATTATCTTGACGAGTTTTATGAATTGCATGGGTTCTTCAATGAGACTATAGTTGCTAAAGATTGCAATGCGACCAGATCTATTGAAACTGGGTAAAAACTGAGTCTGGAAGAAAACCCGTATTTTCTTGTGCTCGAATAAAAGTTAGTTCGAAAGAATAAATGAAGTTCTTTTTTTTACAATAAATTTTCCTCCATCATGTACTTCACCTGCCTCAGTTCCGAGTCAATAGGAACAAATTGCGAAAGGAGCACAAGCCTTCGCATCTCACGGCGGCCCCAAAACTCTTTTCTTTAAATAAATATTTTTCTTAATCTTTTTTTTCGAAATTATTTTTATAATATCCAGAGGAGGCCGCGCCCCCGGACAGAAATCACTAATACTGGTCACGATAATAACTTTATTTATTACATTAGAAAATTCGTCTATGAGGATGATTTTTCCCTATATTTTATTTTCTTTAAATATGTTTTTTGGAATTTTTTTTTCACCATCCAAGGAAGGCTGGATTCGCTAGTGGGCAGAGGACTGTAGGCGTTTACGCCACTGCCGATTTTCCGCCGATTAACTGCATTTAAAAAAAAACAAAGTTTCAAATATTTTAGTATCAATGACTTGAAAAAATTGACTTCACTGTTATTTTTTATTGGCAAGATCAATTAATATTATTCTCTGACTACCAAGCGGTAATAAGAGGCTAATTATGACGAATTTAAACAAATTGCTGAATCTCAGTGACCGAAAAACTACCTCAAACCAAATGCGTCAATCCGCCATGTTTAGATCCCATTTCAGAACACTGAGGGCACTTTGTTTTGGGGAAAAATTAGCCTTTTTTCAATAAATAGTTGCTAGGAACACAAGGATATGCAATTTATAGCGATGTGGAGGGAAACGAGGGTGGGGGAAGAGGCTGCACGGTAGCAGGAGGAATGATCTCGCCTTCCATTATTCCGGGATATCTGCATTAGGGAAAGGTGTATTTTTGTTGCTAGAATTAAGGTATTATTATCTTGCAGGTATACCTCCTTGTCAGAGAACAGAAGTCGGCTTCTATTAGAGCGGATTACACTGCTCAGAACTCCAGATAAGAGGTTACCTAGAACCAAAGGTATTGATCACCACCCAGCCCTCTTGCACTCTATTGTATTATATTTGTTTGTAAACGGAGTTTGAAAAACGAAACTTTTCTTATGAGTCGTGTTATCTGAACCACTTAAAAAAAAACACTTACGATGGATTTCATTAAACGAAAAGAGAAAAAAAACTTTCAGTACGATAATAAAGGCTTGCTTAGTCACTGCAACAACCCGTTTAGCAAGTTTGAGTATATATATAGTCGTTTACAGTCACTCTTGGTAAGGCCTCGCCACCTGATATCAGTGAGCCACAAGAAGGTAGGTGAAGACTGGACGGATGCGGCGAATTAGGAGGGATGGACGGCAATCCGGACGAATGCAGAGGACCAGGAGGGCTGGACGGCAACCCGGACGAATGCAGTGTCAGAAGGGCTGGCATGCGATCAAGCAGAGGATAAGGTGCGGCTCCATCAGTAAGGTGCACATCCGTGGTGTGGCTGAACCTAATTTATTGTTTACACATTAAACTATGCTTTAATGTTGTAAAATAAGATATGTCGTTAATAAAGTATTTTATTGGCAGTAGTGGGCGTACGTATGCCCAACTATTAACCCACTACTGCCGAAACCTGGCGTGCAAGAAATGGTGGGAAGGGGACAAAAAAAAAGAAAAAAAAAAAAAAAAAAGACGCAGACTTCAGGAGGATGAGAGGCGATCGCCAGTCCTACTCCAATAAAAACAGAGAAGGGGCGATAATGTTGTTACTTCACAAGGAAGTACTGTTTCTTGATCAACAGTTGTGCAAGGAGGTGATTTGACAGATCACATTCAACCGCCAGGTTTCCTCCCTTAATTAATTATTTAACTAAGGATAACCAATACAGAGCCTAAGTCTGCCACAGCAGGGTCTCTGGACCCCTGTCAATCCACCACCCACAAAACACAATTAATTCTTCATCTGTCATCAACTTGATTTGAATCTGGAACCTTGAGAAATGGAAGCCAGCACCCTAGAACTGAGCTACCCCATTACCCTGATATTTGTAATTATTTTATTCTAAAATAGAGATAATCTTCATTATCATTGTAAGAAATCATACAAATTGTTATTAGAAGTTAATAATCGTTTAATAGAAGTTCAGTAGTCACTGTTTAGGGCAAGTTCCTAAACTCAAAGCAAGATATTCTCAAGGTAGCTGTCAGAGGTTGGCAAAAAGGACCACTATAGAGCTTACTTGCCAGACATGTTTCCCCAACCAACTATCAGTACCAGTACCAGAATTCATTGTTGTAACAGTGGGTAAGTTGTTAAATTCAGTGCTGAAACATTGATGAGCATCAGAAACCTGTCAATGAATTAGTGCTGAATTTATAAATTTGCCAGTTCGTTCAAAATTCTAACTACTGAGTAATTGATGTGATAGTGCTTTCATCATATATACTAATTTTACGAGGCAATGTGGATCAATAAAATAATTAGACTGTAATGATCAACTTAATCGCCTTACCCTAGCCACATATTAATATTTTGAGAAGACTATTTATCAAAAGATTAATTTTGTAGTTTGATATATTGCAGAAGTAGCTATCTCATCAGTGCAGAAGTAGGATAATGATTATAAAATTACATTAAATGATACATCACATAAAATAAGAAACAAGTTACTGTACTGAATCTAATTTAATTTTTAGATGATAACTTTCGATTACTGAGCAACGACAATATTATAGAATACCAACTAGCAACAAAGTACATATACATTAGTTTTATTCTTACCATTCTTATGCTTCTTCCTATTTTTAGTAGTATGAAAAACTTCAGTACTAAGCCAATTCGGAGCTACAGGACTTGAGTGAACATCTCGGCTTTCACGATTCTGACAATAAGCTTTCTAACACAAGAAAATATAATCTTATAGAAACAAAATTTAAACAAGATGGTAGTAACAAAATTTTCTTCACCTTGTATTTAAGCAATTCTTTCTTTGTTGTTTCTAATTTGAAATTTATATCTTCAAGTTTTTTTAGCAAGTTATGTTCATTTGTTTTCATAGCTGAAATACCAAAACAGTCATCTCGATAAAATGCAGTTTTTATGAAAGAAAAGGCATATGAAAAAGAAATTTTACCATTTAAGTCAACCTCATATTTATGCTTAATTTTCGCTATCATAAGACTATAGTTATGCTTCATGTCACCATTTTTCTCGGCTAATTTATTTAATTTTGAATTATACAAACTTTGTTGTTGTTGTATTTGATACCACCATAATTTCATGGATTTAGCTGCTAATTGGATTGCCTTTTCTGGAGAAATGCCAACAAGAATAATCTAGAATAGAATAAAAATCCTGATTGTAAAAACCAATAATAACTGGTTAAATGATTTGAATGGACTTACATCAGAAGGGTTTATTTCACATTGCAATATGTCAACTTCTTTCAGGTTAATTTCACTGCAAATAGGACAGCTTATCTGTGGAGAAGGATTAGAAAAATATGCTTGCCCATGGCCTGGACAAAATACATGCATACATCTTGTTACCCAGGATAAATTATTTAACGGTACATTACATTTTACTATATTACAACACAGGCTTAAGTCATTCATACTTGATTTACATCTTTGACAGCCATGCTTTTTCACACCTTATTCAAATGTTCACATGTTTCAAATTTGAGCGGGAATGTTTTTATTCAATGCCGTCTGTATTGGTCATCATCAATGACTGGTTTTGTAAATCGGACTTTTAGTTTAATAAAATAAAGTATTTAAATTTACAACTATTTAGTATTGATTCAAAATTTTTACCTCTAGAGTTTAAAAAGATACGTTGCCTGGGTTATGGCTGCTTCATTTATGAATGAATGAAATCGGAATGGGAACGGAATCTGGGAGTGTACCCTTTGATAGATGAAACTGCCATTTGGTTATTATTTACTATAATCACTTAATTTAAATTTTTATACAATCTACAAACGAACAATTTTTACGTCCTTCATCAATATGGACCTTATAGCAGCCGTCCTTTGAAGTACTTTAGTAGGTTTTTTCTTAGTTGTTTTTTATATCAGATTATTTAATTTTTTAATTAATTGTTTTAAAAGTGTTTTTGTTAACTTGTATTTGAATTATTAATTGTTTCTCGTATTGTCATTTATTTGTGGTAGTTTTGATGTTGCAGTTGTGCTTTTTGTGATTACAGTTTGCATTTATGAAATCTTGAAGAGGTCATTTTTCTATATATATTCAAAATGTCATTAAGTGCTAGTGTAGATAATGTATCAACAGCTGATACACAGGTAAATTGCACAAGTTATAAGTTTTATTGTATGATTTTTTTAGTTTTAAATTAATGGTGTAATTTTTTCCAGAGCTGTGACAGCAGTAATATGTGTCTAGAATTGGCTTTAGAAGGAGAACGATTGTGCAAAGCTGGAGATTGTCGTGCAGGTGTTGCTTTCTTTCAGGCAGCAATTCAAGCCGGAACTGATGATTTAAGAACATTGAGTGCCATTTATAGCCAATTAGGGAATGCCTATTTTTACCTAGGAGATTATTTAAAAGCGATGCAGTATCATAAACTTGATCTTACCCTAGCAAGGTTAGATAGGCTCAAGATTTAATTATTGAAAATTGTGTTATAGCTATTATAATGTTTGACGTTACATAACATAAATGGAATTTAGTTTATAAACATTGTGGTACAAGTTCACATGAGTTCCGCACTGATTATGCATGGTTCACAATCACTTTGGTTATACTTGTTGATGGAGTGCCGAATGTGTTCAGGTTTATCCGAAAGAGAACCAAGGCGGCCGATATCTTGAGTCAGTTACTATTAACTTTCCCGCCATTTAAGTACTTCTATGTCTTTATCCATGTTCAGTCATTCAGCAGGAGGCAACTTATATTCGAAATTTAGGCTACATCATGTGACCTTAATTATACCTCTGAATGCTATTTCACCTTATTATTTTTCTTATTGATTTCCATTATTCATTATCTTTTATATACAGTTTTAAAAGATAATATACTACAGTGTATGCTTATTTAGAGCCACTAAGTGTAAAAAAAATATATGTGTAAATAAAATATGCGTGTAAATTAAATATGCGTGGAGAAATATATGTGTAAATAAAATATATAAATAAATAAAATTTTCATTACGCATCATTAAAATACCTGAAAAGGATGGTGTGAGGGCAATAGCTGATGTCATAAAAGATGACAACATTTGACTGTTTTCGGGATTCCATGAACAAGTGTGATTGAATTCATTGTGAACCGTGCAGAACTCATATGAATTAGTACCAACATTTTAGTCGTAATGCTGGCTGGTTCCATCTTTTAACTAATGACATCCTTAAATGAACACATTAATTGATTCAGATTCCTGACTGAATCTGCAAATTAATTTGCTTCTTTGTGAAGCTACCTTAAATCTGCCTTTCTCAGAAAATTATTTCTATTTAATAATATTGCAGTTTCTCCTCTTTGCATTACTTCACAAGTGTTGTTTCATTATGCATAGCTGAGTGTATCTGAAAGTCGACGGAGGTGTCCTAATCCTCTGTTAAGTAAAACTTTGACCTCAACTGACTAGAACCTGTTAGGGACTTAGCCTTATTGAATGGGCATAAGTCGAAAACAGCTTTGTTTTAAGGTCCCAATTTTAGCTGAAAAGGACCAGTTGAGCGTTTGAGAGAGTCATAAATTACAATCTTATTAAAAGGAGTTTATACTCGTGAACACTTGAATACTCAGCCATTCTCAGAATTTCATTTAGAATGCAATCAAGAAATTTAGAATTAGAGCAATACTTGCGTAATGGTACATTTCTTTCCATTTATCATTCATGGAAGAACCAGTAGCTTGGGTGGTTTCTCTGTTATTTAATTTGAGATTATACATTATGAAGTGTGTAAAACAATTCAGATCACAGTACCAGGATCATTGGTTATTACAACTAGTAATTTTATATTGAGTGAATAAGTGATTATTTTAACATCTTCAGGAATGTAAATTTATTATCTTCTTGAAAGTATGTACTATTGTTGGTCTTACCTCTGTGGATAAGGTAATTTTTGGCATAAAGGTACTCAGTACTTAGTATGATAAAAATAAAACTGTTTTATTACTTAATCCTTTACTGCCAAATTGTATTTGTTAGAGTAATACTACATCATTAAAAACAGACACAAAATAAAATGAAAACAAGGTAGCGGACCATTATATATCTAGTCAATCAGGGTCTTGAACTTACAGTCTCAGAAATTAATGTTTTTTGTACATATCACTGTCTTGCTCTTATATTAGCACAATTCTAAAAATAGTCTCACGATCACCTTGAAATAAATAGCCTCGAACTATTATTTATCTAATATTGAGCACAGATTGATACCAGCACAACTACTAGTTTCTCTATTATGAAACTTTACTATCTTTGGAATATGCCCTTTAGAAAATAAGAAAAGTAAAATATTTTTTCAAGTTGTACCACTATCAAAGCAAATCAGCAATATGAAGGTACTACCAGTTAGAGTAAAAAAACAATGTGAAATTTCATGTTTCCCCATTTTTAGTTCTAAAGTAATAAATTCAAATAAAAAGTAAAATCAGCTGTTTTTATTTTAATATGTTTTGAAATACTCAAAAGTTTATAGCTTCAAAACTATTTATCCGAAATAGTTAAAATAGTGCTATTATTTGGAATTTGAAGGACTTCAATTTGTGTGTTACTTGACATGACCAAACAAATATTTCCACATCAAGTCAACCAGAATCTCAAACATACAATTTCAGAAATTAATGATTGTTTATAGATAGCAATACTTTGCTTTATAGTTTCACAGCTCTTAAAAAGATCTTTTGGCATCATGAAATATATAGTATCATACAACCACTATATTTGAAATATTTGGGTGCAAGTTGATACGTTTATAAGCTTTGGAAGATCAAAACATTTCCATACTCTTTAGAATTTAAATAGACTATACATAGACTTTTAGGCTGTAAAACCAGTTATTTGTTTCAGTACGTGGTACTTATTGAAAATTGTCAATTGCTTTCTCTAGAGAGAGGCTTTCCAAACTAATATATCTATCTATCTCCTCAATGAGGCCTCTGGACCGATTTTGTGCTGCCGATTTCCAGCTTCTGATCGGTAGCAGGCTCCGTGCGTCCATTGCCATTCCATCAACAACTCATTGAAGCCTTGGCCTACCAAGCCGTCATGTACCGTGAAGGGTGGTGTCCACTACTTTTCTAGGAATTCTTTCCTCTTTCATCCTTGCGACATGACCAGCCTAGCTGTGAATCCCCAATTTTATAAACTTTACAACATCCATATTTCCGTAAAGGTCATAAAGATCCCTGTTCCTCCTAATCCTCCATCCATCTCCATCTCTCATTGGACCAACTATTCGCCATAAGAGATCCTAAATATGTAAACTCGTTCACCCTTTGGAATGTGTAAGAGCCAACACTCAGTGCCTAGTCGTCACCAGTCCCTGTGTGCATATATTTCGTTTTATTCTTGTTTATGGCCAATTCCATGGCTGAAGCAGCATCCATGAATTTCCTAAAGGCCTTTACCAATGCCGATCGGGTCCTAGTCACGATATTCAGATGTTAGCGTATCCCAATATCTGTACAGTTCGGGTGAATATCGTGTGGTCTGTCTGGATTTCTGAATCCCATACAGCTTTCTCTAGTACAAGATTGAAGAGGAGACAGGCCAGTCTTAATCCTTTGTTGGAGGGAAATGCATCAGAGCAGTCAGACTAGATCCGTACCTGACACCTTACATCTTTCATTGTCAACTTCACGAGATGTATCAGTTTGCATGGGATACCCATTTCTCCCAATGCCTCATACAGCTTAGGTTGTTTGATGCTGTCATATGCATTCTTAAAGTCGACAAACAGGTGGTGTGTAGGGATTTTATATTCATGACCCCATTCCAAAATTGTCCTAAGGGTGAACACTTGATCAACAGTGGATCTGCCTTTCCGGAAGCCAGCTTGATATTTCCCGATTTCCTGTTCCGCAAATGAAAAGGATATTCGAGAGGATTTTGTAGGCACAAGACAACAGGGCTATGACACAGTAGTTCCTGCAATCAGGTTGGTCTCCTTTCTTATGGAGTGGACATATTATAGTATTAGTCCACTGTCATGGCACTCTTTCCTGAGCTTTCTGATGTTCCACCTTTTGGACCTTTTAGTCCTGTGGCCCCTGACGGTGGCAATCCTTGCTCTAATTCTTGATATTATAAGGTAATGGTCGGGGTCAACATTTGCTCCCCTGTAAGTCCTACTACTAAAGAGATAGGATTTGTGATGTGCACTAATTAAGATGTGGTCAATCTTGTTATGGGTAACGCCATCAGATGATTTCCATGTAACCTTGTAAATCCGCCGCCCTGGGAACAGAGTACTCCCAACTACAAGATTACTTGATACTCCTAAATCAATGACCCTCTTGCCGTTTTCATTGTTTCTCTCATGCAAACTGAATGAGCCAATCGTGGGTTTATATGCATCTTCCCTTCTAATCTTTGCATTGAAACCCCCCAGTAGGATTTTGATATCGGATCTGGAGCATGCATCAAAGGCCCGTTCCAGGTCATCATAAAAGGCGTCTTTCTCATCGTCGCTTGATGCTTCTGTGGGTGCATGACAGCTAAAGAGCTTGTAATTGTAGAATGTTCCCTTAATGCGGATGGAACATAGGCGATCATTAATAGGGTTGAATCCAGTAACCTGTTGTCTAATCCAATCTCACAACGAACCCAGTGCCAAATGAGTGACCAAATGGCCGCTATAATATATTTTGTGAAATTTCTTCTCCAACAGCCCATGGCCGGTCCAGCGGATCTCCTGAAGAGTGATAATGCCAAGTCTGTATTTGTTCAGTTCTGAAAGGAGGACTTGAAGCCCACCTGGTCTATATAAAGCTAAAATGTTCCTCATTTCTAGTCTGAAGTCCATTTGACGGTCTGTTACTACTGATCTGCCGGTTATTTCTCGTTGAGGTCTCGAAATGAAGAAGTTTCAGAGGGGAGGGTTATCAGCCCTCGCCCTCCTAGTCAGGTGGAGGGGCTTCCTCCTCAGAGGCTCCTGACAGGCTCGTGGGCAAGTTGCCAGGCTCTATTCTACCGCATCAGTCCCAAGCCGACCGAAGAGGCGTTTCCCGCCTGCCGCACGGGGAGCCACCTGACCAACCCTTGTTGTCACCTTCGCTTCCTCTCCCTAGGGTGCTGGCCATCATTGGTAGATTCCACTGCTTACCAGAGAAAGAGGGTCTCTGGCTAGTTCCAACCATCGGCAGGCCAAACTAATGTTTCCTCTGAGAAAAGCCATTAACTCCAGATTTGACCGAAAAGTTGAATTTGAATATAATTATAACTTTACTTATATTATGGCTGGAGATTTTTCTTTAATAATAATTTTAGAAATCCTAACAGAGTTGTCATGAGTGAATTTGAGAACTATGGCTTGACTGATACTTCTTGGGTTCACTCAGAATTAACACAAATACTAAACTAAAATTTAAGAAATTTATATAATTTATTTAATTATTATTTATTTTTAGAACAATGGGAGACAAATTAGGTGAGGCTAAATCTAGTGGCAACTTAGGTAATACTTTGAAAGTTATGGGCAAGTTTGATGAAGCTATGATTTGTTGTAAAAGGCACTTGGAAATATCCCGGGAACTCAATGATAAGGTAATTATGGATTGTTAAAATTTTATATTGGAATGTATTTCAAATTACACTTTAATATATTTAAAGTAATGTTTTATTGTAGTTAAGTGAGGGCAGAGCATTATATAATCTTGGCAATGTGTACCACGCAAAGGGCAAACATATAGGACGTGTAGGTCAACAAGATCCAGGAGAATTTCCTGAAGATGTTCGTGAATGTCTTCAACAAGCTGTTTTTTATTATGAGTAAGATGTTTTTGTGTTATATAAGTTCAATTAAATAATAGTTTTTATGTTGATGCAGTTTACAGTATAAAAAAGGTCCATACACGAGAAATTAGATATAAGTTTTGATTCAATGTAATAAGTTTTCTGCTAATAATTAATGATTCTTTAAGTGAAATGTGGATTTTCAATTTTATCTTGAACAAGATAAATTTAAAAATAATTTTAATTAATTATTTAGTTATACTCTATAATGAAAAATAATTTCAGCTAATAATAATAAATGTAATTGATTGTATAATAATTCTAGCTAATTAAAATATTTATAATTAATTATACTTGATTATAAAATACCTAATTTGGAATTAGAACATGCCATTAGAGAGGTGATGCATAGCGAAAAAGGTTTAAACCTGGGTGGAACAATATCTGTGCTTGGGTATGCTGATGATTTAGTACTGTTAAGCGAAGATATGGAAACAATAAAACTAAATATAACAACATTGATGAAAGCCGGTAAATAACTAGGATTTAAGCGAAGATATGGAAACAATAAAACTAAATACAACAACGTTGATGAAAGCCGGTAAATAACTAGGATTTAAGCGAAGATATGGAAACAATAAAACTAAATACAACAACGTTTGATGAAAGCCGGTAAATAACTAGGTCTTGAGATAAATACGGATAAGACAAAATATATGGTTAGCTGCAAAAACAGCGACAATTTCTATGATATCGATATAGTAGGGAATGTGTTTGAACATGTACAGAATTTTAGGTATCTAGGGTCTGCGATAACTAGAAAAAAATGAAATTGAAGAGGATATTAAGGTTAGGCTGAAGGTGGGAAATGCTTTTTATTTTTCTTTGTCAAAACTACTTAGTTCTTGTCTCCTGTTCTGAAACTTAAAACTTAGAAATTACAAAACCATCATCCTACCTATGGTTCTTTATGGATGCAAAACATGGCCGCTTACATTAAGGAATGAGCAATGTCTTAAGGTTTTTGAAAATAAAGCACAGTGTAGAATGTCGATTCAGTCTGCCCCTAGTGGTTGTAAATCAAAATACTTATTATTTATTACCTATACTAAGACTTTGATCATAAAAACATATGTTAACAAGCCTTACCAGTTTTATTGTTATATAATATCATGATTGCCATTATTTTAACACTAACAATAGAAAGAATTATTATTTAATTACTTGACTTTATTTTGCCTCAAACTGTTACTTTTTAGAACTCACATTAAGATCAGAAACCAATTTTCTAAATATTATTAAAAGTATGAGTTTGTGAATTGGTCAAGAACTAGTTCATTAATGGTCATTGTTCTGTTATTCAGAAGATTCTTGTCCAATTACTTAAAATTATTAGCATATGTTAATGCTTTTCTAAAATTTAAGATCCATCCCGTCTTGAGTTTTGAAAACTTACATTGCTCCTTCCCGTCTGTTTGTTCATAAATTGTTTAATGCTTTTCATCTCAAAATATTTCGACTGTGTCTACTTTGTTTTTAATACTTATAACATTGAACCATCATTATTAATGCTAAATTAATTATCCAATAATTAAAAATGGTTCACTGCAAGAGTTAACATAAATAAATAACCAGTGCCTTGCTCTTTTTGGACTTTGCCAATCTTAAGGCAGGGTTCTCAAAACTATGGCCCACAAGCACCTCTAGTTTGGCCTGTGAAAGTTTCTTTAATTAGATGATAAGAGTTTAAAAACTATTAATAAATGTGAAATTTAGCAAATGACTTACACAAGAGGTTACTACATTTATTGCACTTTTTTTTTCTGTCCTATAAAGCTCATTTCACAACTGAGAGGTCATTTATTATTTATTTAACAATTTTTTTTTTATCACAAGCCATGGCCGGAAAACTTAGGTGGAGGTCTCAAGACCCTCCCGTGGAGGCCCGCAAGACTTTGTAAAGGTCTCAATGTGGCCTGCGGGCCAAAATGTTTTTAGACCCCTGTTCTAAGGTTTCTTGAATTAATGGAAATATTGGCATATTGTAGATTATTATTATTTACAAGAACCATTTGTGTGTATTGAAATTGTTTTTGTATTTAGGGAAAACTTGAAACTAATGAGAGAATTAAATGATACTGCTGCTCAAGGACGGGCTTGTGGAAACCTCGGAAACACATATTATTTATTGGGTGATTTCCAGCAAGCCATCCAGTATCATCATGAGGTATATTGAGATTTTTATATATTTACTCTTCATCATGAGGTATATTGAGATTTTTATATATTTACTCTTCATCATGAGGTATATTGAGATTTTTATATATTTACTCTTCATCATGAGGTATATTGAGATTTTTATATATTTACTCTTCATCATGAGGTATATTGAGATTTTTATATATTTACTCTTCATCATGAGGTATATTGAGATTTTTATATATTTACTCTTCATCATGAGGTATATTGAGATTTTTATATATTTACTCTATCATGAATTGAAAAATTATTGAAATGTAAGCTTAAAGTTTAAAGTTAGTGTCAGTAGTAGATTCTCTTTTAGATTCTCTTCATTGAATTATTAACGAACAAAAATAAGATTAGTACATCTGATTTATTTTTCTAAAATTTCTTTTTCTCTAATACCAAATTTATAAAATTGCCTGTATTTAATCATTATTTTGACAGCAAACAATCTGTTGTTTTCTTTTTGAAAATATTGCAATATTTAACATTTAATATGAGTATAATATTTATTTATAGATATTTCTGACCTTAGGTTTAATTCTTTTACCATATCTTTGTTGGCCTCCTCTTATGTATTGGAATGTTCCCAAAACACATATCTACTACTGGAAATGATTATATCATTAATGATACTGAACTTACTTTAATATCTGACTAGAGTAAATTAATTTAAAAAGAATCTTTAACATTCCCCCTTTCCACTCCCGTTATGCTGACAAAGGTATAATTTGATACTTAGCACCCTTTATTTTAAACTTTCTTGACTAATATCTGAATAAAAATAAGCCTTAATTTTCATTTTTTACTTATAAGCCCCACCTTAATATTAATAGCTGCGTTATAGCTCTTTATTTCTTCTTGTCTGCCACATGATGGGTATGGTTTTGCTTTTGAAACTGTGAAGCATCCATGTCCTGCTTTGTGAGAGCCAGCGTATCTCTTATACATTATAACTAATTTAATGACTTCTTTGCAGGTCACTTTAACTTAAACTTATTTTTGTTTTTTTAATATTTACATCCTTCTCTAGTATCTAAAAGAACAATTTCTTTGTTACCTAAAAATTACTTTACAGATTGTCAGAGGGACAGAGAAACTAATAAGATTTCTTAATTTGTTCCTTTTATTTTACCTCAATATATTGATGTGTTTTGATTTATCCTAAGTTTGTATACAAATAATCATTTTTGATATTCTAGAGGCTGAAAATAGCTCGCGAATTTGGAGATAAAGCAGCAGAACGAAGAGCTTATAGCAATCTTGGGAATTCACATATTTTTCTTGGTGAATTTGAAAAAGCTGCAGAACATTATAAGTAAGTAAAGCAAAAATGTATAGGTATAAAAGAAAAAAAGAAATTATTTTGAAGTGTGTGATACTTTATTTTTTACAATTTTGATAATTTACCTATTCTTAGATTCACTTAATTCTAAGATTAAGTTTGTTTTAAGATGTATTATGAACATGTCTTAGTTAAATTTTATGAGTAATTGAGTTTTATATATTATAATTGAAATTTACAATATTTAGTAAAACATTGGGTGTTTTAGGACGATGTACAATAGGCCTCGATGCATCCTCTTGTCGGGTTAACAAAACAAAAAAAAAAACTTGGGTGTTCTTCAAATTAATTGTTCATTGGTTGGTAAAGATTTATTAATGTTTATTAGTAAAGAGTTATTTTAATTGGTTGGATATTATGAAGGTGTAATAGTTGAACAAAAAAACTTGGAATTCCAATTTTTCAGCTAATTTTAGACCTATAAAGTAATAATTATATATGTTTTGCCATAACATTAAAAATGATTAAAAAATGCTTTCATTTTATTAAATTTTTTCTTATGGCTTAAGTTTGGTCACTCTCAGAGCATTCTTCACTTTATTCATGTTATTTATTTTTCAATAGAGCTTTAATCATGATTCTATACGGGGTCTAATTAAAATTGCAATGGTGCTGTCAAATATTGTTGATATTAACGTTTTACATCTACATAAAATGAAACACTATTATGATATCCTTAGAGTGCCAAAAGACGTATCGTGTATGAAGTGAATCGTATATATTTTTATAGATCTAGAAGATGGATAAAAATAATACCACTACATTTTTTTTTCCTGTGTTGGACTAAGACTTCCATTGAATTCCTATACCGATTTACCACTAAATTTGTGATACAATAAGTCAGAAAATTAGTTGGGGAAATCTTTTTCAACTTGGAGAATAATTTGAAGCTGAAATTTTCAAAGCAGTTTTTGGACACCTTTGATAAAAATAGTGTTAATTCAGCCAACACACTTATTCTGGACTTGAAAGTTATGAAACATAATATTATATACTTGTTCTGGGGGAGGGAGAGTTAAATGTAATAAAATTTCATTAAATATTTAATTAATTAGGTTATTCAAAATTGCTATGTGGATAAATTAGAACATCATTATAAAAATGGTACTTCACTATGTAGGAAATTGTTTGTATTTATAAATTAAATCATATGGTTTATATCTTTGTTATTTATAATTAAATTTTGTTTCAGGCGCACGCTAGAACTTGCTCAAGAGTTAAATGATAAAGCAATTGAAGCTCAAGCATGCTATAGCCTAGGGAATACCTACACTCTCCTTAGGGATTATCCAACAGCTATAGACTATCACTACCGCCACTTGCATATTGCACAGAATCTAATGGATCGAGTGGGAGAAGGTAAGATTTTTGTTAAAAATTTATTTAAGTTAAAAAAAAATAACTTTTCTCCTGCATTAATGAATATTGTGCACTTTATTGAAGCTGGGTATGTCCCATGAGGATCTCCCATTCTCAGGGTTGCTCTACGGCTGACGTAACAGAATAGTTATTAATTTCATAGCAATTGGTGACAAACAAAATGATGTATCCTAATTTTAAATGACAGTAACATGTATTTTAAATAAGAGAAAATTTTAATTCCAAACTTTAGACTATTTGGACTGAAAAAGCTTAGAGTGTGTTGGCTGAAGTTCACCGCCAAACACTTCGGGTTTGGACGGCGAACGGTGGAGGGAGGTGTGTAATAAGCGATAGGTGGTGTCGGCATCAAACCTTCGGGTTGGTTAAGCCTTTTATTATTATTATATAGAGCATACAGTGGGTGACAAAAAAGTGATTTCAATCTTGTGATCAAATACTTGCTTTCCAGTCAAATGTTTTACAAATTTTCATTTGAAGTATTGTTTCTCTACATTTTGGAAACTGACTTTGATTCTGTCATGCTTTGATCATTATTAACAAAGTTATGGGTGTTACTACAATTGGTTTTACCTAACTAATACCTGTTTTTCAAAGTAACTAAAAAGCTATAGCTAAAGCTAGCTAGCCTTTTTTCTATATACACTGTTTCTTCCTTTGTTGCACTTAATTCATTTGTCTTCATATGCTTTCCAATGTTCTGCCAAACACAACTTCCAAATTGGTGACACTATCTTCTACTCAACTCAAGCTCACAGGGTAATCCTCTCTCTTTTCATTCCAAACAACTAGTCTCTCTGCCAAACAACAACTTCCAAAATGGAAGGGGGCGGGGTGGCCGAATAGGCTAAAGCGTGTGCACTGCACCACAAGTAGCCTGGCAACCAGATATATGAAGATTTGAGAGACAAGAAAAGTACGAGTTCGCATCCCGGTGCCAGAGGGGATTTTAAATTCCCCGCCCCCACCCTCCGGCCCGGGAAAATCCCGTATAGCCTAAACGGCGAGCTAGGGAAGAAAAAAAAAAAAAAAAAAAAAAAAAAAGACTTCCGAAATGGTAATAATATTTCTTGGTTTTACCCACTGGATCCAGGATCTCTTCTCCTATCCTCTCTTCACTACAGCCACTCAACAACTGCTTGCCAAAACAAAAACCTTTGTCTCTCTCCTTTTTGGGATTTTCCTTCTTAGGAAACTACAGAGCAGCCATTTTCTTTTCCCTGCACTAGCAGAACTAGATTAGCTTACCTTTTAATTGTTCAACATTAATTTATTAAATCATTTTTACTCACTTCCAAGCAATGTGTATATTACAATGTATATACTTTTTTTTATGTCTGACTTTTATATTACTTATTTTAATATTAAAAATTAAACTTTTTCTTGTTTAGTTGTCTGAGCTTATTCAACTAAAAAGCTTTAAAATACTTCATTGTTTTACTCTCCCACAGGTGGACCTATGGAGGAGGGGCTTTCATGCTGAAGCCCCATCAAAATTGTAAAATATATCCATGTCTTATATATAAAAAAAAAATCTCTAAAACTATTATTTCTCATCTAATTACATTCAATAGGACTTCAATAATTACTTAAAGAATTAAGGCTGAAACCCGATGAAAATTAAATCCTGGATCCGCTACTGATTTCTCTGTGGTGTTGGATCATTTTAAACGATTTGTTTATTTGTTTTGTTTTAACGATAGCATGTTAAGCTATTGTTAAATTTTTATGTTGTTAATTTCTAAATGAATGTATATTTATTAAGGACGTGCTTGCTGGAGTTTGGGTAATGCTCATTCTGCTATGGGTAATCATGAGAAAGCTCTTCACTTTGCTACTCAACATCTGGAAATTTCAAAAGAGGTATGTATCTATTCTGTTTAAAAGCATTTATTATTTTCACTAAAGTTATGAGATATTGTATGATACCTACTTAATTCTTTATATGATCAATTATAAGTTTGATAAAGAATATAATATAAGGTATACGAAGATGAAAATGCCTAAACAACAGGACCTAAGACTAAGAATTCCACTATTTCTCCTATGTTATAAAAGATTTATTTATGCTGATTCTAATCATACCAAAAAATTATCAGAAACTATTAATGTGAATTTTGGCAGAGTTGATCAACTGTTAATCATATATTTTGATTACAGCCATTAGAGAAAAATTTATAGTATAAAAGTGTAGTTCACCAATGGTTTCAAATGAGCTTGCAGATCTGTTGACTTAATGAAGTTACAAAGACCATCTTGATTTGTTGACTTCGATAAAAATAAAGGAATGAAATTTCTTTCTTTCCCCTTATACTCTTGTTTGTCTTGGTATTATCTGTTCGATGAATTTTCTTGGAATGGAGAGATGGCTTGGTGGAGGTTGGCTGTGTACATATCAACATTATTAATTTAGCTCTGTAATGTTGTCACTATCACTGACGGGCCTTTTGCCTTTGTTTGTTTAGTCAGGAAGGATGAAAGCGATGGGGAATGAATATTGTTCGGATTGCTTTTAGTTAATAAACATACACTAACATTTGTCAAAATAAACTTATTTCTTCTGATTTAAAAACATATATTTCTGATATAAAGTAAACGATGATTTAAGGTTATTTAGGATATAATGTAGGCTGTATACATTTTAGTGTTTTCATAAAAATATGACAGGGTCATTGATAAGATATAGTCAATTGATTGGAATATTGGGTGCTGATGAACTTTGTTATTTAAGCAGAAAATGAAATAAATAGTTTATTTAAATACTGTATAATGTGGGAAAGATTATACTGATTTACGCCAAATTATCTTTTCCCAACTATAAGAGACCAAGAAAGACATCAAAACAGGATAAATAGACACTATTAAAGGAATATAACTGAATTTAATAGAAGGATCAATGAAAAACACCTTATTCCTTCCAAAGAAATAATATAATGTTCTATCAGTAACTAAAGTAGGCGAATACTCTTTCAAAAGTTTAATTTTTGAAAAAATGTACTAGATATGATGATTGATTTAAGCAACTATAGCAGCTTAGAGACCATGAATACCAAAGAAACTAGTTTATTTGCTCAATATTCATCCTAGGAATCTGTAATAGCATCCAAATTGGTAATTAATGTTCTTAGAAGTTTAAGATATGATAGTTTTTAATGTACTTTCCTCTCTCCGATTTTTTTAATTTGAATTCTGTAAAACATCAGAAAATTTGTTGGAATTAAGAGTTTACCTCTAGAAAAAAAAAAAAAACATTACCGCAACGTCCTGATTCTAATGTTATGGTTTTTGACTAGTTTCTGCTAGTGCTATTTAGTGTTTTTGGGTGCCTAACGTTTCATTAAGCTTCCACTCTTTAGAGAGATCTATTTTGTTGGGTGAAATTTAAATAAAACAAACTAAATTATAACTTGCCAAAATGGCGATGATTTTGGGGATACAGGTATTAAGTAGAATATATAAAAAGTTTTAGGTATTTGTGCTTGGTATCTAAAATAAATTAAATCCTAGAGGAAATAAAAGTTAGATTAAAAATAGGCTGTCGTTGTTGGTTGGTTTATAAAAATTAAATCACTGTTTGTCAGGCTTTCTTAATATTTTAAATTATATTTGTGCTAAATTTTGTTAACAATATTTAACTAAAGATGTTAATCAAGCCTAATTGAATGTGTATATAAATTATCATTTAAGAGTTCATTCCAAAATCTTGTTTTTTGTTTTAATTCCACCACAGTTTTGTAGAATTAATACTATTTATAAAGCAAAAGTTTTCTTTATTTTATTTCTTTTAATTTTTTTTTTTTTTTCGAAGTTTCACCTAAATTAAAAATCATAATGATAGGTAAAGACCTAGAAGATGAAACACATTTTATCTTGACTAATTAAAACATCATGCAATACCCGAAAATCGCATATGCTATGGCCTTTAGGAATGGAGGAGCGACCAAAAACATAAATCAATATGGGAAACTATACTATCAGGCAAAGTGACAATAACAACTGGCAGCATGGGTGCTTTGAACATTACCGAGAAAGACCGAAGTTTGAATGCCCTGGTCAGAGAGAAACCATAAGTGATATTTATGTACTGTCTTTTATTTTATAAAAACCTCATTTAAATGAAATATATTAGTAAACTTTCTGTTTTGAATTTGAATATTGTCTGTTTTATTTGTTGAATATATTTATCTAATTTGGGAAATGACCTAGGTTGGAGATACGGTTGGCCAGGCAACGGCTCAAATGAACATATCTGATTTACGGAAGGCTCTTGGACTACCTGAAGGAGAACTATCCCCAGATTCTGCCAAGCTGGTTACTTCCTTCTCAGCACAGCCTTCACCACTCCTCCGGCGATACAGGGTGAGGAGGGAGAGCATGACACGGCTTGATATTATCAAGGTCTGCATGGTTTGTCCTTATCCCTTTCTAAATGCTCAACCTGTTTACCTTGTATATTTATAGCACTGTCCATTCAATAGATATCTTAAATTAAAAAAAAAAAATTGCTGAAGTTCTATTGTAGATTCTGTTTATTCCACTGGTTATATACTGGTTCTCACTTGTATGATTATTCAAAGAATAACAAATAATTTACAGCTATTGTTCATGAAAGGCTGAGGTTAATTTTAGTTTTTTCTTAGTAGTGACTGTTTGCATTAGTGGCATGTTTGGTTTCCTGTTTCTGAATTGATGTCTATATAATCAGTTTTTAAAGAGATAATTATGGTTATGGTAGAGGTCAGAATATAAGTCTGGTGAGAAGTGAAGCTTCCTCGCTATTCATTTCTCATTCTCAACAGCATTTTGTTAACAGTGTTTTGTCTAAGTTAAACTTCAGAAAACTTAAGGGAATAATTACCTCTTATTTTTGGAAGATAAATTTTAAAATTCTAAATTTTCATTGACAATTTAAGCATAAATATAATCCTTATAGTATAGATAAAATAGACAAAATTAACAAAGAAAATTTTTATATACATGAAACTTAGGTCATAAATTTTTCTTGATAGTAGTAATCAAGATCTGCAGAGTTTACTCAAATTTCGGGGCAATCCATTCTACCAAGGTGAAGTTATAATCAAAGTTTCCTGAGTGTACAAACTTTGTTGTTTATTTGGTCGAATTAGGTCTATTTTTCATGTCTATTTAATAGTAAAGTAAATAAGAAATAAACCAACAAAAGATCGATTTTTGTCTAATTATTAAGTTTTTACTCATAAATCACACATATAAAAAATAAAAAGCCTGTATTACTACAACCCATGAAGGGTTTTGGGATCAGTACTGTATAAGGAAGTACTGTTTCGAGGCTAACGTTTGTGGAGGGTGGTGATCAGGCCAGGTTCAAGCTCAACAACCAGATTTTCTCCCTTAATTAATTTTTTAATGAAGAGTATTTGTTTATATAGACACTTTATATAGAGGCTGGGTGCGCTCCTGGAGGGTCTCCCGACCCCCAGGGCCGATTCACTGCTGGTCGGTCCAAATCACACAAAACATTATCAATTATTTGTACGAGAAGCTTGTTGGAAATCACAGTCATCGAAATACACCGAAATAAATTAATATCTATTTTTTTGTGCCGATGTTTCATGCCTTCATCAGGGCTGCTCGTTCAAAGGATATCAAACAAGTAGCCAGGCTAAATGGCTTGCACAAAAGAAATTAGTGTAATTTATTTTTGTGCACTTCATTGATCCCAATCCTCCATAAACTTCTCTTATGTAGAATCTGCAATAAAAAATGTCTCTACCATAATTAAAAATTAAGGCATGATGCCACATCAGGAATGTGAAGAAAATTAAAACAATTAAAAGAGGAGGAGAGCAGAGTGATGACAATGTGGGTTCAGTTGACAGTGATATTATGTTAGAGGAATTCACCATATTCACCCCAGCTGAGGGAAAAATCTTCCTGAAGGTCTCTCCTCTTATATGCTGACCTCTATTATATTAATTTTACTTTTTTCCAGATTACATACTAAAAAAATCTATTCGACTGTTTTATTTAAAGATTGAATTTATCACTTAATTCTCTGAAATATGAGCTCTTTTATCCTTGTGTTATTTGGAAATTAAATCCTTTTTTTATTTATGAAAAACAAACTTGTGATGAACTCTCGCTTGATTAAGTTATTTATGAACAAAAACAAAGTTGTCTTGTTTCTGTTTTAATTACATCGTGATCAATCTTGTTCTAGTTTATTTTTATTTTTTATGGCAGTTTGTGTTGATTAAAATTCTTGATTTATTTATTACACATATATTATATTAGAACCAATTGGCAGTTCTAAATTTGTTTTTATTTCATAGTTTCTCTATATGTTGTGACTGACTGCTTTTCAAGCAAATGCTTATTTCAGTATATATAAAGTGTAGAAAGGAATTAAGTTAAATGAAGACTGTTAAGATTGAACTGTTGTCTGGAGAAGTTAAGATTTAAGAAATTTCTAATTGTTGGAAGTGAAGGTAAGATAAGTTATATCTCTCCTGTTAGTGTGGACCTGGGAAAGGTATCTCATCCTCTTACTTTCTTGTCTTTATATTGACTTCCTAATCCTACTGCTCATCTCTTCCCTGTACATAGTGTAAAATATATTGAATTATTAGTTATCAGTGTTGGTAGTAGATATTTTAGTAAATGCACCAAAGTAAACAGTTTGAGTTGTTTTATCACGAGAAGTACTAGGTTTTGTAGTAACATTGGTATAACTATAATTAGCACAATAACAATTTATAATTATTGTTAATAAACTGGTCTCGTCAAGATATGTTAAAAAGAAAACTTTATCAAAGAAGATTATTAGAAATTATGGGGATTTTTCAGGAACAAATTATAAGGAATCATAGTTGGGGAAAATATTAAAACCTCAAAAAAAAGTAAAATATCTCATGGGTATCAGTACCCAAAATATCAAGAATTAAAATTGAGACCTAGTGACTGATAGATATGTCATATTAGAAAGTTTAGAGTAGAATAGTTGATATTCCCTGACTAAATGGCTACCTGGTATCAAAGTTATCTAAGCTAATGTTCAAGATTTGGTCATCATGTCATGTAAGAAGGAATTGAAATGGATGTTAAAAGAATTAATGATAAGAAGTGAATTTATCCTAAAAAGGACAATATATCTCCTTAATTATTTATGCAGGATAGTCAAGGTGCTGAAAAGTTTAATAATACTCATCCATAAGTATAACATTAGTATTTACCATAAGTACTACTCATTATGTCTTTTTGAAGTTATGAATAAACTTTACATGTTAGCACCAACCCACAATTAATTGATTCCATAAATTTTCGGTTTTTATTTATTGATAGGTTATTTAAAAAATAAATAAATAAAAAAGTCCCAAAATTTTCTGATGCACATTCAGGAATTTTTAATCCTCTGATCTTTTTAGAATTTGTTTTTTGTGTTAATTTTTTTCTTATTATTTACATACTATTCATTTCCATTACCAAAAAGTTATACCTTCAGAGGCAATTTAACTTGAAGTTTAATAATTTTAATTATTTATTTTACAAAACAAAACAAAAAAAATCCTTTATAAAGTTTACAATGAACAGAAAACATTTCTGACATGCCAGTCTGCCTACTTTGCTGAATGTCTTTTGCTTGTAAACAGAATAAATTCCTAAAGAGCGTACCTCTACTTGGTTTTGATTTCTTTGTAAAAATATATTTTTAAATTATTTTTATTTAAGTAGTAGCAGTTGGAATTTAGGATTCTTGATTGGGGTTTGCCACTTTTATATGAAATTCTCTTTCTTTTAACATCTCATTTGTCAAAATGCATTACTTTTAGGAATCGGATAAGCAATCTATACAATATAAGTAATATTATATGTAGTAAATGATTTTCAAAATGTTCTATATATAATCTAAAAATATAAAATTTACATTAATTACCTTTCATAAATCTATTACTTTTGAATAACTAATTTTATTGATGTATTTTTTATATTTAAATTTGAAATTGATCGATTAATGGATATTTTTGCTATGCTGGTTGATTTTAACTAAACTAAAGGCTTCTACACACAGAATATGAATCTTGGCCATACTATATTCTTGTCAGTGATTATTTAGTTGTATTACTATTTATTGCATTACAGCAGACACACATAAGGTGATAATCTGCAGCGATACCTACAAAGGCATATCATATCATCAAGACATATCACGTTTTGTGTTATTTAAGAGCCTATATTTATATTTAGGTATTATTTATGCATGAGCTCAGTTTTTACAAAAGTTGTGAACTAACATGTTTTATGGCTACAATTATTTTATAGAACCTAAGAAATTATAAATAGTAATTTGATTGAGAACTTCTGATTACTCATGCTTATCTTCTGTTTGAGGGTATTTAAATTTTAAATAATAAATCAGGGTTATTCCAGTATATAAATTCATAAAATTAATGAGCAGAATTTCAAATGAAGTAAGGAGTACTTAGCAACTTTCACTAACATTAGTAGCTATTTCATTTGATACCAACTGCTGTAAAATGTAATTGTGAGTTAGCTTTGATAAATTAGAATATGCTTTGTATATATGCATGCATCCAGCTTACCATGCGTTTTCTTTTTTTATATGCTTATGTTGTGTCTAGAGATGTTAAATACATTTTGATTCAATAAGTCTGAGGTTTTGTGTAATTAGTCTGTTGAAAGATTTAGTTTCATTTCTCTCTCACCAGTTCTCAGAAAACAACTTTTTATGAATTATTTCGTAGTTTAGCTTTTTTATATTCTTCAGGTAAAGGTAATTTTCTTCCATTGATTCAATTAAACCAATTATGGTAATGAATAAAGATGTAGGTATAACTTGTTGAAAACACATATTGTAAGTCTTTGATCCTGTGGTTAATTTAGTTTTGTAAGAGGTGGGAGAATTCGCTTTGTGACTTAGTTTCATCATGATATTTACATTGATTAAAAAATTATTACTTTTAGTTTTCGATTGAATAAAAGTAACATTTAAATTAAAATAATCTTATTAATGCACATATTTTAGAAACTACACATCTAAGATTTTTATAATTTTGATAACCTTGTAAAGAACTTTATAATAACATTTTCATTGATAAAAGTCTAAAAAGATATATAGCATAAACTACCAATCTTTACACTGTCGATGTCTTTGAACAATGTACCCAGAGCTAGCCTGAAATCAAAATCTATAAAAATTACACATGTGCTGTTTCTGGTACAGCATATTCAATTTTTAAAATTCCACTTTTTCAAAAGTAATTAAAAATTATTTATGTGTAATAGATTTTAAAATATGCTCAAATATGTTTCTGAATGTAATTTCAATTACTTTACTCATTTGATATCAGATCTGTTTCTATGAATTACTTTTGTAGAAACCTCGTGCTCTACTGTTATTTATTATTATCTTATTTGTTTCTAAAGCTGACTCCAGATGCTAAAGCCCGAAATAATGCTGAGGCAGCATTGTCTCACACTCCAGTACCTCATCATAATGAGCAAACGGTAATTAATTTTAAATATTTGCCCATTAGTTTGTTGAAATAATAAGTTTGGTTTCAGTTTTATTCTATATCTTATTTGTCAACACTGTTGATAAAGAAATTATTTGTTTCATAGGCCAATGAGGATGAAGACTCCTTCTTTGATCTTCTCTCTAGATTCCAGTCAGAAAGAATGGATGATCAAAGATGCTCCTTGTCTATTATATCAGAAAATAAAGAAAACCACAGCACAAATTCTCCTTCATTGAACAGTATTAATAATGGTAACATTGCTTGCATTATAGTTCAGCCTTTTTGTAGTTTTTACTCTGCATTATTTCATATCAATTATAGGCTTTTAGAATTTTATATTTGTCATAATATACTTCAAAAATCTATAATCAGAGGGCTGTTTATTTTTTTACTTTAAAGCAGTTGAACAAATATTTCACTTATTCCTAAAGCAAATGTTTTAATCTTGTTATGCCCTTTTAATCATGTTGTTTTTACCTGGTAATTAGTTGATGACAATAAACATATCCTATTAATAAATACAATAGAAAATAATTCAAATTGAAGAATTTCAAATGTTAAGTTTAACATTTTTATACAAATTATTGCTTTTAACGATTGAGTTTGAAATTTTTAAACATTGAGTTTGAAATTTTTAAACACTCATACAAATATATTGCCAAGCAAAGAGATAAAGCTTCAAGGTTCATAGTGTAGTGTTAATGAATGAAAAGAGGATCTAGTATATAGCCAGTATTAGATAACGGATCAAAATATATTGGCTTTGACTCATATAACTTAAATTCGATCAGCAATGGAACATGGAGACGTTTTACTTTTTCAGACCCTCAGTTAAACAAATTAAATGTTCAGAATCACACTCAGGTTAATAATAGAAAACACCAAAAGATCTTAAAATCTTTTAAAATTTGTATAAAAATCATGGCAACATCATTTTTAGAAAAGTAGGGACAAATTATCTTAATTATTCAGCCAACTTTAAACTGTAGTTTATAAAACAGGTATTAATATGATTTGTTTCCGGAGAAGTATATACAATTTAAATTACCTCTAAGAATCAGTGAATATACAAGAGACGCTCCTTTTTTATCCTGAAATTTTTGTTGAAAAAATTGACTTTATTGAAATGAAATGAAAAAATGAAATGAAAAAAATGTTTTATTATTCTGGGACTGTTGTCCCTTAAGAACAAAATATGAATACAGATTATATGTCTGTGTGGCTACAATTAAATTGTATATTTACAATGAAAGTTGACTTACGATAAAAATACAGAAAAGAGAAAGAAAAGAACAAGTAAATTGTACATATGTATGAGAAACTAAAATAACCTTAATAAATTGAGGTAGTCTCTGGTGGTGCTCAGATATTTCTCTTAGATATATTTCACAATCATTCGGATTGAGAAAGGAGTAGGTGCTTAAAGAGGAGAGGTTTAAACGAGGAAACTGATTGAGCGTGTCGAATATCAGCTGGGATGGAATTCCAGAGGAAGGCGGCTTGTATTGCAAAGGATTTGTCAAACGCAGCAGTTCGGTGAGGAGGAGGATAGAGGTCGGAAGTACGAGATCTGGTGGGACGGGATTTGATGGAATATTTGAATTGTAAGCTGTGAAAAATATAGGAGGGTCGATGGGTTCTAATGATTTGGTACAGAAAGGTGGCTAGAAAGTACTGACGGCGATAGGATGGGTAGAGCCACCTCAACTCAGTGTAATACTGGGTAATATGCGTATCCCTTGAGATTCCGAAAACAAATCGTAGTGCGCAATTCATTAGGCGTTTAAGTTTGGCCTCGGAATCTCCCGGGAGTCCACCGTACACCATACAGCCATAGTCGAAGTGGGGGAAAACAAGGGAGGAAACTAGGAGTTGACGGGACTTATATGGAAGGAGATATCGTAGACGATTGAACTGTGTTAGGCTGGAGATAGTGCGACGGGAAATTTGGGAGATGTGAGGTTTCCAGGATAGGGATTGATCGAAAGTAACACCTAGGTTTTTAACGGTGGTGTAGAATAAGATAGGTGAGTTGTTCAGAAAGAGATTGGGAGATACCGGGAAGGATTTGAGGAGTGAAGGGGATCCGATCAAGATGGCTTTTGTCTTCTCGGCGTTCAGAGTGAGCCTATTGAGGTTTGCCCAAGCACTTATTCTGTCAATATCTTTCTGAAGTTTTTGAGTGGCATCTGAGATATCTGTATGATTAAAGGAGATGTAAATTTGAATGTCGTCGTCATACAGGTGGTATTGACAGTGCAGGATAGAGGATGGGAGGTCATTTATATAGATGGAGAAAAGGGTGGGGGATAAGGAAGAGCCTTCTGGGATGCCTCTGGTCAGAGGTAGAGATTCTGATGGTGGGTTATTAGGAATTACAACGTACTGGGAGCGACCGGTTAAGAAGGATTGGAACCAATTAAGGGAACTAGAAGAAAAAGAGATATTTTTAAGTTTGGTTAGGAGGATGTTGTGGTCTACTGAATCAAAAGCTTTGGAGAAGTCTAGGAGAATAAGGATGGTTAGTTTCTGCTGATCTATGGCTGTGTGAAGGTCTTGGGAAATTTTGATTAGGGCAGACTGAGTAGAATAACCAGGCCTGAAACCGGACTGGTAGGGATTTAGGAGATTATTGTCCTCTAAAAAATGGGATAGCTGGGATTCGACTAACAGCTCTAATGGTTTTGAGAGGTTTGAAAGGAGGGAAATCGGTCGGAAATCATTAGGAACTGATGGGTTTGAAGTCTTCTTCAATGGGCGTACTAGGGCGGTTTTCCAGGATGTAGGGAAGGTAGCATTTTGAAGAGAATAATTGTATATATGGTAAAGGATCGGAAGAATGGATGGCAATGCGGCTTTAATTAGTCTGACTGGGATGTTGTCGGGACCGTAATCATTGGTATGGGACTTCTGAATGGATTTTAGGAGCTCATCTGGTGTAATATGGGAAAGAAAGAAGTGATTAAAGGATTAAAGGAAGAGAACATAGGAGCCAGACTGGACGTGGGAGATATGGTTGCAAGAGGACAGGAGACAAAGTGAGCGTTGAGGTTATCAGCAGAAACGGAATTGGACTGAGACTGGGGTGCATTACCAATGGTCAGTTTTATAAGAATAGCCCATGTAGCCTTGGCATTGGGAGAGTTGGATAGGGAATGATGGTGGTAACGGGATTTAGCACTGCGTACTGCTGATTGAGTGCTATTTCGAAGCTGTTTGTAGGAGAGAAAATCATCAGGAAGTCGAATTCGTTTAAACCGTCGCCTTGCAGCATCTCTTTCTCTCATACACTCCCTCAAAGCAGGAGTAAGCCAAGGAGCTGGAGGATATCGGATGGTTTTTGTGATAAGAGGAGCATGTCGGTCGAGGATAGAGTGAAGTTGAGTGGTAAGGATTTCTACCATGGTGTCTATGGATTTTGAGGAGTAGATGGGATCTCACTGGATATCGTCAAGATCTTCTGACAATGTTTCGTGAGTGAGATAATCTAGGTTTCGGAAGGATATTGTTCGGGGAGAAAAGGATGGAACAGGGACATTGTAAGAGATCTGGACAAGATCGTGGGAAGATAGAAACGGAACCGGGTGCTGAGATGCGGCAAGGAGTTTGTCTGAGGAATCCAGGATAATTAGATCGAGCCAGGACTCTGAATACTGAGTATGATGGGTTGGATTGTAGGGTACTATGTAAAGGCTGAGAGAATTAAAGAGGTTTGTTAGGTGTTTTTTATTGCCTAAGCCAATTATTTTTTAATATTTTTTTCATGTTTTATTGTTGTCTGACTATCCAGCTTTAATAAAAGACCAATTATGACGAAATTAGCCAAATACTGGTTCTCAGTGACCAAAAAACTAACTAAAGTCAAAGTCGTCAGTCAGCCATGTTTGAACGCCATTTTGGAGCAGTTCGTCACTTTTTTTTTTAATAAATAGTTACAAGGAAAATGACCATGTTTGAACGCCATTTTGGGGCAGTTCGTTACTTTTTTTTTTTAATAAATAGTTACAAGGAAAACAACGATATGCAATTTATAGAGATGTGGGGAGTGAGGGGGGTCTAGCCGTCTGGGCTCCATTTCGGCTGAGTTTCGTAAAACAAAATTATACACAAATCACACGTTGACATCTTAATAAATACTGAATTATTTCTAAACAGTGAAATACTACAGACAACATTATCGTTTGGAAGAGAATTAATAAGCATTGATATTCATACAAATGAATAATTCAGTGAACATAAACAGTTTGTTATATAGATTAGTGTTTTAAAGAAAACTGTTTTAAAAAAAGTCCTTGATCATTTTCCGGAGAACCCAATATCTGTGGTGACGATTTAGTCTCTGAATTGTTTGTATTTGTATAAAACAACAGGGAAACAGTGGAACTTTTAAAATATATAGGAAGACTTGCTATGAACCTGCAACATTGCCAGAGTATGGCTGGATTTAAGATGTTAATTGGTCACTATTATCTCGTAAACATTTTTGTCTTATTGATGAAGCGGATGATATTAATGCGACACATGCGTGCTCATCATTTTTTTATTTGCTCTGTATTAAGAGATGAGATATACAATATAAATTCAAAGAGAATGATGACATTTATAGTAGATATGAAAAAAATTTAATGGCCAACGTCGTCGTTATCATTGCCTAGATTAAAAAGAATGAATGGAAGAAACATATTTGACACACTATTCAATTTGAGAATGAGTCATCTTTCCCTGCCTTCATATTCTCCAGAGTTCAACACAATTGAATATATAAATAACTAATTATTATTGATATAACCATATATTAACTAAGTATCTCAATTATTGTGTAATATTTAGTTGAAAGGGAATTGAAAATAAATAGGAATAATGAATAATAATAATAATGACTGATAATTTTAGAATTGGATGATGACTTTTTTAAGGAATAAAAGTATGTTTATAAAACTTTGAAGATATACATAATGTTAAGATATAACATAGTGTGGAGAATAAATTATAAAATTAGTAAATAAATCAATATAAGTATTAAATGTTAATTTATTATTGCAAAAATTCCAAACCATGGAGCCTTATGTCTCCAAAATACAGGCAAAAAAACTGTCAAAGTTTCACCACTTCAGCCATTATCGGGACAGAAAAACAGCTAATCGAACATCATTAGCTTCAATGATGAACATCATTAGCATCATTGTTGGATCTAGTTGAATTTCATGGAGTGATGTTTGATTAGCTGTTTTCTGTCCTGATGACACCTGAATTGGCGAAACTTTGTGATGGATTTTCCTTTGCCTGCATTTTGGAGACATAAGGCTGTGTGGTTTGGAATTTTTCCAATAATAACCTAAAATGTATGTTCTGTCTCTTTATAACAATAAGTATTTAATGTATATCATTTTTTTCTTTTAGGTGATGCAGGGCAAGAGGATCTGCTCGATTTGATAGTAGGCATGCAGTCCAAGAGAATGGACGAGCAAAGAGTGGCACTTCCACATTTACCTGGGCTTTGTCCTCCTGCTAATGCTCCCGATGATGGTTTCTTGGAGATGCTGATGCGCTGCCAAGGTGAACGACTAGAAGATCAACGTTCTTCCCTACCAGATATTGTTGGGGGTTCTACAGTTCCAGATGAGGACTTTTTTAGCCTGATTATGAGGTTGCAGTCTGGTCGAATGGAGGACCAACGTGCCACTGTTCCGAACAACTTAAAGTAAGAGTGCTTAAAATGTGTCATCCCTTTCTATGTTAGAATTCTCTAACAACTATGTGTAAGTTAAGCTTATTTAATCTTTTTTTTTTGCTGCATTCCTATTATATTTATATTTCATTGTTATCTTTGTAAGCATTATTCCACATTTATTTTATATGTATTTTTTTTGTGGTTAATTTTTATAATGATATCTAACTGTAGGAATAATTTTATATTGTGGGAGGTAATTTCATTAAACAATCACATTTGACTAATACTTAAATACTCTTTTGGTTGGTGGGATGGGAATTTGGTTTTGACATCAAAGAAAGTTTATGAAGTTTCTGTCTTCATTTCTATTCAAATTTTTTATTGTTTGTTTGAACCGAGAGTAACTTTTATTCTCATTTAATGAAATGATCAACTTTCTCAAAATTATGTTAGTGTTTTTTATTTAAATAATCTTTTTTATCTTACCTTTTAACTAGGAAATGAGACACTAACTCTTCTAGTCGATTTTCTGTCCTAATAGAAATGTCTGATTAGGTTTAATTCTGATCGTATTTTTTAAGTAATTTAGAGATCTGAGTATATGTGATTATGTATTGTCTCACTATTTTTCTCCCTCTTACTATCTTGAATGTTATAGTGTTATGATGATCACAGCTATTATATAAAAAAAATATTGTTTGGCTAGTATTTTTGAGGAGAAACATAAGGAAATTTTCTTTTCATTCTTTTAACATATTTTTTTATGTTATAGAATTCAACCAAAGATTTGTATTTATTCCTTTCTTTTTAAATTGTCAATACCTTGTCATGTGAAAACAAATCGTAACTGTTAATCTCTTCTGAATTATGTTAGTATTAAAGACATAAAAAAAAAAATCCAAGCTAGAAATTATTGTAATGATATCGTCGGCACCATGTTAAAATAACGAGTATGAAACAGGCCAATGTTACACATTAATTGCTTTAACATGGTGACGACAATACATAAACCATTATTTAACTTATAGAGTGCTTTTTTGTATATTATTAAAAAGAAAGAAGTTCATAATTTTTTAAAATAATTACTATGTTTATAATAATAGTATAACTTTGTTTTAATAATATTTGTTATTGCCATTTCTTTTTGGAAATTCAAATATAAATATTCTTATATATAATGATTAATGATTAATCACTGAATTATCGAAGTAATGAGGTTGTAATGCTTCAAGGTGATGAAGTATACTTTTTAGTCCCAAGCCCCAAGCCATCCCTTTCTTATGTAAATAAAATGAAATGTATTTTATGATATATTTATAATGTACCTTGTATTTTTTAAATTCTTTTTTATTATAGTATTTTAATGACACTATTTTAGTGTTAACTGGCTTGAAAAGTTTTATAAAAACTATTTTTAAAAAAGGCTATGATATAATGTTATCCACAGATAACGTCACAACAGCAAAGTGGGCTTCCCATTCAAAGTATCAGTTAGCATGAATATTGGTAATCAGACATTTCTCATGTATTCATTTTTAGTAATTGTAATTTTATAATATATTTTAAGCATAAGCGGTATTACATTTTTAATATGTACTGATGCAATGTTATATAATTTTCTATTATTGATATCAAAGCCTAAAATATCTTTGTTGAATTTTGTTATGAAGAAATGAACTGCAGTTTATTAGATCTAGTTTATTATCTTTTGTGCTGCATTATATTGAGAATTGGATGGTTCATTGTGAAGTGGTCATATAATGTCATTGTTTAAACCTTAAATTAAGTAAAACGTTGTAAATTTTATATTCATTTGGAGATACTCCCTTTGTATATATTCTATTAGGAAAGAAAATAGAAAGATGACATAAATATTATTAATAATTATTTTTATAAGCTTATGATTTGTTCTTTAAGGAAGTGAAATATAATTTCCAATTATTTATTTAAATATTCATGACATATGCATATATTTTGTTAAACATAATTCATTATGTTATGTATGTACAAATTAATTTAAAAAATGGCCTGAGACCTGAATATGAGGTTAATTAAGAAATTAGGTCATAAGTCTGCATCCTTTGTTGCGTTAATATTTTTATATATTATTTAACTTGTAGGTGATAACCTTATTGAAGGATTAGTTTTAAATACTTGGTGCCAAAGTTAGCTCTTGATTGTTTAGATAAAATTATCATTTATAAAACTTTAAATGTCCAAATTAAAAATTATCATGCGGGTCATTCTTTATAGATTCAGGATTTAATGGATTAAATATTGTCATAGATAATTATCATAAGTTCTATAATTGATGATTACTTATGTTTATTGATTGCAATGTTTTGATGTATTCTGATGTAATAGTATCAGTGCCAAAGAAATTGATCCTTAATTTTATTAAATGTACAGTAGAGAAATTATTTTCCAAGAAACATGGCAAACTGTATTCCATTTAAACACATTATAAATAAGAAGAATATTTTCAGACTGAATTAAAAACATACCAGATTGTTAGTGTGAAGTTTGTATGTGTTAAAAAGAAATAGTGGCATTTGTGATAATAGTTTGTTAATATGACCACAAATGTCTTTGGAAGTACTCTCTTCAACTAGTGTCTGGGCATAAGATGTTACCAAGTTAGTTATGTATAAATAGTACTATTTAGTTATACCATTTTGTATTTTTTTTTTTTAATTTTCTTCTAATTGTATCTAATTATTATAGCTTTTTTTTATTTGATTTCATTTTGAATTAATGTATTCTGTTTAATTTTTAAATTAATATATTCATACTTATTTTAGTAGGTATCTGTTTTTTATTCCTTTAACCCTTTTTTTAGACATAAAATATTTAATCTATTGGCTAAGATTTTTTCTAATAGATCTATGTTAAATATCTATAATTGTACTAATCAGTAAATCTATGTGAGAACTCGTGCATTGAATATCTAACCTATTTTCTTCCTAATGCATTTGAAATAAAAGAGACACTAAGGGAATGTTATTTTTTTGTAAGAAAAATATAATATTACCAAGAAAGTCTATGTAATCCAAATAGAGGAGAATATCTGGGAAGGAGATTATAAATCGGAGACTTCAATTTCAAATGTGTCTAGCAATATTGCTTTGGAATAACAGTTTGTAGATGTTATTATGGGTTTCAGAGGTATCTAAAAAGAAAATTCCTCTATAGGACCTCCATGATACGTTTTTATAAGATCTTAAGCAGGCCGGTTCTTACATATTCGTCAGAGTGCTAGATGCTGATGAAAATACTCAAATAATGTCTATTGAGATTTGAATGAACGATTTTGAAAAGGATTATGAGGCCTTTATGTATCAATGGGGTAGTGGTAGCACCTATAATCAAGGGGGCGTGGGGTAGCCATAGGGGCTAAGGCGCTTGCAATAGGTAATCAAAGTTATGCAACATTGAGCATGGTTAGTACTTGCATGGGTACTGGAGCCCCGATTTGGGTGACTGTCCACCAAGGAAAGCCATGCTGCCAGAGTCTCTCCCCTGGATATGTGAGTTTTCAGGGGTACAAAAAATTAATATCATTCGTATTTTCAAACTAATAGAAAAATAGTTTTTTTTTCTCTAAATTTCCGCCAAGGCTGGAAACTTAATTCTTTTTTAAAAAATCACAAAAGTTGTGATAAATTCGACTTGACTACTTATCCACACGAAAATTAGCATGAATTTGGGGACCTGTGATATACACAAAATGGCACAAACCAGAATCCCACAAATAAATTAGGTTTGGAGATAAAAAATAAAAACATTTCAGAAATTTTTATTTATTTATTCCTTATAAAAGCGTAAAATCTAAAAGTATTTGATATGGTTTTGAAGAGCAATAATTTAAATTTCCAACGGTTGAAGTAACATTGACTCAAGAGAAAATCCTGATAGTCCGGCAGCCGATGGCAAAAAAGATACCGCATTTCATTCAGAGGTTTGGGCTTATGAATCGATCATGTCCACAGGGCTGATGAGAAAAATACAGGTTTTTCGGCAAATAGCCTCTGGAATACAAAATGGCGGCCAGAAAGAGATTCTCAAGACAGAAAACGTGTATAGAGACTACAGGTACGGAAAGCTACCAACTCTTTAAATTTATTGTCCTAAGACATTAAATAATAGTTGACCCATACCCGAGGATTTTGGTTTTCCCATAAAATTCCAACAATTTTGGGGGCGGGATGGCAGAGCGGGCAAACGCGTGAGCTCAGCCCCGCCGTTGCCCGGTAACCTATTATATGTGATAAAAATAATTTCGAGTTCGCGTCCCGGTGCCCCAGGGGAGCTTTTAACTCTGGCATTAACCCCCCCCTCTCTTCCCCTGGCCCGGGAATACCCAGTATAGCCTAAAGAGGAGGTCAAAAAAAAAAATTGATATTTTTTATTTTAAAACAAATTCGTATTTAAGAGTTTTAGTGGATGCTACAAACAAATCTGAATGCTTTTTTCAAGGCAAAAAATGACTTGGCCTATCTACTGGAACGTCTCTGGACTTTTGTAATTTATTATATATTAGATTTCGTTTAATACAATTAGCAATATGTTTTACAATTTTTTCACAAAGAATTGAATTGATTGATGTATAACTCGGAAATCCATGCATAGCAAAGTCAGAAAACAGTACTATTAAGAAATAATAGAATTTATTTTTCGGATTCTAGAGCGCATTGGCAAGAACCCACGGACATAGGTCTAATATGTTTTTACCTAGTATCACCAAAAAAAGTTTCATTGAAATCGGTGACTCCATTGCCATAATGTTCCCTTGTAGACTAGGAGCTACCGTCCATTACATTTAACGGAAGGACTTAAAGCTAGTAACCTTTTTAAATTCCAGATAAAACCCATCTAAACACACAATTTCGGCCAGTCGGTCAACAGCCGTTGCTTTCTACACGAAAATTTATTTATTTGTTTTCCCTGCACTTTTTGACTTCGACTTTTTAAGTCACGAGCCTTCTTTAGCAGTTTGGGGCTGTTATAGGCGACAGTATTGATCGTTTGGTTCTCTCTTCTTCGAGATATCCAGAGAGCACGTGGTTTACTACTCGGACGCGATCACATTTCACTCCCTCTGCATCAGGAACTTTCCTGAAGGATGGTTGGCAATCTTTTGCTTCAATCTTACACTCAGTTTTTTTTTTTTTATGGGATAGGGGATGATCAGCCTTATACCTAACCCTCCCAATCTGGAAGACCAGGATCTACGGTATAAGACACAGGGTCGTTCACCTCCCTATGAATCTCAGGGTGGAGACGTTATCGCCTCCATGCGGGAATTGAACCCGCGCTATAGTGGTCTAAGTAGTCGAGATGGGCCTGCACTCATTAATTTAATTAATTATCAATTTTTTTGTCTTATTTATTTCCGCGAACGGGGTTTGAACACTTGATGTTAAAGTTTTGCAGGCGCTTTAAATCGCTCGACCAACGTGGCCCCCGAAAATTTAAATTAAAGGAGGGAAATTTGACGGTTCATTGAACAGAAGAACTGACGTCTGAAATTTTGATATGATGTACAGAAAGTGCCCCTAAGAAAGATTTCACCTTGACTGACGATGTTCTCGGTTGCGTTTTAAAAACTGACATTAAAGTCATCAAATTAGGCCAGTCAGATAGTAGTTGGATGAAAAAAATTCAAATAGTCGGTTTATCTTCGGTTTTTATATTTTTTTGGGATGTTGAATCTGAATTTGATGTCTCCTGAAAGAAATTTTCCTTTGCGTCCTTAGATATATGCAAACACAGCGAAAATTCCAAACTTTTGTTAGTTTTCTGCACATGATAACGAAATGGAATAAATCGAAATTATTATTATATACAAAGTTAAACAAGATAAAATTTACTACAAATTTTATACATAACTTGTAAATTCACAAGATATATTATATTTATATTAAGTTATATTATCATTTCATAAGATAGGAGAAATAGAAGATTAAAAAAAAAAAAAAAAATCAAATCAAAAATGATTTTATTTACATATATACACAACACATAATAATGGTTACATGCTTATGGCAACATCACCTTACACATGTTACAATAAAGTGTGATTGCTATTTTTTATGCTGAAGTATATTTTGTACAGTACTAAAAATAAAAATAAAAAACTACATAAGTTATAAAAAGGAATAAATATCATAAAAAAAAAACAACTATATACTGACATTATATAAATAAGATAAAACTAAGAACATAGTCACATGTTTTAAATCTTATATATTATTATTCAATAATTGGTGTGGGAAGTATCTTGCTGCTTGTTTATCAATATTTTTAATGTTGGGTTTTGTCATGTTAGGAATATGTGTTTTGTCCGTTTGTGTGTGTACCGTTTCACTGATTTCTTGTCATACTTTCTTATTGTTTGGATCATCAGATTATCAGATGCTGTAAGCTTAAAGAACTTCTGTGTTTTAAGATAAATGTGTTGTTTTATTGTTGGAAGCTGAAATTCTGTTACCATGGTATCTATTTTTGTATATCGTGGCTATTTGTTGATTCTCATGCATATGTTTTGAATCACTTTTAGTTTTCTATTGTTAGACTTACAAGTCTAACTCCATACTGGGGAAGAATATGTGATTATAGGGCGGATAACTGCTTTATATATATATAAAAGATTAAGCAGCTATTAAAGTTCATAGAATCGAAGGCGTATCTGCCACTCTGAACTTGAGTGATTTTATCTTCATAATGTTTTTTTAACAGAACTAGAATGTATAAAAAAATCAAATTGCTTTTATATATTATATTTGTTTGAGGGACATCAACATTTATAATAATCAAAAACTTAAAAAAAAAACCGAAATGCGATTCAAAGTTCGAGCGCTCTAATGGCTTTTCAACTATTTGTATATTAACGATTATACCTCGATAACCCTAGCTCAATAAAAAAATATATGCACATTCAATTTAATTCAAGCTTATGTTGAGTCGCATTATGCGAGTAGGAGAAATGTCGTTGGACCGCTCGGACTTTGTAATTAAAGACCGGAATTTGGTCTTTAATTTTTTTATGAATGTTGAAGTCCCTCATGCCAACATAATATATAAAATACATATAATTTGCTTATATGTATTCTAGTTCTGTTATAAAATAGATAAATTAGCCGAATCAAAAACATTGTAAAGATAAAAAGCACTCAAGTTGTGAGTGGCAGATATCACGAATGAAATACGTCTTCGATTCTATACACTTTAACAGCCGCTTAATCTTCTCACATATTAACGTGTCTACATGAGTTACATAGGAAATGTAATGCTCTTTCAAATTGATTATAAAGCATTTCTTTAAGAGAGGCAAAGATAATGGATTTTAGAGGAATAACCGTCAAATACAGATATTTTCTGTGAAATAAGCAGAGTCAACATTTTGTAACTCCTCACCCCTTGTCCCAAATCAAAATGGTATTATATAAGTGGTTGCAAATTTTATCTTCTTTAATTTTTTGTAAAATAATAATTTCGATAGAATGTATTGTTTCGGAGTCATGTACAAAAAAACTAAATAATGTTCGAAAATGTCGCTGTCTATTACACATATCTCGGTACGCACTAGAAAATTTCGTTCGGAAACATCAAATTCAGATTCAGGATTCCAAAAAAACATAAAAACCGACTATTTGAATTTTTTTCTCATCCAACTACTATCCGACTGGCCTAATTTAATGACTTTGACGTCGTCAGTTTTTGAAACGGGACCGAACACTTCGTCAGTTAAGGTGAGTTCTCTTTTAGGGACATATTTTTTACATCATATCAAAATTTCAGACGTCAGTTTTTCTGTTAAATGAACCGTCAGATTTCCCCTCTTTTATTTAAATTTCGTACAGAAAACGACTTTCGACCGAAGTGTGTGTTGTGTGTTCAAATGAGGTTTATCTAGAATTTAAAATGGTT